TCGGATAAGCGCGGTGCGCGATCTTTCAGCTGTCCCGATTGCAAGGCGAGCAGCTTTCAAATCGTAAATACGGAAGAGAGAGATTCGCGCGCGAGACAGCTACAGCGTTATACAGCCCGTCGACGACGATTCGCGGAATACAATCTCGCGTGCGTTCTGTGTCGAATCCTCGGCGAGAAGGGCTTCGCGCGATACGCGGAACTGCGCGCGAGTTATTTTCATCGGTTTCTATTCTGCCGCGGAGCGCGGAAAAAAGAAAGCGGAGCTGCACACAGCCGCGCGGAATGCGCTGAAAGCTCGTAAAAGTCTATTTTGGGCGCGCGGGCGGCGTTGGCCACGGAAGGGAAAAAAACAGGCGCACTGAATCGCGGAGAGAGGAGCGAGCGCGCGATGTGAAACGAACGGCGCACACGTAGCGGAAACTGCACGCGGAATGCCGACTTTCACCCTCCTCGGACGCGCAGCTCTCGCGAGAGAGAGGCTGCGCGATATGAGCTTCCAGGAGGTCCGTCTGTCTGCGTGCACTCTCCGAGAGCCGAGCAGCGCTGACCCGAAAAATCGGCGCGTGCGTGCCCTCGCAAGAGGCGACGAGATGTTTTTTTTTTTTTTCTCTCTCTCTCTCTCAACAGTAAGACTTCTCCGTTGGCACTGACTAAACACCTGTTTTTCGCACGGATGGTCAGATTCAGTGAGCAGCTCTGTACTGGTGATGGCGCGCGCACAACGCACAATGGCATCGAACGCACATTTCGACCTCGCCGAATTGCCAGTAATTTGTCTTGGCGCATGAGTGCAGTCGACCGAAAGCTCTCTCGCTCGACTTTCTTATAATACACAGAGAGTGGACCGAATCGACGTCGCATTCCCCGATGATTGCGGGTAATTGGCTCTTTCTCTCACTCGCCCACTTGAAATATAGAGGAAGGAATTACTGAGCTCGCGTTCACTCTGGTATTACCTACTTTTCTCTCTCTCTCTCTCTCTCTCTCTCTCTCTCTCTCTCTCTCTCTCTCTCTCTCTCTCTCTCTCTCTCTCTTGCGCGCGCGCGCGATAGAGTCATAAAATACCACGAGGATTCAATCTCGATTATGCTTCTCGTCGATGATTTGCTGCGCGCGAAGGGAATGCCGGCAAAGTTGCGCGATAACAGACTCTTATCGAAACGCTGAAGCGCGTCACGGCGAGGCAGAGAAAAAAAACCAAGGTAATTTAAAAGCAATTTAATGCGAGGTCGAGAGAGCGAGAGAAGGGACGACACGCGCAGTAGCGACCGGTAGCCTTTTGCCACTTGGCTTATTCGCTCATTATTACGGCTCCGGACACGAAAATTGAAAGATTAGCTCCCCTCTCTTCTCTTTTGTTTCAACTGCGCGCTTGCAAGTTTGGCGCTTCTGCGTGCTACTCGGGTGAACTTTAATTGTGGTCCGCGGGGAGAAAATCAAGGCTGTCAAGAAAACCGAATTTTAGGAATGTAGAATAGGCCACGAATCGTGCAAGAAATCGTCACGGATCCTCGAATACAAATCGGTATCGGACGAGACAGATAGTTTCTCGGTATTTGGAAGTTGTAAAAGACGCGTGGGTGAAGGGATCCATCGTGCTGGGTCGACCTTCGAAGCGGGAGACGGAAGGCGCGCGCGCGATCAACGAATGTATGGAGATAAACAAGTTATTCAAAAAACAAAAAAAAAAGAAAAAGGTAAGTCAGGCGTCGAGGTATGGAGCGAGAAGACCTCATTACGGCCAGAGTTGTCAGCCTTTGACAACAGCGACGAAAAAACGCATGCGAGTTTCTCCTTTCACCGTCGTCGCGTCGCCCGGAAGCTCCCACGCAAGCTAAATATCCCCCTAGAAGAGAAAAAAAAAAGAAACGAACGCTCCCCCCCCCCCCTTCGTCCCTCCTCCCCCGCCCTTCCTCGTCACTCGTCAATTGCTCGGGAGGGTTTTATCGGTTTGCGGAATCGATCTTCTTTATTACACATACGGCGCGCGATTTCAAGTGATCCGACCGATGACAGTGCCGATACGTGTTTCCTTTTCGAAGCAGACCTTTTTCTACTAAATCGCTGGCTGATTTTATTGCCGGTTGGAGGTGAATGGTTTTTACACCGAATATGCAATGAGCGACTTGTCTGCAGATTTTCATATGTTTGCTGATAATGTTTGCTTGGCATTTTTTTTCTTCTCTTTTCGCTTTGGAATTCGGCTGGATTGCTAATTATCGGGTATGATTAGCAAACCATAAAATCGAATAAATTTCTCCGCAGAAACGTCGCTTGACCGGACCGCATTCGATTCGCACGCTTGATTTACATTCGTCTGGCTGAGAGGGAAGGCAATTGTTCTGTTTGAGCAGCGGATTAGAACAGCGGCCGCATTGCCCTAAAAAGAAACGTATTTGCCGAGCAATCGAAATGTCTCTTGAGCAGCGCGAAGAAAAACACAGATGGACGATCGCAAGAGGCCTCCTCGCTCGTGCCTTTTCATTTCTTTTATCAGCGAAAATCGCTTTCGGTATGCATAATAAACGAGCTCGATGCGAATTACGCGCCTTCGAAGATAGCGAGCGCGAAAAGAAAGCGAGCAGCCTATCCCTCGACGCAAGTAAATCGGTGTTGTCTTTTATCCACCAAGCGATAAGCAAATCAAGAAAGAGAAAGAGAGAGAGAGAGAGCGAGAGAGAGAACGAGAGGTATTAGGCAATTGCGACGAATTTTTTCGCGCTGACATCATTATAACGTAACGCTCTTCTCTCTTTCCATCTCTTTTTTTTCTGCCGGGTATCGTTCGCACGGAAACCACGGACGGACGGCCAAAGTATTTTAATCCGTCGCGTCGGTGAGCAACGGATCGCCCTGAAAATCGTATTGCGCGACCGTTAATTGAAATGCTGAGTGTGTTCGGCGGAAAACTCGCCTCGCTTTTCCGCAAATCACGCGACGCGCAGTCGATCCTCGGGCCCGCAAAACGTTCAATTCTCGAGGTTCTCCAAGACGATGCGGGATTCCCGACTAAATTTGCGGCCAGCCTTTTCGGAGAACGAGCGTCTAAATCTAGAAATTCATGCCAATCATTGCGTTTATTCAATGCTATTCCGTGGAATTGACAGACGGGCGTCTGATCAACGAGAATAGACTTTTCAATGAGTCAATTTCCACGAGAACAAAAAAAAAACAAGATCTTACGACTGTCTCGCTTTTTCTTGTCAAAGCGATAAATTCCTGTATTGAGATGTTTAGCGATTAATCGTTTTGCACTTGTGTAATCTCGCGCGATATCAATGGGAAAGCGCGAGATAAAACTACTGGAGAGCCGCGCGCGCGAAGTGACATGCTCAAAAAAGCCTCTTATTCAATCGAATAAACCATGAAAACAAAAACAAGCATCCATCGGACAATGAAATCAATAATTCGAGCGTCCCGAGGGAGCTCGGCAACAGAAGCAGAAATGCACGTGCGCCTCTCTCGCGATGAAAACTCCTCTGCTGCAACAGCAACGAACGTGGCGTTCGCTCGCGCACGAGAGAGAGAGAGAGAGAGAAACCGCGAATTCCCGTTAAGACGTACCGTACAGAAGTTGACTTCGTGTGTCAATATGTTTGCTTGAACGCGCGCGCAATGCTGATTTTTCTCCTCTGCCATTTTTGCATAACTCGCGACTAATTAAACGGTAATGGTCGCGCTGATAACGCGTTTTTTGACTCCGATTATCTGCGACGATAATAGACGCCTCTATATATGGATTCGAAAGCACTCGTAATTAAAAATAAATTTCATAAACATGCGAATATCTACAATGAAAAAGAGCCCGCGGAGATAAGCAACTGCGAGAAATACAATTATCCGTTTGGTTTCCTTGAACGCGAAAATTCAATTGATCGCGGAGGCTTAGCGCGTTTACGCTTTGCGACGCCCGTAATAATACCGTTCATAGATAGAGAGAGAGAGAGAGAGAGAGAGAGAGAGAGCGCATCGTAAACAACCAAATGTCAATCACACGTTATAATCTGGCATCACGTGCGCGTTGGCATACACAATCGTTTTCGTTTCAAACGCGGCGCCTTCATTCTTATTAATGCACTCTTATCTCTCCCTCACTCTCTCTATCTCTGGTCATGTTACTCGGAATTCCCATGCGCTCGCGTTGAAGTGCAAAGAGGGGCTCGCGGCAGGCCTTGACGCGGCCCTGGCGCATCGGAATGCGGGCGCGGCAAGTATATCGCGCGAACGGCCGCCGCTGCCGCGCGGAGTACACAGCCGTCTGTCTACCGCATATACTCCACATCGCCTATATGCTCGCCGCCGCTCTTTGCTCTCGCTCTGCTCTCCGCACACGCGCTTTCATGCACAAGCGCGCGCGAGAAGAAACGTGTAAATAAATAAATTTAGAATGCGCGCAGATCAAAGAGGCGGCGAGCGGTGGCGAGCGGCGGCGAGCGGCGACGGCTGCTGCAGCGCGTCAAATGGGATTCCATGGAGACGCGTTGCGTCGCGTGCGAGATTGCGCTGAGAGCATCGTCGGCGAATGATCTTCGGAGTGATGTCGCTCGCGATGCGTGCCTCGCGACCTCGAAACGACACCGCCGACGAAGAAAACAGCGAATCTCGCGAGAGGAGCTTTGGAGGCGAGGGGCCTTAAAGCGAGCGAGGCCCGTCACTGCATTTCGCTCGCGCGCTGGCTGCTATACGCGCCGGAAAAAGTAGTAAATGCGAACTCTCCGCGCGCGAGGACGTGCACGTTACTCTCTCGCATGTAGCAGGCACTGAAACCACGCGGCCTCTCCGATGTGTGTATATATATACACACGCACACATACACACACGTACATGCAGGCGCGAGCGAGAGAGGCCGGTTTCCAAGCGATGTACTTGATTCTTTCTCTGCTCGTTTTTTTTTCGCGATGCTCCGACCGAAACGATCGCGCACGGACAACTGTTGGTTCTGCGATCAAGCGTCGGCAATCGTGAGAAAAGTGTATAAGTGAATGATAACAAACTGACCTATCACGTGGATCGATCCAGGTGGTCTTCCTAGTGTTGTGATCGATGAAGTACATCTTGCCATCGTAGTCGTGAGCGACGTCCCACCCTTCCGGAAGCGGTATCTCCCCATTCCGTCTCCTTGGCATTATTTTCACTGCGCTCTAAATCCATATCCAAAAACAATCACTCGTTTTTTTGCTTTCTTTCGTAACCGGCGCGCGATCCTCCCTCTCCTTTGCAGTATGCAACGCTGCAGCATCAGCAGCAGTTTTATCAAGCCAAAGTTACAGCCGCGGTCTCTCTCTCTCTCTCTCTCTCTGCCGCCTCCCGATGTTTTAGTTTTTTAGATTTTTCTCTTTAAACTTTACTCCATTTCCGCGAGCGAGCGCCCACGCTCAATTCAGCATGCGATATCGGAATTCCGATTGAAGGTTTTTTTAGAAAGCTAAAGAAAACCCGCAAGCTAGCGCGAGGCGACAAGATTCACCGCTTGAAGAGGCTTTCTAAAAATCAAATGACAAAACAGACACGCGCACACTGAGACGCGAGAGGACCCGCGGGTTTATACACTAAGGTATAGTCGGTGAGCGAGTGATAGAGAGAAAGAGAGAGAAACGGCAAAAGAGGCTAGAAATAGCATACGATTTCCACGCGCGCTGCGTGCCGCGCTCGGCGTTACAAACGCGAACGCTGCGCGAAAAAGCCGGACAACCGAGCTATACATAAAGCACACACACGGCTGCTGCAGTTACTGCTGCTGTTGCTGCTTGCCTCGCATATAAGCTGCGAGCGCGAGAGAGAGCGCGTCCACCATCATGAATACCTCATTATCATGAGCGGAGTGACGTCAGAGTCCCCGCCTTTTCAGATTCCTCTCCAGCGGAATTCCAATGCTAGCATGATGATGATGTTGTTGACACACGATGATGTTGATGACGATCGATCGACTGTGCGAGCGAATCACTATACTCTCCGCCGCACTTTTATTTTATTTCTCTTCTTGATTTACTTTTTTATTAAAAACAACACACCAACTTATTGCACTTCACCACTCACCATCCGATCGATGAGCTTTTTTTTTCTCGCGCACTGTATACTCCTCGCGGCGTATGAATGATTACTCGCAAATGAAAACGATTGGTTAAAGCTCGCGCACGACTCGTCGTTTCTTTTTTTTTTCTTCTTTTCCTTCTCGAGCGGGCAGACAGGCTGCTACCTATAGCAGCCGCTCTCGCTCTTTCTCTCTCTCTTCTTGTGTGTGTCTGCAGCAGCTGCGTGTGCCACTCGCGCGCTACTCGCCGTGTCTCTGACCGCCAGACAGAGAGAACGAGTGTACACATCGCGAAGTCGTCGAGCCGAGGGGGGAAACACGATGGTTTAGTTGAAATTCTTTGCGTTAGGCGATTATACGGCGCCACCGATCGCGCAACTGCTGCACGCGAGAGCTGTACGAGTGCTGCGGCCGCAGTGTACACCTTGTACCAGTTTTCTCGAGTACTCCTCGATTTGGTTCTTTACGGAGAAAGAGAAAGAGAGAGAGAAAGAGAGAGAGACGAGCGGTAAGGCTCTTCTACACGCTCATTGCTAATTGAGTTCGATATGGAATTGAAGATGATTGCTCTATCACGAAATAAACTTTTATTTAGGATGCAAGAGAGAACAATCAAGGATAAGAGAAATATTTATGTAGTTTTACGTAACTTTATGGGAAATTCGCGTTAAAAATAATACAAAAATTGTAAATAAGCAAATAATAATTTCATAGGAAAAATTATATATCAATATTCGTTTTGCAAAATAATTGGATGCGCGTTTGATTGTACTACCTGTAAAATCAGCTGTTCGTATTTCTGATAGCTACTATTCAATTACTGATAATCAATGTATTTAACTAAATGATATTCAAATAAATGTCATTTAATTAATAACAGAACTTGTATGCAATAGGTTTTCAATCTCGATCTTATGAAAATTTATTAGACGAGTATTCCAAGAATTTTTCTCATTCAATTGCACATATCGACGTTATAATTAATAGATTCGCACATATTATGAGTTTACCGTTTCCACTTTTCATTCTTTTGCAAATTAATCGCAAAATAAATTAATTATTCACATTTACGAGCGAAGTTATTCTCGATGCAAGTGTTGTTTTTTTTATCACTTGCAATGATTTATAAATACTTGAAAGTAAAATTTCGGAGCAAAACTTAAACGTACATATTGTGAGGATTATTCATCGAAAAGTTATTCAAGGATCTTTTGTTTATCTAACATCCGCGACTGTGGCGCGACCAGCAAAAAATTCGCTTGCACACGTGAAATCGGACGTTCGAATGCGCGTTCCAGCAAAATGTGCACTTACATACCACATACATGGTTCACTTGATGCGATATATGTGTGTGTGTGCGTGTGTGTGTGTGTGTGTGTGTTCGTGGAGAGTATGCGCGCGCCGCGGTGAAGTTGAGCATCATCGTCTACGTGTTATTCATGACTATACCGTGCTTGTGGGATGATAAAAGAATTGCAGCTGTGCTTGATTTGTTCTGAAAAATGTCATAAACACCTTTCGATGGATTCTCGAAGGTAGTCATTCATCTAACCCGCTCTCTCACTAATTTTTTATTGCTCGCTGTCTGATTATCGAGGTATCACATATTAATTGACGGTGTCTTTTTTGCGAATTACGTAGTAAATCGTTCGTTAGGTCATACAAGTTAATGTCCTTTAGCCAACGTTGAGAAATACATTTATGGTTGCCAATGAAAAACAATAGACAGAATAAATAAACATTGTCACTCAAACATGTAATTATAAATTTTACTTATGTTTGAGGGTGACAAACAAAATTGTGAGACTCAAGCAAGAAGTGTTGCTACTTATTATCTCTATTGTAGATTTGTCATTTATAATCATCAACACTGTCATGGCAACATCTGAAAGTGATGATTTTGAAAGTGCTGATGAGGAATTGAATGCTCGGACTAAACGTATCAATAGAAGTAAAAAGTACAATTCTATTGGCTCAGACAGTGATGATGATATAGATTACATACCAGTACAATATCACACTCCAATGAAAAAATCTAGTAAAGGGGAATCAAAGAATTCTAATCAGTCTAACAAATCAGCTTTGGAACAGCACAAAACATCTGGTAAGAAATATTGTTGTATTATATGTTCTTTTCTTTTTATTAGACTAGAACAGAAAGATTAAATTGAGATAATTTTTTCTATTAAATAGATAAAAGTTCAACAGAAGTTAAAAAAGCTACTGATAATAATGAGACTGCTGAAAAAGATTCAAATAGTGTTCAACCTAAAAAAGAGAATAGTGTAAACGCTGACAGTGAAATTTCATTGGAAGGTCAGGATAATTCCAAAAAATCAAGTGAAATATTACAAAGTGGAATGTCTTCAATAAAACAAGTGTCTAATAATGAAAAATCAAAGAGTGCTATTAATCGGCGTTCAAGGCCAGACAGACAAAAAAAACCAAAAGAATCACTAGGTACTAAAAAGTTAGGAGCAACAAAAATTGACAAGCTCCCAGATGTGAAAGAAACAACATTCAATGAGGTTAAGAATAAAGGAGGTTCAGAAGGCAAACCAGCTCAGCTAACACAAGAATGTTGTGAAGAGCCAGGTGAACAGAATCTACAAGAGGAATTGAAAAAGGCTACTGAAAAAAATGAATCTCAAAAAAAATATTCAAAAACAAACAACAAAGATCTTGAAACGATGCCAGAAGAGTTATTATCTAACTTAAAATTTAAAGACATTTTCAAACCACATGGATGGGAAAGTATGGGTGATGCTGTGAAACTTCCAGATGATCTATCTGATGACAAATATCATCCAGTGTTAGATAAGTTATCTTCAGCTAATAACGAGCAAACAGACATAAACGATAGCTGGAGCTCATGGGGCAGTTGGGGCATGAGTTCACTACTTAATACAGCGAGTGCAGGAGTTTCAACATTGACTAGTCATGTTTCGCAAGGTTTATCAATATTGGAAGAAACCATGGGTATTCCAGAACCTGAAGTGTTTATTAAAGAAGAAACTCCAACAGAAGAAAAATCTAAATCAGAAGGTATGAGAACAATTATAATTTTTCTTAGTGAATCACTTAATTTCATTTTTACTTTATTTAAAATCTTTTATTTTATTTTAGAAAAGGATTCCAGCAATTTAACAGAAGAAATTAATGAAGAAAAAAAGAACGCACAAGAAAGTCCCATTCAATATCTGCCATCTTTTGGATTTGGAAATTTTATGTCAAGTGTATCATCAATAACTAAATTAGTTGAAACTACAAGCTCAAAGGTCATTGCTGGAGGATTAGATACTTTGGAAGTTATAGGTAAAAAGACTATGGAAGTATTGCAAGAGGGTGATCCAGGTTTGAAAAAGAAACGGGCGTTTTTCTTGAATGAAGGTGACAAGCCCATACTGTCACAAATTCTACGAGAAGCAAAAGAAAAAGCTGAGGTAGAAGAAAAATCTATAGAAGAAAAACAGTTGGCAAGAAAGGTTCATTTTGAGAGCCTTTTTGACGATTATCAAGGTTTGGTCCATTTAGAAGCACTAGAAATGCTCTCTAAACAATGTAACATAAAGATTCAACAACGATTAGTTAATCTGGATGGAGTGGAGTTGCAAGAATTGCAAGAAACTTTAGATGAAGTTAAAGAATTGTGTGACTTAGGAGATGAGGAGGAGGAAGATGACGACAACCAGAAAGAAAAAGACTTTGAACAAAAGTTAGATAAAGCTTGTAAAGATTTAGGTGTCTCTATTAAGTATAATAAACTTATTGATGTAAGTTCACCCAATTAAATATAAGTATGTTAATTGAAACGATAAAAGAGAAAAATAATTTCATAACTTAAATAATTTGTTTTCAGATTTGGAATGACATGATCTCGCGAATTCCACCGCCAGATTCAAAGGACTCTCACAAAGAACTTTTCCAGAAGGCCATAGCAGCTTTAGCACAGTTTACAGCCTATTGCGTTGAAAGATTCCACAAAACTGCAGAATTGCTATTAATAAAACCACATCGAAGTACTGTTAACGAGGCTGATTCTTTGGTTCAACTCACAAAGACTTTATCTTCTCAAATTGGGTCCATTGCAAGTCTTTATTGCGATCGATTGAACGAATTTAAAGATGATAATGAAAAGGCTGAAATTAAATCGAACATTACAACAATTACTTTAGAGGTGATTTAAAAAAATATATAGTTAAAAAATATTTTTTAATCATGGTCACTGAAATTTTTATTTTTTTGCAGGCAACGAACGCTAGTTCATACGTCCAGGAAGCATTTAGACTATTAATTCCAATTTTGCAAGTTGGCGCAGTATAAGGAGTGTTTTAATGTAATACCATTATCGAAGCCTTAACATTTTTATTACAAGTTTATAACGAGAGTATCTATAAAAGTTTGAATATATCTTATTGAATTGAAAATAGATTTATATACACTGCACGTAATGATATTATAAATCGATTCCGGTAAAATATTATTAATTTATATTTCAAATCCAAGCAATTTTTCAATAACACATTACAAATTTATATATCCTTCCAAAAAATGAATCAGCATGTTAAATTTAAATATCGAAAGCGTTGAGAGTTGTTCAAATTGATAATATATCACGTATAGTATTAAAACAGTAATACAAAATTAGCTGTTACTAGTGAAATCAATTTGAATGTGTAGATAAATTAAACTATTGTTAATTAAAAAAACTAAACATAAAAACTAAATTAATTGGACTTTCAAATTATTAAATTTGACTTTATCTAGTTATAATTTACTTAAAAAACTATAATAAAATGTAAAATATAAACAATAGATCCGTAATTATTTTATATTTACTAATAGCTTATTTATAAAAAAATTAAAGAATGAATAGCGACTATAAATTGATGGAAACCCATAGGATGAAAGGTTAACGATCAACGTGTTAAGAAACTCTTTTTACAGAAAATTAGTTATTTATCAATTTCATCACATAATATACAGAAGAAAAAGGTTCTAATTAAAATAATTACAAAAATCAACTATTATACCAGTATTTTACAGCGCACGTTAGTGTTTTCCTCTTTTATTGGCAGGTGGCTTTTGCAATTGAAAATTTGAGCTTGCATCCGTCGAGGACAGTGGTGATGTAAGATTAGCTGGGGGATTGAAATTTAAACCGGCCGTTGGGGGCTTCATTGGTGTACTCATCGAGAGATTTGACGACGGGGTCGTTCCTGTAACATTTCCCCAACCTGTGAACACAAAAATATCAAATTTCACTTTGAATTTTTTGAAATTTATAGTTGTTTATTTTACGGTAACCAAGGAAGAGCAACATTTGAAGCGATTAGATTTATTCGTCCCAACATTAAACTATTGTATAACACAAAAGGATCATACGATTTATATTTGACTATGTGCATATAGGGTGAATTATATGTAATACAACAAATATAATTTATCGGATATATGAGACAAATTATTAACAATACAGATGTCTATGTATGTAGTTGCTTGTGTATCTAAGACAGAATCCATTAATTTTGAAATAATGTAGTACCCGTGTACTTTCTTGATTAGTAAAGATTGTTTAAAAAATGATTTTATTTATTTCACCGTGAATATAGTTTCGAAGAATGTTAAAGCATTTCCTATCGAACTATTGAAAGCATGAGAATGAAGCAGTGAAAAATTGCGATAAATAATTAATGTGCGTATAATTTTATTAGTAATTATTGAAATGGATGAGCTGTATATCATTACTGAAGGTGACAAAACAAACTAATTCTAAACAAACAAAATAAAATTTCAATACCTCAATTAAAAAATTAGATTACTGCTATTTTTGTTTTAATTTTTTCCTGAAAATGTAAGAGAAAATTGGTAGTAGTTAAATTTGGTTAACGGATGACTTTTAGTATGAAAAAAGTAGCTTTAGAACAATATTATTTAAAATATAGAAAGGCAAATTATATTGAAAATAGTATTGCACTTGATCAACATTATAAGCATAAAAGGCAACATTGATATTTTAACTGATAAGAATTCAGGTGCAAATTGATTTAGATTAATACTAAAACACAGGTAAATTAATGTGAGGCAGATACTTTTGTTCAGGTTCTACCTTATTCTATATCCTTGCTAGACCTGAATTTTCAAATTTGTATGTAAAAAATGGTCTGGCTGTAGAACATTACTAACGTATTTTTATCAAATACTCATTAAATTACAACTTGATTCCTTACCTAAAGGATTTGGAGTTCCTAAGTTAGGCGTTTGTGATGAATTTAAAGCTGTAGAAGACATAAAGCTTCTGTTTCCTAAATTATAAAAATATGCCATTAATGTTTTATTAAAAGTGATAAAATATCTTTGTCAATTTAAATGAATAAGTACCGGGGCCGAATGGCGTTGGACCACTAGTTATTCTCCCTATACTACTCCTACTCGTCTTTGTATTGAGCTTATTCTCTTCAAAAACATTTTGATTATCTTTTAAAACGTACTTCCTAAAATTAAGGTATTGTTCTTTTTGTTGTTGGACTTTAGCGTGTATTCCTTGAAGTCTGCCTGCCACTGCTACAAGAGATTCGTGTAATTTGCTCATTGCCATAGTCAATTCTGAAAGTATAATAAACAATGTACATTTTATACGTTGTTAGTTTAGACATTTGGATAATTTACCTTGTGGAGTTAAAGTTTTCGGCGACATCATCGTTTGAATATGCTTTTCCGTCGTTTCGATTTGCGATTTGAATAACATCAGGTCATTTTCGAACTGTTCTGCCAACTCTATAAAAAACAGGAGTGGTGCATTATTTTCATATTGTAAACCCGCAGGAGTGTCGTGCGTTCTTTGAGCAATTTCGGCGTTTTGTAGTGCCTTCGCCGTGTCCAACTTTAATTTGTCTGCTAAGAAACGATCTCTCTGAACAGAACCAGCCAGAGTTGTGAGCATTTCCATAAGAGAAGCTGTATCTTCAGCACATCTGTTCAGAGGCCTTGCAGAGCCTCGTGCTATATCAGAGCTTAAGACTTTTTGTATTTTTACAAATTCTCTGTAATTATAAAATAAACTTTATGCAGTTGATTTAATAACTTACAATGATATGATATTAGTATTGACTCACTTAAATCCTTCGATAGTCTGCATTAATTCATTTGGTAACAAATTTTCTTTGGCAGCAGTTGGGCTTGTGTTACCTTGTGCTAGACCCTTGTTACTTATTGAAACATCCAGACCTCCAAGGCCGCGATTGTTAGTTGTTGATAAAGTAGTTGTTGTAAGTGCTGTAGTTGCAGTAGGTTTTGCTCCAAAAATTCCACTAGTTGATGAACCAAACATAGATGCTATAAAAAAAGCAATACTTAATTACAGTAAAAGTTGTGTGAAGAATATAAATTGTATACTTACGGGCAGTTGTGGTTGTAGTAGTGGCACCAAAACTTAAACCAGTACCAGCTGAAGCAGCAGAACTAGTTGTTGTTCCGAACGACAGACCTCCTGTAGCAGGTGCAGCTCCAAAATTCAAACCACCAGTAGTAGTACTTGATGTAGGTGTACCAAATGATAAACCAGTAGTTGTTGTAGCAGCAGATGTACCAAAGCTCAGTCCTCCAGTTGTCAAACCACCAGTTGTTAGACTACCAGTAGTTAGGCCTATTGCAGATGTTGCAGCTGTTCCAGTTGTTGGGGTTCCAAAGGTCAAACCCGTAGGCTTAGCTGTTGGTGTGCCAAATGTCAAACCAGTTGACTGTGCAGGTTGAGTTGGTTGACCTAACTGGGTTGGCTGTGCTGGTGTTGTTGTTGAAAAGAGAGTAGATGCTGTCGTTGCTGCAGCAGCAGTTCCCAGCATTGATCCAGTTGGCTGAGTTGCTGGTGTTGGATTACTACCAAAACTGAAGTTTATTGTTGACATTGAAGTTTGAGCTGCTGGTTGCATTGCTGGTGCTGGTGTTGCTGTTGTTGTAGCACCAAAAGTTGTGCTTGTACCGAAACTCCTGCCTGCTTGTCTGTTAAATAAGTTCTACTAAAAATTGCCATATCAAATTTCTTTTGTACCCAACAAAATAGTGTACCATACGAAACTATAAACCGTAATTTGGAATAAGCATAATAAAACGGTCAATAGTCCGTTTCTCTTCGAAAATAACAAAAACTTCTCTACGAAATTCAAAAATTAAAATTAACTAATTTATAGGTTATAATTGTTCTGATGCTCACGATTGCGTGTTGAAGGTGAAACCAGTTGTTGGTGCAGTTGTGGTGGTGGCCCCAAAGGTAAACTTCGACATCGTAACGTTGCTCAGTATCGAAAAAATCACTTAAAAATCATCAAGCAAATGAGTTTTCATCTGCAGAATCAACAATACACATACCGCGTTTCAAATGGCACATTGAGGATTTGAAGTCTGCTAAGGCGCAAGCGCGTGAAGCAGCAGGCAAATTCCCGCGCATAAAACTATTCGTGTATATATATATATATATATATATATATATATATATATATATATATAGTACTTTCATCTCGACTATTTAAATTGAGTAACTACTTGCTAAAAAAGGCATATCAATCACTCAGAGCTCAACAAATTTGTTCACTACCTCAGATATAATTTTTAAGTGAATTATATTACGATGATGATTGGTTGCTTCATCTAATTGATTCTAATTCAAATCAAGTATCCCCGCTTTAAACATATAAAATGACGCGTGCGCTTTTCTTGTTGATACCACGATTATTTAAATCGGCGCAACGCTACTGCCAGTTGCTAGATAATATGGTGTACCTTTTGAGGAGTAAATATTTGAGCGGGTTATTGATGTTGCGATGCTGATATTTTATTACGTAATTGTCAATAGGGTAATATGAGTGTAATGAAATTTATGACTGTATTGTTCAAGGAACTTTATCTATGACACAAATATTTTAAGAAATCATTTAACTGTAATGATCGTTTTGAAATACTTTAAATTTCGCTACTCTAATCACATGACGTCTGTTTGAGTATAGTGTAATGAGTATAATCAAGTGTTATCTAAGCACGTAGTTGGCAAAGCTATTTCTTTGGAAATTTATACGTATTCGTGTTTAATCTTAGTTTCAGCTGTGTCTGCTTAAGATTTTAAAAAGTCAATTATATTATATTATATTAAATTTATTGTATTAATTATATTATATTATTAAATATTGTATTAAATAAATATAAAAAACATAATTTGGAATGTTGAAAAGGTCGATTATATTTATTCAATGCTACATGAAATATAATGATATGCATGGTCGTTTCTGCCCTTTTCTAATTTCACAATAACTTACGGAATAGGTATATATTGATGAAGTTTATTTGAGCTAATAAATATTCTACTTTATAGACAACAAGATGTGAACGTAGATTATGAGTGAGAATTTATAAAAGAACTATATGGAGTATCTATCTTAAAAAATTATTCTTCTGTTCCAATTCATCAGCTTCCGCTGGGCCGGCCGATCCATACCTACAAAATAATATTCGTATTAGAGTGATTTTCAGATGGAAATATATTAATTTAGTTGAGTTTTACGCTTTTCCGCCAATTTTTCTTCCCAGCGTAAGAAATATTCTTGAAATGAAAATATTCAAGAATTAACTTACTTATATTCAACCAGTGGTATTTGTTTCGTATCGATTTCATTAAAAATGGGTGTGAATATTCTCCACGCCTCGCGAAGCTCATCGGTGCGTACGAAATTTACTTGACAGCCTTTGAAAACGTCGAGAAGCAAACGCTCATAAGGTTTGGGTGCCACCGCACTCTGCCAATAAAAAATTTATAATTAATCAAAATGTAATTTGATATTAGAAAGAAATGTCACCTACTCGGTTTCCCTTGTCGTAATTATAATCAACAGTGATGTCTTCAAGATTATTAGAATAACCAGTTATTTTCGACGTAAGTTTAACTTGTAACGACTGAGGATTTTTCAAATTGATGACCAGTTCATTTCGCTTAGGTTGCGTCTCAAATAAAGCATTGTTGGCATTCTTTAATTGTATTATGATTTGCGTCTGATTCTGATTCAATGCTACAATAGGTGTTCATTGATAAATAGTCACAGTTATTATTTTGATTGAACAGTATTGTACTATTACCTTTCCCAGCTCTAATGATGAATGGCACACCCTCCCATCGTTGATTTTTAACGCGAAGAACAGTTTCAGCGAAAGTTGGAGTTACCGAATCGTCTGGTACTGTTCGTTCACCTCTATAACCCACTTTCGCTTCAAAATCGTTTGAAGCGGGGTTGACAACATATTGCCCAAGCACAACATCATTTGCATCATTTATCGCTTGCGTATCAGTCAACAGCTTAACCTTGGCATCTCTGGACATTAATGTTAAAAAGAATACGAAGGAAAAAAGTAATTCGTAAACAAGTTTCAGTGTTTGTACCTTATGTCATCGGCACGATTGGAATTGGGTTTCTCCATAGCGACGATTGACATCACTTGAAGCAAATGGTTCTGCATGACATCTCGAATAATACCAACGGAATCGAAGTAGCTACCACTCCCTTGGACGCCGATTTCTTCTGCAAAATTGACCTTGACTGCGGCAACGTTTTCCTTGTTCAAGATGGGCTCAAACATCCTATTCCCAAAACGTAGTGCAAAGAGATTTTGCACCATTTCATAACCAAGATAATGATCAATTCTGTAGATCTGATCTTCGGTCAAGACACTTGCCAGGTGTTCTGATAATTTTTGAGAGCTTTCAAAGTCGTAGCCAAATGGTTTTTCTATGACTACACGAGTCAATCCACTGAAATAAACGTTAATAATGTGAAATACGCGAAATCTCTTTATCGTTGGAAAATTTACTGTTTAGCCATAGCTGCTGCCTTGATATTGGAAGTAGCAGATGCAAACACAGAGGGTGGTAAAGCCAAATAGAATATTCTATTGCTCTTCAGGCCCTTTTCGTAAGCTTCAACAGCATTGTTAAGTACTTGATAGTCTGATAATCCACCATCAGTGCCACGAACGTAGCTGGTCAACTGCCAAAACTTGTCGTAAAGTTTCTTTTCGGTAGAGTTTACCGTAACATAGGGTTCGACATTTTTTCTCAGAAGTTCGACTTTCATCTGCTTCCTTCCGTAGCCGAAGATCCTCAGGTTATTTGGCAACAGGTTGTTCTGGTAAAGGCTCCACAATGCTGGATAAATTTTACGTTTCGAAAGATCGCCCTGGAATATTTTTGCTTTACGCTAGGTTGTCAATAAATCGCCAATGCTCATGTCTTTCACTGAACTTACCGTAGCGCCAAGAAGAATGAAAGAATAACGAGTTGAACTTTCAATATGAGCCGAAGAATTTACTTTGATAACGTTCTCGGCTTTGGGTACAGCGTAAGCGTGATTCCCCTTGATGCAAACTATAGCACAGAAGGTTAAATGATTTAGTTTCATAACAATTTATCTTTCAAATATATGTCAATAATCGCATTTTTATTACCTGTTATAAATGAGAAGAGGAGTACAGCACTTTTTAACAACATTGTGCCTTTTAGAAAATCAAAAAGTAATATTCAATAATCTAGTAACTTCTGCAACCTTTGCTAACTTTGTCAAGCATTAAGTTTCTCAAATAATATAATGTTAATTACGCGAGCTTTGTACGTGTAGGTTGGCAATTCAAATCTAACTGCCTGCCACTGAGTGACACTCCTATATATTTATACTCAATTTTTTGATAAGGACATTTCAAGTGTTAATTTTTTGAAACCTATTAATTTTCCACTTCTACATACAGTGGCTTTCTCAATAATATGTGATCAAAAGTAAAAAATAAATTAAGTCAGATGTTATACTCATTACATACTTATACAACTACGGGATAATCGGCAATATTGAATCAATAGTCCATAAAATCTATCAAGACTGATTTAATATACATTAAGTGATTAGCTTCGCTTTCCTTGTTCTCATCAAACTCAACTACAGTATTATTCAGCTTTCGTTTGTCGAATTAAATGTCTTTAAAACACGAATGGAATGTATGAAAAATAATTTTTACCAGCACACGCACAAAGTATTTCATTTAAAGAAGAATTATTTGCTTTAACCGTATCGATTTTAATATGTATGTGGATGGGCCACACGGTATTAATGGAATCATGGGATAAAAAATCTTAACTACAGAATACGTGTTATTCGCGGTCAAGTAAGTGCCTGATGTATGTACACATACATCTGTCTCAGTTCGATATTGCTTTCGATACTTATGCAAATAAGATATTACACTAGCAGTTTAATGAGTTTATGAGTATATGAGTTTTGAAAGGAACTGAACTACCTTCATGCATCAACGCTATGCATAGACTCGCAATGATCTACTTTTCAGGCACATTCATCATGTTTCTGACTTTAGGAGATATTGAGAAAGCATGGAAGTTATTTTCATGAACATACGACTAGAAGTTTAATTTCAAACTTATTACAAGTATTATTGCTTCAGACTCGATGAATACGCATAGTCAATAATATTTTACTGAGAAACTATGGCAGGTGGGTATTAAAATTCTACTTAGCTGACGCTGTGCTTGAACGGTGTAGGCAAATAAGGAAAGAAAAAATCTTATTTTTATGGTTCGTAAACAGATTTGTTAATTTCCTCAGAAAAATAGCTGGCCCAAATTGCTTTGGTCAGAACAAATTCATATAGTCGTAGAATACGTGCATTTGTTCTGATCACATCACGAAACGTAAAAAAGTGTTTTCTTTCCTCATTTGCTCACATCGATCAAGCACAGCGTCAACTGAGATAAAACTATGGGAGATGAGAACAACGACCACAAAAATTCAAATTCTATTGCTTTCTTGTGATTCGTGTAACTCAAATGTGAATAGTTTTATTCATTCAAGCGTAGCAAATTTCATCGCGAAGAAGGACAAATAATTAGATTTTCCAATGTAGTTGTTATTAAAGTAAGGTAATTTATTATATCATGAATTTTTCGAGGAAAATTACGACAAAATATAATGTATCCCGTTGAAAATGAATTAATTCTACTTCACATGCATTTAGTGCAAAAAATTATTTTTCTTTTCCATCTCGTCGGCTTGCAAAGGTCCATCCGATCCAAATCTAAAAGTATATATCATTACGTGAATAATACGTATGTACTCCTCGTGTGATTAAAGGCATACAATAACAAATCCTTACTTGTACTCTATTGGTCGAATTTTCTTTTCTTCAATTTCATGAAGTATAGGAGTGAAGATTCTCCAAGCTTCAAGAAGCTCATCGGCGCGTGCAAAATTCGATTGAGAGCCTTTAAAGACGTCACGAATTAACGTCTCATACGGTTTTGGTATTTGAATTCCCTACGAAAAATAATCCGTCTATAAAAATCTTGCTGTGCAATATCGGCCAGTTAATTGTAGATACACGAAGAATATAAAAACAACCGGATGCAGTTTGCTGAAATTTACGTCGATAGAAATATTTTCAACGTCGTTCGAGTAACCAGGAACTTTCGATGCAATTTTAGTTTCAAGAGCATGTGGATCTGTTAGTTTGATAACTAATTCGTTCCTCTTCAATTGATTACCAAACAAATTCTTGGAAGCGTTCTTAAACTGAATGATTGCTTGGTTGCGATTCGCGTTCAAACCTGTATATTTTTTTTATTAGTGATCATAACACGAAATCACTATATATACATATATAATGATAAGATACCTTTTCCAGATCTGATGATAAAAGGCACACCCTTCCATCTCTCATTCTCGATTTTAAGAATAGTTAGTGAAAAAGTGGCGGTGATAGAGTCATTAGGTACAGTTGGATCGTCTCTATAACCAATTTTCTGTTTTGAATCCTTAGAGTCAGGATTAGCAATATACTGGCCAATTACAACGTCGTCCATAACGATTTCTTTGATACTTTTTAATAGCTCTACTTTGGCGTTTCTGGAAAACATCAACAAATTAGATTTTTTTTAAATATCCATATTTTCCATTAACTTTATACTTTATTTCATCGGGATGTAATGAGGCAGGTTCATCCATGGCAATCACCGACAGCAACTGAAGCAAATGGTTTTGCACGACATCTCGAATCACACCATTCCTGTCGAAAAAGTTTCCACGACCCTCTACTCCAATGTCTTCAGCAAAGTCAATTTTGACGGATGCAACGTTTTCTTTATTCCAACCAGGCATAAAAATTCTATTACCAAAGCGTAGCAAGACAAGATTTTTCACTATATCATAGCCTAAGAAACTATCCAGTCGATAAACTTGGTCTTCCGTGTAAAGTTGCTCAACGATATCGGCAAGTTCTTTTCCACTTTCGGAGTCACGGCCGAATGGCTTTTCTATCACTACTCGAGTGTACCCTCTAAAAAATTATTCAATAACAAATGAAATAATCTAAAGGAAAATGTAAGTGATATTACCTCTTAGACATCGCATTCTTCTTGATAAACCTACTGGCATTGGGAAAAATATCGGGAGGTATAGCCATGTAAAAAATCCTATTACCCTCTTGACCATCTTCAAACTTCTCAACAAATTGATCAATGACCGCGTAATCTTGCTCGCCACCGTCAGTCCCATTGACAAAGTAGTTGAATTTCCAAAATTCATCGTACAGTTGCTCTTCGCCAGGTCGTAGCGTAACGTAAGGCTCGCAATTGTTACGTATATAGTCGACGGAGCGTGGCGTTCTTGCAAAACCGAAGAACCTCGTGTTGGGTAGAAGCAAGTTGTCGCGATAGAGAGTCCACAGTGCCGGATAGATTTTACGTTTAGAAAGGTCTCCCTAGTAAGTTTATGACTTTGTCCATGGTTCATTGTTGATGTACGTTTAGTGTTTAGAATCGAGTAGAAACTCACCGAAGCACCAAGGAGAATGAAGGAGTTATGTGGACGACTGTCTTTCACTAAAGCATGGCCTTCGTGAAGTGAAACTTGATATTTATATATTACCATTAGTTTCTTTCAACGAATACCTATGATTTACGGAGAAAATATATTTGTTGATACGAAAATTATAATACTTACTCGAGATCGAATAAAGAAAGAGGAGAATAATTTTGAGCATCGTGCTTGTTGGTTCCCGAGTAGAATCAGTCAGTTGCTGTGCAATACGCAGTGAGAATCACTACTGCCCGGCAAGAAAATTTCTAGAAGCGAGCGTTTATGAAATGTTGAGCAATGGCGTTAGCACGTAAAATACTGAAAATTTATAATCAATATATTTGCTTGATTTACAGTTCTGTTGGCGATAGCGAAGGAATCGATTCAGCATTTATCATTGATAAGAATAAAAATTAACATTTCGCAGATTAAAAAACAAATGAAAATTTCAAAGGCGATTACCTTTATTATAATTTTTATTATGTGTTACAGTTTGTAGGAATGTGTAATTTTTATATAGATCCATAATTCATGCATTGCGGAATGCGAATTAATGAATTATCATTCAGTTTCAAGATTCACGAGAAAACTATTTAATTATTTATTTATTATTTTAATTATTTATCTATTTAATCTTGTTGTTATAAATTTATTATGTAATTAAAGACTTACGATTATCGATTGGTTGTCGATTGACCGTGTTTGAGTAAAGCAATGTGTCGCATTAGACGAATACATAAAACGCTTGTTAGATCGTGAAATAGAGTTCTAACGAGTTGTTCATCGAACAAAGGATGTCAATGTTCATGAGATAATTATTCTTTTGTGACTATTCCAATACAGAAGAAAGAAATGTGGAGCGAGATGTAGACTCACTGCAATTAGTATTGTCGCACGTGTTGTTAACGAATTTTCGCTTTTATAATGTTAAACGCTACTCGCGTGAAAAGATAATATTAAATACGATCTGTTTTTTATTGGAAAGTAGAGCGGTTAGCGAAATTTCAGAATCAGTAAAGTTTATAGTTAAAAATTCGACCATTAATTTATTGATCACAGACATTCGCAGACTTTTTGAACACGATTGTATCGCTCATACATTGTGAATAGAAAATGATTTATTCTCTTAAGAAATTGTATTTTTTTTCCATTTTATCAGCTTCAGTTGGCCCTGTCGATCCAAATCTATAAATAAAACAGTGCAATATTGTATTAAATCAAAGCTTTTTCTTCTTCATAACCTTCGTAAGTAACGGACAAAAACAAATTCTAAATCATAAAAATTAACGACTTACTTGTATTCGATCGGCTGAAGGTTTTTGCTTTCAATCTCATGAAGTATAGGAGTGAAAATTCTCCAAGCTTCCTTGACTTCGTCGTTACGAACAAAGTGTAGCTGAGAGCCTTTAAAAATGTCAAGAATTGCTTTTTCGTACGCTTCAGGTATTCTAAAACCCTTTGAAAACAACACGATATAAAATGCTTTCTAAATTACAATTCTGCGATAATATATCTTGCTCGTACCTTATGTGCTTCTTCGTACTTGAAATCAAGTGTGATTTCTTCAATGTCGTTAGTGTAACCAGGAACTTTGGAAGTTAATTTAGCTTGTAAACCTTCGGTTCCCTTAGCTATCAGAATTAGTTCATTTCTTTTTGGTTGACTGCCAAATAGTCCAGTTTCAACGTCCTTAAATTGAATTACAACTTCAGTTTGATTGATGTTCAAACCTAAAAAGATGGACAGTTATGTCGTTAACCATTCGATAAATCCTGTGGCAATAAATGTTGCGTAATCTTTACCTTTCCCAGCTCTAATAATGAAAGGCACACCCCTCCAACGTTTGTTGTCGACTTTCAAAACAGTGAGAGCGAAAGTCGACGTGTTGGAATTGTTAGGTACGGTTGGATCGTCTCGGTAGCCAATTCTTTCTCTTGGATCCTTCGAGTCAGGATTGGCTACATACTGACCCAAAACTACGTCATCCATCGCTATTTCTCTCGTAGCTTTTAGTACTTCCACCTTGGCGTCTCTGTAATTAAAAATAACAGTGTAACGCCAGTGACAACTATTGTGATTTATAAAAATTGCGAGGACGCACCTGATGTCATTATTGTTGTTAGATTTCGGTTGTTCCATAGCGATCAAAGTCATGATTTGAAGTAAATGATTCTGCATGACGTCGCGAATAATACTGTTCGGATCGAAGAAAGAGCCACGACCTTCGACACCCAGATTTTCTTTCAAATCGATCTCAATGGCTGCGATGTTTTCATTATTCCAAGCAGGAGTGAAAAGCCGATTGCCGAACCTCAAGCTGTATATGTTTTGCACCATCTCGTAATTTAGGAAATGATCCATACGGTAGATCTGATCTTCAGTGAATAATTGTTGAAGGTGCCGTAATAGTTCTTCTGCGCTTTTAGTATCACGGCCAAATGGCTTCTCTAATACTATTCTGGTCCAACCGCTAAAAATAGCAATGTAAATGTACTAGCCGATTGCAAATTATCATTCGATAGTTTCGACAAAACTTTCTTCGAAATTTTCAGAAAAATGCACGTTCACGGAACTCACTTTTTGGCCATAGCAACACGCTTGATCTGCGTAGTTGCACTTGGAAAAACAGCTGGCGGTAGCGCTAAATAAAACAGCCTATTTCCTTTACCACCGTCTTCATACTCGTTGACAATTTTGTTAATTTTCTCATAATCCTTATCCTCGCTACCCTCGCTACGAATGTACACATTCAGAGACCAGAATTTATCGTAAAGTTGTTTTTCATTGCTCTTGACTTTAACGTATGGCTCGACATCTTTGCGTATTTCATTGATCGTCCGATTTCTCCGCGCGTAACCGAAGATCCTCGTCTTCTTTGGTAATAGATTGTCACGGTAGAGGTACCATAATGTTGGGTATATCTCGCGCTTCGACAAGTCACCCTGTATTGCAAGCGATTGAGCGATAGTGGACAACTCTTTAAATGTCTTTATAATAGATAAATTTTGCTTACGGTTGCACCGAGGAGGATAAAGGAGTGACTGCTAGAGTTTAAATCATTGTCCGGCTGGCTGACATCCTGGCGCAACGTTCGTTTTACAACGTACGACAAACTTGGTTGCACAGCTAATAAAATAAAAATATTAGAACGTCCGGAAATATTTGGGATTGTTTTATATCCTTATTGCAAACTATCGCAAAACGCGCGAGTTCTTGTTTCCGATCGTTTGTAATTGACGTTACGTTTGCACTTTAATCGCACTAATACTCGCAAAGAATAATATTCTTCGTTTATTCAACAATCCCGTGAAATACGAAGCTCGCAATCGCAAGAAAACAATCTTCCTGAAGCACACAGCGATCTCATAAGAAACGAATGGTAAAGCACGTTACCTCCAGCCAAGAAGCCGAGTAGTGTCAGTTGTATAAACATCGCGTCAGTTGCTCTCGGAATGAGGAAATAAAAGCGTTGGAGCATGCACAACCGCGGGTGCAGCTTACGGCACGAACAGCATTTATATATTATTCGATTGTTGATCTTGATAACACTGTTGTTGTTATCTTCAGCTGATAATACAATGATAATTGATTATAGGTTTTTCCTTTTTGTCGTTAATTTTTACAACTTTTTCTGAATGTTCATTGTCTTTTATTAGAAATGAATAGTCTTACTATCAAAATAAGTTTGGCTGTAAAAGCTACCGATGAGCTACTTAACGATGTTTACACTCCTCTAAACGAATTTTAATACATGATGTTATCTTATTGATAAGATTAGTTAATATAAGCTTGTATTGGCTATTTTTAAATATTTTATTTTCTCATCGATGACATTGAACTAATTGGAACTATTTGTTAAAGGTAATTAGTTTCACGACATTGACCTTTGATATAAACTTGACAAAAAATCGAACGAGGTGAAACATTTCTTTCATTTTTTGTGCGAGTTAACGTACTTATATAGCACCCTCGCTTAAGGTTAAATAAAGACTCGAAACAAGTAATTTTTTTTATAATTGTTATATACGACTTGGTTTGTTTAGAAGATAAACCACAAATTAGCTCTGAGTGAACGTTTTCCTTCAAATTGATTAATTGCATAATCAGATGTATGTACTTTAAAAAAATTAATCATGTGTATTGTTTCACTGGAAAAAAAGTAAAACATAATTACCAATCCTATTGATCGCGGGTACAACTTCTTTGAACTTATTAACTGAATTAAAAGTTGACAATGCTCATTTTTTAATTATTCTTATGAGACATAACCATTGAAATTAGGCATTTTTTACACTGACATTTTTCAGTTCTCTTCAAAATAAGCCAAATCTATTTGTATTCGTTAAAACTGAAACGATTATAAATATATTTAACAGCCAAATTGAGTATTAATTTGTTGTCTATAAACGTTCAATCAAAATCCAAATTAAGACAGTACAACTGATTTTTTTGTGATAAATGTGTTGATTGATTCTTGAAATTTTATGTCGCGTCAACAAAAACCAAATCATTTCCTGCAAACTTACATTCTTACTTTGTTGTCTTCACTCAAGGAAAATCTAGTCTATAGTAATAATTATTTTTTGTTTAAACCTATAGTAATAATTAATTTTTTGTTTAAACGTCAATAAAAGTTAACAGAGAAATATCATGAATTTCTAGATTGTTCACTTTACTATAGTGGCTTCGCACGAATATTTGGGTCACTTTTTCATTGGCAGAAAATTAAATAGGAATTAGTGTAATAAAATTATATTATAATGAACGCCTGGTTTTTAACTACCAAGATAATTTATTTTATCACAGACCCAAAACGAAAAAAAAATATTAAAAGTAAGTAACTGCGACTCGGTTTTACTCAAAAGCCTGTTAGAATACTTCTATAATGCGCATTTCCTGAATCCATGGTCGCCTTTTGTCAAAGAAAACATAATGTAAATATGTATAGGTAATGCAGGTGTAAGATGCGGGTGGGAAATAGACCGTTAACCGTAATTTCCATAAAGACAACCCTGGCAAGTTTATTGGCCTGCATAACGTCTTTCACTATTTAACGCCCGTTCGAGTCTCTATAATTGAAAGGCTGACGTAACATGCAAAAGAAGGTTAAATTACAGCTATAGTTTTTTTCCTGAATACAACCGCTATTTATAATGTTTATGGCCAAATTTTCTCTTAGAGACTATATATACACTTTTTTTATATATATAATACATTAATGCGGATAAATCAAATTCTCAACCAAACCGAAGTATTCCAGCCAGATAATTACACTTGAAATTAAATTTAATTACAACGCTTTTTGTTATTGACTCGCGTGTGCTTCAAAAAAAGTTTTATTGCATACTCTCATCTCTTTGCCGAGATAAGTATTATGTCGTCTTCTTTCGGAAAAGTTTTGAGGAAATACAGTTATATGTTTGTTCAATATGAGTGAATTCCAAATTTCTGCTGCTATTTCATTGATAAGAAAAAATATTGTTTCTTTATTGACTTATCGATTTGCAGAAATTGGTTTTGTCACGTAAACCTAAAAATATCAATTCAAATTACAAACAAATATACCTATCATATAATAAAGGAAGTGTAGATAATATATTGAAAAAAAAATTATTCAATCTCTTAAAAAATTATTTCTCTTCTCCATCTCTTCAGCTTCAATTGGTCCTGTAGATCCGAACCTGAAAATATTTCAATAGTTCAATAGACTGTTTATTTGCATATAAAAATACATCATTATTTTTATAGTTATGTTATAAAAAAGTATCATAAAATTTCATGGGTAACAACAGAAGAAGAAATTTTGAATTCGATGCTGACTTACTTATATGCGAGTGGTCGAATTTTTTTGCCTTCAATCTCACGAAGTACGGGAGTGAAAATTCTCCATGCTTCCTTGATTTCCTCGAATCGTACAAACTTCGATTGAGCGCCTTGGAAGACGTAAAAGATTGATTTTTCGAATGCCAAAGGTATTCTAAAGCCCTTTAGAAATAATAAAGAATAAAACAATATATAAAGTCATGCTATTTTCGAAATTCTCGAGTATGAATCTACCTTATGTTCCTCTGCGTACTTAAAATCAAGATTTATTTCTTCAAGCTCGCTGGAATAACCCGGAACTTTAGAAGTCATCTTAGCCTGCAAACCCTCAATCCCCTTAACCGTCAGAATCAATTCATTCCTTTTTGGTTGATTATCGAACATACCAGCCTCAACGTCTTTGAATTGAATGATTATTTGAGTCTGATTGAGATTCATAGCTGAAATTTCCGTGCATTGTCTTAGTATTTATGATTGTTACGTGCATAAATTACGATCGATATACCTTTTCCAGCTCTTAAAATAAATGGGACATTCCTCCAACGTTTACTATCGACTCTCAAAACAGTAAGAGCGAAACTCGCCGTGATGGAGTCATCAGGTACACTCGATTCGTCTCGATAGCCGACTCGTGCGCGTGGATCTTTCGAGTCAGGATTAGCCACGTACTGGCCCAATACCACGTCATCTATGACTATCTTCCTTACAGATTTTAGAAATTGTACTTTTGCATCTCTGTTATCAAAAATAATAAGGTAACGTGAACGAAAGGTGAGTCAGTTGTATTTGATAAAATCGCTTGAACGTACCTGACGTCGTCAGGATTCTTTGATTTCGGCCGTTCCATGGCTATCAACGACATCATCTGGAGCAAGTGATTTTGCATAACGTCACGAATGAAGTTGGTCTTATCGAAAGAAGCACCGTGACCTTCTATGTTCACATTCTCTTTCAGATCAATCGCAACAGCTGCGATGTTTTCTTTGTTCCAAGCTGGCGCCAGCAGTCTGTTAGCAAATCTCAAGCTGAATATATTTTGTACCATTTCGTAATTTAGAAAATGGTCGTTGCGATAGATTTGATCTTCGGTAAACAACTTTCGCAGGTGTTGATTCAGTTTATTTGCGCTTTCAGAATCGTGACCGAATGGTTTTTCCACTACTATTCTGGTCCATCCACTGTGAAAACATTAGCGACGCTACATTGACCGTTTGGTATTTTTTTTTTGCATCAACGAACGCATACATGCAATTGGACCTACGTTTTAGCCATGGCAACTCGCTTGATCTGCGAAGTAGCATTCATAAAGACCGTTGGTGGTATTGCAAGATAGAATAATCGATTACCTTCGGCACCATCTTCAAATTCATCGATGGCTTTCCTAATCGTTTCATAGTCTGCGTCTTCAGTGCCACTACCACTAATGTACGCATTTAAAGACCAAAATTCATCGTAAAGTTTCTTCTCGCGTGGATTAACAGTGACGTACGGTTCGACACTTTTGCGTAGATCATTGATCGTGCGCTTTCTTCTTGCGTAACCAAAGATCTTCGTGTTATTCGGTAACCGATTGTCGCGATAGAGATACCATAACGATGGATAGATTTCATGATTAGCCAAGTCTCCCTGTATTTTCATTTATCGAATTACTATGGAAACTCCTTTGATTAAATGATGTGTAAAATTTACTTACTGATGCACCAAGGAGGATGAAAGAGGTACGGGTCAAGCTTGGTTTTACAACGTTGGCTAGAGTCCGCTTCGTGACTGATAAAATTGAAATAAGTTGGTGATGTTTTTTTAAATCTCGTATTTATCTCGTATGACAAATTTTGAAACAGTCTAACAATATGTATAAAAGATTTTCTCATACAAGCTGGATGAATTAGACAATGCAATTTACCTGTCCCTATGCACACGAAAAGTACTAGCAGTTTTAACATTGCAACGTTCGTTCAAAGTAAAAAACTTTGTATTCACTACAGGTGGATATTACTGCATGTGCACAACTCTTATATATGAAATTAATTGTTGATTTTGGTTGTGCATAATGTTCTTATCGTTAACAATACAACATTACAACTGATATTTTCCTTTTTCATCATTCGCTTTCACGCACCTTTTCCATTTACTGCTTTTGATTCGATTAGGAATAAAGAGTTCCATCATTAAAGATCATTCATCAAATTTTATATCATGGCACATTGAAGTACCCAACTAAAGCAGTTGTAATAGCAAACAAGGATGCATATTACGACCGACTGTGTGTTTATATGACCCCTCGAGGAAAATTTAGGGTCATCTTTAGTTTCACGTAACAAGGTGAATAAAAAATATTTTTAGTTCAATGTGCATTTGATCTAATATAATATTGTTGATTGATTAAACACTTTGGTTTACTCAAAGATTATATTTTACTTAAAAACTAATTTGGTGTATAAGTATTGAGTAAATTTATTTACATCTTATATACATTATTAATTGAATTACGTTCATAATAAATGCAATTTAGAATTTTATTGTTGCAGTTTTTACGAGACTTGACATTTTTTCATGAGTTAATTCATTTGATCAACAGCAAAATCACAATTTCTTCACTGATGCTAATTAAATTGGAAACTCGTAGGTAGCATTTGTAATTAATTTCTCAAAAAATTATTTCTTCTCTCCATCTCGTCAGCTTCTTTAGGGCCTGTAGTTCCGAATCTGTAACATTTCAATGTAAGGACAGTTTGGCCAAAGTGAACGATAATGTACGAGCAAAATATCTCACTTGTACTCGATGGGTCGAGTTGTATTGTTTTCGATTTCGTAAAGAATCGGAGTGAAAATCCTCCACGCTTCTTTAAGTTCATCGGAGCGCACGAAATTCGATTGAGAGCCTTCGAAGACATTCAGAATTAGCTTTTGGTAAGCTTCAGGTATTCGTTTATTCTGAAAGCATTAAAATATAAAATTTCAATTTGATCACTTGAAAATCGAAAAGCTTCACGTGTTAAACAAACCTTGTAGTCTTCTTCATAATTGAAATCAGCTACTATCTCTTCGATGTCATTCTTGTAACCAGGTACTTTCGACATTATCTTTACCTGTATACCTTCGCTTCCTTTTACCCTTATTACCAATTTGTTTCTTATGGGTTGACTTCCGAATAAATTATCGGGCACATTCTTGAATTGAACGATAACGTCTGTCTGATTGACGTTCAAACCTGGAATTTATACGAGCCACTGTACTTGACTTGCATTTCTTCATCTGCTAAAATACATACTTTTTCCAGCTCTGATAATGAAAGGTACACCTCTCCAACGTTCGTTTTCAACTCTCAAAACTGTGAGAGCAAAAGTGGATGTGTTCGAGTGGTCAGGCACGGTTGGATCGTCTCGGTAGCCGATTCTTTCCCGAGGATCTTGCGAGTCAGTATTGGCTACATACTGGCCCAAAACTACGTCATCCATCACTATTGCTTTGGTATATCTTAACAGATCTACTTTGGCATCTCTAGAGACATATCAAATAACACTGAACACTACAATAAACACCGTGAAAATGCAAAAGAAAAAGAAATACCTAATATCATCGGAGCTGTTAGATTTTGGTCTTTCCATGGCGATCAGCGACATTATTTGAAGCAAATGATTCTGCATGACATCGCGTATAATGTTATTTGCATCGAAGAAAGAACCACGACCTTCGACTCCAAAGTTCTCTCTGAAGTCCATCTCAATCGAAGCGATATTCTCATTGTTCCAGGCAGGCGTGAAAATCCGGTTGCCGAATCTCAAAGTTAGGATATTCTGGACCACTTCGTATCCGAGGAAATGATCCATGCGATAGAGCTGGTCTTCGGTGAACAGGCTACTAACGTGCCGAGACAACTCATCCGAACTCTCGGAGTCTCGTCCAAAAGGCTTTTCGAGCACTACCCTCGTCCAGCCACTGCGAAAGCAACAAGGATAAGCAGTCGAGTGGTCAAACTTACTCGAGCGCCAATCGCTCACTTCTTAGCCATAGCAGCAGCCTTGATGTTCCTAGTGGAATTGACGAAGACAGCCGGTGGCAGCGCCAAGTAGAATATCCGATTGGCCTCTTCTCCATCCTCAAACTGGCTGACAGCTCTGTCGACGTTCCGGTAATCCTCTTCGCTGCCATCGGAGCCGGCGACGTAGCTATTCAGCTGCCAGAACTGATCGTAAAGCTCTTCCTCGCCGGGATTAACGGTGACGTACGGCTCGACGGTCCCTCTCAGGTAGTCGATCGTGCGCTGACGCCTTGCGTAACCAAAGATCCTCGTGTTCTTCGGCAGCAGCTGCTCGCGATACAGGTACCAGAGCGACGGGTAGATCTCGCGCTTCGATAAGTCTCCCTGGCGGAACAGCGGCGTCTACTTTCAATCTCTTCGGTCTCAGCGCGCACGGCAAAGTAAAGTTCAGCGAGTTACCGTTGCCCCAAGGAGGACGAACGAGTGGCGAGCCGAATCGTCGTTGGATGCACTCGCTGGCTTCGCTGCCGATCGACTTGCGTGCGGAACGTAAGCGAGGCCTCGTCGTGCCGCTGATCGCCCACATAGTTCATTCGTTACTCTCGGCCGAATCGTGTCACGCCTGCCCCGTGCCGACGACGATTACGACGATCGCGTTCGATTGTCTCTTAGCCAGTCGTCGAACCAAACTCCCGATTAATTTGCGCCGTTAAGACTGCGACCATCAGCTCGCGCGATTGAAAAAACGAAAATACAGCATTCCCCTTTTTATCGCAGTTATGGACAACAATCGAGCGTCTTATTCCGTGTAACAATGCGAATGAAGCAAGGCTCTATCGTCACCGCCGTGCGTTTTATTATCGCTATTTCGACTAAGCAAAGCTAGGCAAACATTGCGCAGAGAGAGAATCGTACTCACCAGCGTCTAGACAGACGAGAACGAGGAGTAGCGCGTTCATGACGACAGAACGACGTCTGCTTGCCTGCGCGAACGGGGATAACGCTGGATAGCGCGGATCTTATATACGCAACTAACAATTACGCTATGCATGCGATCATCTCCCGGCCCCTTTGTTTCCTCCGCTCTCTATTATCGTATTGTACGCGCTGCCTAAATAGTAATGGAATGATTATAACTTGCACCATGTTGCGTTTTTTTCGGAAAAACAAGTGCGATAATGACTATCGGTTCGGAGAAATTAGAAAAACTTTATAGTTGATACAGTTCGTGCAGTGTTGACTATTTTTCGAACGTTTTTCCCAGTGATAATACGATGTAGGTCAGAGGTTTAAGCGATTTACCCGCTCTCTACTTGTTTTATGTTTATTTTATTTTGAAAAACTATGCGTCATTTCCTCGGTAACAGAGCATTGTACACACAAGAAACTTGTCATATGCTATAGTATAGTGACTACAGTTTCGCGAGGACAATCACATGCGATAATTTTATGCGTTGTCTTCTTTTTTAAGCAGTTCGCTTGTCGAAACATCTTATCTATCAGTTTCTGGAGAAATCTGAGATATGTTAAGAGGAAATTGATTATTTCTCGATTAATTAATAAAAGCGATGGAATTAATGGTGTAAGTTTTTGAACAGTTCAATTGGAGCTTCAGTAGAATTTGAAGCTCTAATTAAACAATCAATAATACAATAGTATCACCAGTACAAAGTAAAAACTTACGCGACAGCTACAGTTGTTCCAAGACAATACCGAGTGGTTAACGATTCGAAGATATGTATATATAATCTACTAATTGTCGCGTTACCGACAAGAGTAATAAACCTAAAACGCTTTTTCATAATATACTCTGACATTGACTGTAGCCTTAGTCCACCATCTATCACCTTTTCCTTTCAAATCCATTATGTCCAATTCAGAAGAAAGTTTTCGAATTTAACATTGTATCACACATGTTCAGTCTGCCAGTGAAAAAGTTCACATAAGGATTAATTTCAATTAGATTACTTCAATCATAAATTGGAAACTTCCTTTCTTAGTCGATTGCTTGTCTACAAAAACAACAAATCGCGACAATAGATCGTTCGTTGCCTCTAAGAAGATAAGAATTAATGTGAGTTTTTTTTTTCGTTGCTGATGATAAAAGTAGGTTTTTTCCTGTGGAAATTTAACGCAATAGTTTCATATGAGATCGAGCTAAGATAAAGGTCGGGCTACTGAAATGAATGAAAAATTAATGTTGCAGAAGTAAATGTTTAATAAGATATAATAAGTGATCTTACATTAAATCTTCGACGAATCGACCGTAAGAAAATTTCTGTTTTTAGGCAGTGTCATGTACGAATATGAAAAATTGTTCGAATTAAGAAACACAACGCAATTTATTGTTATTATTGTTATATTGTTATTAGCGCCGTCATTGATAATAGAAGGAACATAACTTCCATGTATAATTCGATAAAGCTTCGTTTTAACAAGAGTTCATCTGCCATTAACTGAGAATTCTAGATAATTAGTTTATCCTATAACTCGTTAAATATGATAATGGCAAAGTCTACAATAAACTACACTTTTACAGGATGTTTCTTTTCGATGCAATCTTAAGATGAATGTGTCTTCGTAAAAATTTTTTTTATCCAACATTTATTAAACAAAACTTGAAACAATTAAAAACTATCTACAAAGGCCCCGTGTTAATTATTTGTTAAAATATTGTATATTATTTATTGATTTTATAATATATTTTTTTTCTTGTATTCGTTGACGCGTTGCAAGAGACACTTTTGGAAGCGAATAAAACTACCTACATCATTTCATCTAAATAGTTAAACAAGAATTAAATACTGCTATAGTGACCATGAAGTAATATTAGGGAAGTGACAATGGTTGAAAGAATTTCTCGTGTGTAAAACTATACTAAATCATATTTAAAGTTTTTGAAAATGTCGATTCTAATTTAATAAATCTTCAGAGTGAGTAATTCATGCAAACCGGATTAAAGTGATCGTTGCAATTATGAAACATACAGAACATTGCACCACGTCTTCTTTTAATTAAGGAATGCAAAGTTGATTAAAATGATTGACAAATATACAGTAAATCTCTAAAATTGAAATTACCAATGTGCTATAAGTAAAATTATCATTTAAAATGCGCATCATAGACATCGATAATAATACTGCTAAAATATCTCAAACTGTAGTTCAGAGAAGGTTATAAATTTATGGAAATGTTCATTTTTAAATATAAATAAATTTAATTTGTAAAAGACAGTAGACAAAAGCAATGAACGAGACAAAATTATTTCAAATATGTTATAATCAACTTTTCAAATTCCTTGACGCGATGTAGTGCGTAAAATACATACATGTGTAATACACAAACTAGTGCTTAGGTAATTAACAGAGATACGCATTCGAGAAAATGAATACACAACAAATGGTCCTCCACCAAGGTATTTAACGAATTATACTAATTAATAATATTAATCAAAGGTAATACAATTAAAAATTGTCATAATAATATGTAATGCTTAAAAGAAAACATGAATATTACAAGCATAAAATAGACAGAGTAGCGCTTAATTTTCACATATAAAACTGACAAGTGAGCTAATTTATTAAATGCAAAGTGCATCGCAACGAATCAGCAAAGTGCGATATTCACATAAAAAAAGCTTTAACGACTAAGCAACATTGATAAAAATATATCTGTAACGCGTGTCTCTTTTATACGTCACAGTTTATTTTATTTTCATCTTCACTCCTTAGCTGTTATTCGATTTTTTGAAACTTTGAAAATGTTCCTCAAAGTTTCAAAACAATTTATTTGAATTTGTTAAGTAACTATCTGACGTTCCAATTCCAGTGTTATGAACGTTTAGTGATAAAATAGACCAATGATATTTTATTTATTTCAAGCTTAAGATACTGCGGAAGGCTTTTAAGTCGCTTTCACGTAATCCTTTTTTCGTCTTATTCAATTATGTTCGTCTATTTCATTTTATAAAAGTTTACATAGTTTACGATATGGCTCTTGCACAACTTTCACTATCTGTGATGTATAATTCTTATATTTTGTACAGCATACATGGTATTCAAAAAAGAATTATATTTAATTGCATATGGATTAGATATAGCTGTCGTAAAGTGTCATCGAGTATGAATTATACTATATCAAATATGAATTAGTTAATTCAAACGACCAGTTTGTTTACTTATGAACATAATGAATGACATACTTTCAACGAATCCACAGAGAATTAAATATAATACCTTTCATGTAATGAGAAATTAAACTAATAAAATGTACGATCCATTTCTTATTCCAATGCGAATGAGGGCTTATAGTACCGGCCTGAACGAGAACACTTAATGATTAATTAGTTGCTTTCCTTAAAGCTAAAAGCGTCATACGTGACGGAAGCAGTGAAAATTAAACTTTTATAATAAAAAAAAACTTGCTTTACACGTCTTTAGATTTCGCAATCGCTAGTTATACCAAAAGTAACAAATTACAATTATTTACGACTTTGACAACCTTTTTTTATCGTGACATTGAAATGTCGTTCATATAAAATATTTTAAATAAAAATAGATCGCTAACAGAGCCCACTATATCTGTATAAAATATTATAAAAAAACTTTTCATGCTTATAGCTTTTACATTAATATTTATCATCTGTTGTCGACTAATTTAATTTAAATGGTTTTAATGTTTTACTTATGCTTTTTTCTCTGCAGTCTCAGTTTTCAAGTATTTTTTCAATCAACCAAAATCTTTCGATAACGCGAAAACACTCAGTTGCTTTAGTTAATTTAATAAATAAGACAATTAAACAAGTACATAGTAATGTAGTCGATAACAAATGCCTTTCCACATAATTATAATGTACTGCTTAATTATACTTAATTATGAATAATATATTATTCATAATTATATATATAAATAATGAGTATATCATGGAATAAACTCATGAAATTAAGAAAGCATACGATGCAAAAAATAATATACGCTAAATAACTTTTTTCCATCCACTGCTTTTACTTCCTTTCCGTCTTTTCATGGTGCCATTCTTTACCATACGCATTTTCGTTATTTACTCTTAGAAAACTAGCGTACTTAATATATTTTTTTATATAAATCTAGATTTAAAAAATCTATCTTGCGATCTAATTGGTAAAGAAAAAATATCACCTCGTGGCAGAAACACCGTTTCTCTATGAGCCCACTTCTTCTGGTCTGGCCAACGGCGCCTTGGACTTTTCAGTAGTGACCGTTGTAGTTGTAACTTCGAGGTTTGCTAAGTCAGCCGCAGTTAGCTGTAAAAGCAGAATTTTTATTTTAGTAATATAACACCGAAATGTATAGCTTTTCAAGTAAAAATGAATATTTACAAATGAAAACATTAGAAAATGATGTTAAAGATATTTAGATGAGAGAAAGCAATGGGGTGACAACATACATCGTTCCAAGTTAGATGCAAGATAATTCTGTTATGTACATAAATGCCCACATTAATTATGTTTTTTTTATACAGTAAGCAGCACTGAATTTCGAATATAAACTTGTATAATTTTGTAAAAAAATATTTCTTTAATGTTACAAACAGTATATACGAGTTAAAATATTATTGTATTAAAGCGGAATAAGAATGAAAGCAAACAGTTCCTAAAGCCTCTAAAAAACATTTTTATTGGAAAAAAATGTTTGCTGTTTTCATTTTTTAATTTCTGACCTCGACGCCGGGGGGTAATGTGATGGTGGCAAGTGTCGTCGTTGTTTCGGTGCCACTGGTAATTTCTCTCTCTACGGTTGTGCCTATTGGAAGGGGGTGAAAAAAAAAATGAAAAACACAGAAACACAAATTACTACAATATAAAATTGAAAAAAATATCTTATAAATATAAGCTACATTACAAAATTAAAATAAATTTATCTAAGATATAACAGTAATGATGTGGCTAAGTGGATTTCCAGACAAGAGCTGTCAGTTTTTATTAAATGAAATCGATTATTTATCAAGTTTCGCTAAAAATCTTATACAATGAAGCCTCTTTTTTATCTAATTGTCTAATATTATAATCTTTAATTAAACAAAAATCTATCTATCATGACGCCTATCAGAAACTCACTGTTAACTTGTTCAGAAGCATTCTGGTTCGTAGTCTGTGTATCAACATCACCGTTGGTGGTGATTCCATTGCTCGAAGCCTGTTGCGATATGACCGTCGTCGTCTTGACCACAACTTGCTGATTTTGTGTCGAAATTTCCGACGTACGTGACGTTACTTCCATTTTCAGACCTGCCAATCGATTATGAAGATCCTCTGACGAAGTGGCATTTCTGAAAAGTGAACTGTTACTGCCAGTAGCATGGCGAGTACACAAAAACAGAACAACATAAATATAATTGACTACAATGGATGGGTCCTAGAAGTATCGTTAGCCTATAATCAATTTTCAGTTTTCACATCTGGTACAAAAATCATTAATTTTGTTCTAATATAAATAACTTCAAACAATCGAGCCAAACGTGATTACTAAATATTGATAAACTACTCATGAATAAAATGTATACAATAACTTAAACAAAATAACATTATTTTTAAACAAAAAATAAAATAAACAATTAACTAATGACGAAATAAAACTTCTGTCAAATTTCAAAGAAGCATTATGCGAACTTACAGCAAGTGATCCTTAACGCTGTCAATGGTGATGTCACCAAGCGAGCTAAGATTTTGTGCATCCTCGTCGCCATTGACCTCCGTCGTGTTGACAGCAGGTTTGATGGATGGATCTTTGGGTGACTCTTCGCCGTTTGCTAAAAGACATGCGGAGAGCCATACGAATTTTTCATGTTTCTTTATGATTTTCTAATACGCTCTCTTTACATTTTTTAGTATAAAATCATTGGTGCTCTTTGTCTGTAATTACTTGTCAGCGGAAATTGTGAGTGAATGAATTATATATGCAAAGCTTTGATTACAAATTTTGAGTAACGAGTGGATATTGTGATATATAGAGGTTATCAAGCAAATGATGCAAAATTTTTTAGTTACAGAATATGCTTAATTTCGTAATAAAGTAAGTCAAACTCTCGAATAAAATGAACAGAATGAATAAATATAAAATAAAACAAAATAATTAATTGAACAGGCACAGTTATTCATGCGATATTGACCAGCACTTGTAATTGGTTAACAGAAACACGCAAACCAATACTTGTAAGAGATTAGAAGAAAAACTCACGAGATCCTGAGATACCATTCTCTATAACCTTTGGCACAGCAATAGCCGGCACTTCGTTTTCCGCTTTCTTGTCAACTTCAATGACTTCTTCCGTAGCCTCTTTTTTATCTTCGGATTCGGCTGTGGAAGTATCTTTCTGATCTGGCGCTACTACCTCCGGGCTAGACCTCGCGTTTGGTGGTAAATTTAGAGCACAATGTGCTTTAGTCACTTTTGAGGCAGAGAGTGATATACGCTGCAGCTCTGACGATGAGTGCAGGTACAAAGCTTCTCCAGACTTTGTAAACGTCAGTGATGATATACCACTAACACAATGATATTTCACTAATAAGTACACGTTTTAATGTAAAAAATAAACATTTGATTTAGTGAAGAAACGTACTTTATATCTTCTCTCTTAATCGTAGCTGCATTAAGTTGCCTCCTGAGCTCAGGAATCCCAAGAACGAGACATTCTCCAAGATTAGTCAAACATAGTAAACAAGTTTCTTCGTGAACACCAGATGGTTCGACGGGACACCTAAACTTGGCGAAACCAGTCTTTCTAACTCTCGAACCTTCGTGTGCAGTAAGCTTGTATTTGCAACAAGGTTTGAGAGATGGTAGGTTGAAGATTTTAAACTGTTCTTCGCTAGCTATGACTACTCGGTGTGGTGATGCCATATCTGGGCCTGGACAAATTCCTTTCTCGGCTTCGAAGGGTTCCGGTAGAGGTACGTTCGAGCCGTCAAGAATCGTGATCGCAATTACTGGTGCTCGATGTTTCAACTGAATCTCTTTACCCAAGGTACAACTGACGTCTTCCTCGGTACGACGAACTCCAGCTGGGATTGCTAAAGTGAATACATAGACTGTGCCGTTGTTTGTGCCTGCCCACAGGGTTGGCGTTGTATTTTGCACTAAAATATTTCCTCTTTAATACAAGCTTGGACTTACAATCAACCAAATAGTTTACTATTGAAAAAAACCTACTACTGATGATGTAACTTCTGGCAAAGTACAAACATCTGACCATTGACCCTAGGGCATCATCCACCGGTCTTGCTTCAACTTGTCTCTCAACGGGTTTCACATCTACAGCCGGATCGGCCGTCGGTGATGTTGCTGGACTCGGACTATTTACAGTAAACAATCATTATTACTTGACATAGTTTTTGAAAAAATGAATTAATCATGTTGAAAGATAATTTACTTCTTTTTCGCATCGCTGGCAGAAGCAGCAGATCGAGGCGGACTACCAGCCGTCGTAGCTCTGCGCTGTGATCTTCCTTTCCTCAATCGCCTAAATGATTCTCGCAGAGACTTCTTGAACGATTTCCTTCTAGAAATTGGCGTGTCTCCAGCACCAGAAAGATCTGATAAAACCAAAATAATTTATAAAGTATCGATAAATTAACTTGAGGAACAATATTTTAACAAAGCATACCATTGGGATTGAGTGTACATTTAACGCTGACCGACTTGATTCGAGTGTAGTCAAAAACAGCCAAGCCATGAGCGGTACCAGCTGCCATTAATCCCCATTCACTATGAACAGCAAGGGCAGTAACGGCAGCTGGTGGATAGAGTTGAAGAACACAATGTGGCTGAAAGCCCACGGCAAAGGAGATACTGGCGGTGCGAGCAGGAAGGTGATCATGGCCCTTCCAAATGAAACCATCACGATCGTTCACCACATTCATCGTTACTGATTTCACCTCCTTATTGGTTGCCTCATTGCATATCTTTGCTGTGATTATGTGTCCGGCTGCGCCTGCTATGATCAGGGTGGCAGACATTGGGCAAAGCAGAACTTTCTTGACGGCGAGACGTGGATCGTCTGAGTATGGATCAAATGTACCCACCTGATGAAGGAACATATGTAATTTAACAGAGCTTTTTAAATGTATTTTCTTGTCGAAATGTTATAAACAACGAACCTTGCGGAAAGGTGGCCAATCGTCTTCCTGGTCGTCAGGTGCCTGTTCCAATAAATCGAGATGTTCACCAGTAAATAGCACCGACGAGTTATACTTGTAGAGAGGTGTGAGGCAGACATCCGAGGCATTCCAGAATCGCACTGTACCGTCCTCGTGCCCAGTGAGTAATAACTCGTGCACTTTGGGCTTATCCGGATCGGCGACTTTGCGACAGAGCAATACGCCACCGTCAATCGGCCATTCTTTGTCCGAGTACAGATGTTCCGTTTGAGCTCTGCCTGCTGATTCGATTTGGTCCCAGAGTTCTTGTGGTACATTCGGCACATGTTGCGAGCACGTCACCTGCAAACAAAGAAATTGTTCATCGGTGTCTTCTTGAAGAGCGATGAAGCCGATCGACTGCTAAATGTTGACGTACAGCGCTGGCATGAAGAGAAACGAGATATGGCAAAGCCATCATCTTCCAGTCGGGATCGGTAAGATCAATCGCGACGATCTCTTCCTCGGCAAGAACGATAAGTGCCTCAGGACACTCGACTACTTTGGCTTTCTCATCTTTCTCCTCGTTTTCCTCCTCAAGCTTGCTCTTCGGCAGGATGGTAAAGAAGTCGATGACTTTCGACGTGAAATCAAATACCACGTGCTTCTGATTTTTACCCTCGCGTTTTACTGTGATGGTGTGGCGATCGCCATGTGCTGAGCGCTGCATGCCTCCCGAAAAGAGCACCAGTTCGTCGTCACTGCGAAAAATTAAACAGCAGTTTGAAGCAGACGCTCAAATTTTCAATTGAAGAACGAGGTATGTTGCTATCTTACTCTTCGACAGGATGCACGACAATCTTGGTGATAGCTTTGCAAGGATACGGTCCGTAAGGTGTAGTTGGTGTTGGTGTATCTTCGTTGCCGGGGCTGGCGAATGCGTACGACCCGTCATTGTGCGAGTAGACAAAACGCGACTCGGATACCCAGTGCAGCGACTCGATCTGCTGCGTGGAGACGAAAGTCTGCGCACGCGAAAACAAACCCATCAGCTGACAGTCGTATTCACGCAGATGTGTGTTCGTTCACGAGTGGACACGACGAATTTGTAGGAGTAGTAGTAGTCGCGAGCGAGCGAAGCGAGCGAAGTAGTAGTAGTAGTAGGTGTCCCGCACACAGAGTCACAAGGATAGTCACAAAGCCCACCACGTTCACCGCAGGGACACACATACCACGTTCGCCAAAACCACCAAAGACACAAACAAACAAACAAACGACAGGTCAGAGATTACAATGTGGCGAGTGTGTACGTATGTATGCAAACTTTTAATTGTGAGATAGAAAGTTTTTTCTATATAAGGGTGCTCTCAAAAATGGATACTCCGATTGAGACATTATATTAATTTTTGTGAGGTGATGATGTATTCATTTGCAACTACCATTATTCGCATAAAAGCTACATACGTCAAATTTTCCAAATGAATATCTAGTTTTGAGAGACAATACATAATGGAATCGCTAACGGTTAAAGTGTACATTTGTTAAGCTCTTTCTAATTAAGCTTGTAGAAAGCCTGTGATTTATGAATGTCATGTTTTATCGTTAATATTTGAATATCAACTATAATTACTACGAAAAATAATGAGAAATTTATGGTGATATCATTCATACTCTTGTCATAATAATTTATCTCGTGAACATTTACACGAAGATAACATTGTGAAACGATGAAAAAAAAATTAGCCTTTGTATAAAAAAAAATTATAACCACGTGAGCGATTACGCAAAAGCAACAATAAAACACAAGAGCGACGCAGGCTTTGTATTTATATGGATATGTGTGTGTGTGTGTGTCTTACAAAAGGCGTGAAAAAGCAGCAGTAGCACGTACATATTTGCCACGTGCGCGTGAACTTTTAGTTATTTCTTTTTCTTCTTTTTTGTGTGTGTATGTGTAGTGGTAAGGAGAGGAGGATAAGAGACGTGAATGGTATGAGGAAATAAAAAAAATATATAAAGAAACGTGTCACTCGAGAGGAACAAGAGATATTCACCTGTTGAGCGCCTGGAGTGGCTTTGTTCCATAAGACTATCAAGCCCCGATTGTAGCCGATCAGAATATTGTCTGGGTGGCCTGGCTGCTCGGCTATGGCTTCTACTGGTCCTGGATTGACTTTAAAGTCTTTTGGGACACTGGAAGGAAGCATATCGATTGACAGTCGAATGCTTTATATTCTAGACTTTATTTTGTAGACACTTGGTAATGTTAACAATTGCGATTCATAGCTTGCATTTCGAAAAGAAAACTAGAGATTTCAAACAAAAGTAAAAGTTCAACTCCTCTCTGACGCTGGCTCGATGTTACAACAACGTTCGTAATTTAGTCTGCAAAGCAACAATGGGTGCTTACAAACAACTATGAGAAGCTTTTGAGAAAGCCGTGATTAGCGCGTGGATAAAAATCCGCTTATATATAAAAATGAAAAAGCGAATAATCATCGTTCACTTACTTTTGCATAACCACATCCTGATAGATGATGGTATCGGACATGGTGAAGGTCTTAAGGTTCAATAGGTAGATGTTTCCACCCTCGGTGCCAAGTAGCAAGTGATCGCCATTCGATTCTAGGCACATCGCCGAAATTTTCTTCAACTTGCCCTCCAACGACAGCGATTTAGTCTCGATAACGGAGTTTTCGTTGATCTCCCATAGGTGTAATGAGTTATCGTCGCATAGCGACACCACTCGACCCTGCAGAATTAAAAGTACGAGCGTCAACGTTTGTTTTTGCAGCGCCCTACAAAATACACACGAAGAACCCAGCAAATGCCATTAGAACGATCCAATTCACTTCAGGGGGATGGATTGTAAGACGGTTAGCGCCTCGAGGGATTAAACAGCGTTTGAGCTGTCAGCGACGACGCATTCGCCTGTGTGTCAGTGTGTAAGGTATGTCGCGCGCTTGTAATCATGGGAAATTCAGTTAACGCTGCAGTCTTCATTGGCTACAATTAAGAGCCACGATGTAGATTCTAGCTACTTTGCCATGACGTTTGCTTGGATAATTGCCGCGCGTGGCTAATTGATTCGGATAGCTCAGCTGGTTTGTTCCTGTTAATTAGGAGAGCTAAATTGTCGATTTTTATTGGTTGGGAAAATTCTTAAAGCTCGGATGACGAATAGTAAGTCATACTGTTTGGATTTCCGAGTTCGACTCAACTTTCGTGACTACCGTTATAAGTTTTCTGTACGCTCGTAAACACCTTGTTACCAATGACATCATAGCGCTAGTACGTTGATAAAATACCACTTAAAATGTACTTGGATTCCACGATGAAAGTGTTGGAAAATTCGTACTGTTTTGTCATCAAACAAATCGGATAATCATTAGGTCAATTAAGCAAAGTTGCTGGCATAATTGTGTCGTTTGCCATATCACATCGAGCAAGTTCAACGGTCGTTGCATCAGCGACAGATTGCAGCCGATAGAAATAACCATTCGGACGCGACGACACAATTCGCATTGATATTCGCAAAGGCAAACGAGCACGAGAATGCCGACGCAAACGCCAGCGAAATAGAAACTATTCGGAGCGCAAGCATTTCCCAGTTGATGTAGTTTCCGCGTGCGCTATGAATCATATCACGGGCATTTTACGTCCAGCGCAGGTAATAAAAATGACCCAAGGCGCGCGCGACAACTCGTGTGCGAGCGTGACGTTGTGTGTGTACACGCGATACCGTGAACTCGTGTGCGCGCCGCGCGCAAGGTTGCACTAATTGCGCCGATAAGATAAGAGACACTCTCCACTCTCTACTCGTGCTTTTGGCGTACGAGATTTTATCGCGCGACTCTGTTTGAAAATCCTACAAATGTTGCCCTGGTCTGTCGATGCGCTCGCGGACGCGAGCAAACGAATAAAAGCACGGATGACGCTGGCACGCGCACAGGTGGAGTCGGTGCAGGAGTGCGAAAGGTCGACTCTTGTTAGCGCGCGTGCTTGCGTTTTGTTCCGCGCCAAATTGCACCTTTAATGCCGCGATTATACGACCGAGGCGTGCGCACGAGAATGGGTTTCGTTTGCGAATCGCGGTGCCTTTTCATTCGAGGACGTTGGGGATTTTTTAAAAATTCCAAAGCGAAACGAGACTGAGCTGTGATTTTAATTGAATGCTTGAATAACCGTGTAATTACCATGGGAAAATTTGGAACACTGCGCGTGAATATAATTGCAAATTCAACTTTTCGCATCAGCTTTCATGACATTTCTTTGTAATAGGTTTTACGCGAGTTTCGCACCAAGTTTAATTATATTAATAATTGATTAGCCGCTAATGTTGCTGTTTTCTTGCCTGATCGAAAATAGTTTTTCAAATTTCAACTAGATCAATTTGCTTTTGTAGTAAATTGACAAAATTACGCGACTAAAGCTGACAGCTGAGCTAAGTGTCATAGTTAGGAACGTTGAGTGCGGAGGGGGGAGGGGGTGGCAAGTCGAATAGAATAAGTCCGATTCCTGTACTCGACAATTCAACTTTTGCGAGACGCTTGCAGATATTCATTAAAAGCTATTGAAGGTGGGTGTGAAAAACAAACTTTGCCATCCGAGCCCAGACATAACATATCGCTCACAAAGTAGCACGGAAGCATCTGACTTTGTGACGCGTAAGTTAAGCTTTCGCAATTGGCAGAGATTATATTTCAGTACTCGTTAAAATTGACCGATGGCCGGCTAAACAAATTGCGCTATGCTCGGTAAAACGTAGAGGCTATTCAAATTACAAAATACAAATCGAGGATTTCAGGTTAAATTATTAGCAAGCGCAAGAAAAAGGAAACGGTATAGCACCGTTGGAAAAGCTGAACATCACTGGGCGTTCGCAAGTAATGTAAGTAATCTTTTCATCAAGGCGAACCAATTAAAATGCCAGCATCTCCGGCTCGGACAAGAAAATAGTAACGATGAAGCGAGAGACTTACCTCGTTGGGCAGAGCGATGATCTTGGTGACGGCAATCTCGCCGCTCTCGCTGGCATGCTGACCGTAGAACTCCACTCCTGGCCTTCCGAATCTGTCGTCGCCATGGTCAAGGATAAATATCGAGCGGCGAAAATTCGGACGAGGCGATCGCGCGCGGCCGTGAAACAAAAGTGCATTGCGCTTTGATAAAGCGTTTGATCCTCTGTTTTTTCGGAGCCGCAGCGCACTGATTGCTGCTAACAGTAATTCCCAAGCTCGTTAAGATGCACTAACCGTTGCCGCGATTTTAGCCTTTTTCATGTTTCCCGTGCGAGAAACGAATGCTCCCTCGTTTACATTCGGATAATCGAGACTATAAAATGATTCTCGTTCGCTGGATTCCCGATATTTCGCGGTCGAGCCGTAACGCGCGCGCGCGCGCAAGTCCCCGGACCATACGGCTCGAGCTTAGAACGTCAACGCGAGCGGCAAGCGGTCACGTGGTGGGAGTCGATCAACTCGCTGGTCCTTTCGCCACGCTCTCCCCATTATCGAGCCGCGAGCCAGCTATACGCGCCACGAGCCTGCGCGCTCTTCGAAATCTATGAAATTTACCGCAAACAAATTTGCCAACAGCAATTAATCCGAGAATTTTAACAACCGAAAGCATCTACGAGCTGAGCTAGACTTGATAGTCGGCCGGCGAAAAGCGGCAGGAATAAAACGTGCATGAAAATAGCAGCGAGAGGAGAGCTTGCAAAAAGTGACGGCGGCTAACAGTACACGGCGCACACACGCTCATCTCCATAAGCGGTTCGATAATAAGCAGCCGGCAAATTAAAGAATCATGGCGCCGTAAGATCTGCTGTCCGAAGTCAGCCAGCGGGAAATACAGTTAAGTCGTATCTCGCCGAGCGAGGAAAGGAGGCTTGCTCGCGAGAGCAACAAGAGCAGCAGATGTAATAAAGAAAAGGATACACCTTGATGGCTCCGGATGCCGTGCCGATGACCATCAAGCGCAGGCTCGGGTCCCAAGCTATGGCCGTCGGCTTGTTTGGGAAGCCATGCTGAACCGTCTGCAACAATAAGGAGCACAAGTATACATATACGTGTGTGTCTCTGCCAGGCAGCCAGCGGCAGACGGGATATCTTTATTATCTGCGACCGCGCTCGAGTTGCTTTACTCTTTTTGTTCGGCTGACGCGGGGATCCGCAGCGCAGCGCATCGCTGCGTCGAGCGCCGCCGACACGACTGACCTTTCGTTTGCCCCTCGCGCGGTCCGCTGCTCGCTTCGCGGCGCCCGGGGTGCGAGCAGAGCCTGTGCGATCTCGCTCGTCTAATTAACGTCGTTAACCGTAGGCCGAGCGGCTCTTTGGCTCCGATTGCCCATTGCGCGCCTGCGACGAAAACCTGCTCTCGAGCTCGTTAACGTCGAGAGCGTGCATAAGCTCGTAGTCGCGAGGCTGCGAGCTGAAATTGCGCGGAAAGACTCCTGATTGCGTAAATTAATCCGAAGGTTTTACGGGGAGCGAGCCGATCTTTGGCTCGTCGTCGCGCGCGACGCTCCTACCCGAGCGATCGTGCATCGGCAGCATTGAAGCCTCGAGTCACGAGCCGAGGAGAGGCGCAGCAGACTCACAGCCGTGACCAAGTGACGGAGGAAAGAGGGACAGACCGCGGCTCGCGTCTGTGCGCGTGTGTTTTTTTCCCATTTGGAATGGCGCTGAGCCCGCCGTGGCGGCGAGGACCGCGACGGCGACACTCGCATCGATTCAGCCGCGATGAAAGTGGTCTGCGCGCGTGGGCGCGCGACCGAAAACGCGATACCGTTAGCTTTCCTGCCTATCCTTCTCCCCGCAAAGGCTTTCCTTTCGATTGTCCGTCGCGCGCTACGTGCCCGCCACCATCTCCGCCGACGCTGTTGCATGACTCACCGCCGCGCCGTTGCCGTCGCCGCCGCCGTAGCGGTGGGAGAAAGAGAGAGAGAGAGAGAGAGAGAGCGAGCGAGCGACTCGCCTTTTTTTTTTCGTTTGTCCCGAGTGCGCACGACCGGAGCTCTAGCCAAAGCCGCAGAGACCCGCGCGTTCTCGACTTTATCCTCCGTATCCCGCAGCGCGGACTGTGGCTTTTCATTTATGCCGTTTTCCGTTCGCTGAACACCGGGCTAGGCGACGTTGGCGAGGCCAACGGAAAGCAAGTCGAAAAATAACGACGGCGCGATTCGACGGACTTATCGCGTCGACCGGAAACACTGATCGTTCGATCGAGTTTGAGCTTACTCGGTGCCCATACGAAATTTACGCGCGGCTGTATTTTTCAAACGAGGTCGAAAAGCGTGAGTTGCTGAGAATAAAGCCGTAAATTTTGAGGGAAAACACGCGCGGCAGCGAGAGGCGAAGAGAAGACAAAGGAAGAGGTTTCGCGAAATGGGAGTGGAGAGCATAGAGAAAGGGCCAAGGGCATCTCTGTGCACAGTCTGAAAGCGGAGTCTCGCGCGCCTCGTGCGCAGATCTATATATATACACACCTACCCCGAGAAAGATCAGGTGCTCTTGACCGTGCGCGTCCTGCCGGCGGACGAGCAGACTCTTGCTTTCGTTCCTCTGAGGCAACGAGCGCCCTCCTGCCTTGTTTTCCGTTTTCTTGCGAAGCATGTCGGGGAATCGGTTCGAGGCGACGTCACGTCGGGGACGTCCGACGTTTTCCAAATTTTCCGCGAGGGAGCTCGGAAACGCGGGCGTCGCGTTCCGGTGCAGCGACGAGTCTCGCCCGAAAAAACTTCGCTGCCTCGATCTCCCGACGGCAAATTGTCGAGAGCTGTATAGGCTTGCTGCCGCAGCTGTAATATCGTATAAATAGACATCGACATTGTATATATAAAGTAACTCGAGAAGAATTCCTGGCGCTAAGCGAATCGCGGCAGCTGATGTCACTGACACTAATACGCCACAGAGAAACGGATAAACTCATTGTTTCTTTTTTCTTTTTTAACAATCTGATAGCCGACGAAAGGAAGGTGGGGGAGAGGGGGGGGGGCAACTATCGATTATGCAACGCCCATGTAAATAACAGACGCGGCTGGAATTTCCTGCTCGGCGGAAGTGCATCATAGAAGCGACTTTCTCCCGTGCGTCTATCCGCGTACGACAATGCGGCAGCGACTGCCTTTTGTACGTCCAGCCAGGTGCGGAAACTCGCCGAGGCTTCGCCGCATCGCGATCGAACGTGTCGCATCGACGCGCGAATCGAGCACGATTTTTGGCTCCGAGGGACAAGCCTCGTCGTTGCCCTAGTTGCGCGCGGGCATACGCCGACGGTACGCCGGGCCGCACGCATGCCCGCGGGAGCGATCGATGGATTTGCGCGCGCGGCTGCCGACACGCCGGCGAAACTTTCGTTCGTCCGACAAGTGGCTTGCTTACCAGGAGCGTAAAGCGAGGGAAGGATCGTCGCGCTTCCCCCGCGTTGTCCTCGCAGCCGAGAGACGCGGCGAGCGAAAAGTCAGACGGCAAAGTGCCGGTCGGTCTGTAGGCGACGATCGCACGGCGCTACCGTGTGTAAAGACAATTAGCCTCTGTGCAAACAACGATGAGCCGTGGGCACGAAATATCAACAGGTCAAGCTGTCGCGAGCTGGAACGGCTCGAAGCGGTTCGATACGCGCGCGCGCGCGGCGGAGGTTACGCCGTGGTTACGCCTATGCTAGGCCGCGTACGCGCGGCGCGGAGAAGCCTCGCCGAGCAGCCACGGGAACGCTGCTAGCCCCTTTGCTCTCGCTCTCTCGCCCGGAGCGCGTTTTCCTCGTTACGTGCGTTGCTCTCTCTCTCTCTCTCTCTCTCCCTTGTCGCGTGAATCACTCGACCAAACTCCGACAGGCTCACGGCCGTCGCGGCGAGGCTTTCCCGCCGCGCCTTTCTTTTTCGATTCGCACTGGCGGCGACCCGACCTCTCGCCAAGGCCATCGAGTTCGGTTTCGTCGTTGTCGCGTTCGGCCAGCGCGCGCGATCTTTCGACGGCAGCACGATCGATTGCTGGGCGGAGAAGCGGGATACGCGGTTGATCGGCAGGCCATGCCGGGAGAGAGAGCGAGAGAGACTTGAATTTATTTATCATACCGAGCACGAACGCCTCGACGACGGAAACTTGCGCGCGCGCGAGCACGAGCAGGACGATAACATCTTTGGCGGCTCACCTCCTAGCAGCAGAAACGGGTGTACGGTCACACGCGAGAGACCGGCCGATGCCCGGCTGTACTCCAGTTCGTGCCCGGCGCATTTTGCGATTATTCCTTTTCTTCTTTTCTTTCCATTTCGTTCCCCTCGCCTCGAACGCCGATGAATTTTCGAATGCTTGCGATAGATTGCTAAGCAAGCGTTGCCGGCTAGGGATTTCGCGGCGAGGATGCGTTCGTTTCAACGCAACGAGTGGCTTATTTATTCTCGAAACGCGCGCCAATCGTAACAAAGATCACGCTCGGGGAATTTTTGCGGAATCAGTCGTCGCCGATCCCGCCGTAACCGGGCAATTGGCCGATTTTTCAGAGGTTCGAAAATACGGAGCAACGATAAGAAATCAAGGAAACAGCGCTGATTTCGGGGGAAAGGAGCAACCAGGCAAAACGGCGCGTGCGGCAGCGGCTTACGGTGATTTGTCGGTGTTGCGAGCGCAGCAAACGAGGTGTCGGGTGGTCTTGATAGATACGTACAGCGCGACCGACGAGTGCGTTTTCGTTCTCGTGGTGGGCGGCGATGAAGACAATTTCTCATTCCAAGCTTCGCATTAACAAAAAGAGAATCGAACGGTGATCATCTTTTTGGCTGAAAAGTCCGTTAGAAGGATGTGGTTTCGATCGACTTCTCGTATTCGTTTGACTGCTGCGTGACGCCGGTTTTATCGACGATATTAAACGACTCGCCGGCTTCCAGTTTACTGGGTATTCTCATTTTTTTTTTCAATCGCAATGCAACGAACTCGGTTTTCGATTAATTATTCGTTTTATTAGTTCGTTGTTTGTTATCATTCCATTGTAAAAAAAGAGATCCTGCAGATTTCACAAATCACGAAATTAGCGTGAAATCGTTATTATTACGGAAAAATAATCAAGTATCCCAACAAATTTTTCTTTTTTATCGAGCTTCTAATTTCGAGGGAAATGCGCGCGTGCAAACAGACACATCAACCTATAGTCGAGACTATGAATTATGACATATTCGTGAAAAAACTTTACCTCGGACTGGTTCGAAATTATAATCAGATAATTTCATATGTCAATTGTTTATCAACAGAGTGAGAAAAGCAACGTTCCCGTGGCATTATGAACAAGGGTTTTCATTGAAAGTTACCTACATACCTGAAAAAGTCAATTTTGCACAAGTTCCAACTGCTAATTTAAGAATAACGTCGCGCATGAAATAACAGTGCTCCTTCTTAGAAAAACCCTGCAATCGCAAATGAATCGTGAATGCATCTAAAACCGGAACCGCAAACTATGAAAGCTAAAGCACCCCTGAGGAATCGGAAGACAAAGGAAAAACTTTTCAGCAGCGAAGTCCATAAGATAATAATCGTGAAATTTCTGATAATATATTCAGCTCTATCCACGTTTAATTCTCAATGGAAAATGTGCGCTCGCACGTGTCATTGCCGTTGCGCGCGGAATAGCTCTTTAATTGGGTAGTCTTCTGCTCGGGTGCGCGGATGCGTCATCGATAAAACATTTTCGATAGGCGTGACTCCAAGTATCTAATCGCGAGGGGGACTCTTTCAATCAAGTTCGCTAATCTCCGCCGGCCGATTCGATCCGTTGACTCATCGCTGCACTTAATCATTTGCTATTGTGGGGGAGTGCAATTCGATTTATACTAGGTGGGGATGGAGAGCTCGAGTATTTATTTTTCTTTTTTCACGATTCGAGTCCCACGGCAATGCGCGTCGGATCATACTTTCGGAGATTTCATTGTAACATTCGCGAATTTCAGCGAGGTACGTCAATTTAAATTGGAAATGTCGGCGCGCAAGGTCTACACGGAACTGCTCGAATCGTACTTACGATCGATTACACGCTTTTCTGCAGTCAACGCACAACGCACCTCTCGATAACCGATTACGACTTTCCTGGCAATTCACTTATCCACGCGCTGAGGCGCTTTATTTCCAGTTGTGCGTGCATTTTTGTTCCGATTACAAAGTAGCCGAGAATCGTAAGTCGCGCGAAAGTACAAACGTGAAGGCAATGGCGTAATCCGACATTAGATAATAATGCCAGAGCCGAAGCAGCGAAACCGGCTCGTGAAAGTCGCGGAAAAAAGCTTTGTCAACGGGCCAAAAAGTCGCTGGCCGCGACGACGAGGCGCGCGCAGAAGCAACACGTAGCCCTCGCGCTCGCTGACCGAACGGTAAAGCCTCTCTCGTTAGCCCCTCTCGCTCCGGCGGAATGCCCCTCGCCACGGCAAGCGAGCGAGAGAAAGGAGAAACGCCCGCGCTTGCGCTCGCGCGCGTGAAAATCCGAGAGCGTGAGAAAGTGCGTGCCTGTGTGTGTACGTGTGCACTTGCTTTTTGCATCACACCGAGCCAATTGTGACGTAACGATGCGCATGTGAGAAGCGGGTTAGTCGGTGCGCGCGTATGCGTAAGCAAGTAAGAGTTGTAGCGATCGGGGATTATCTGCGGAGAGCGCGCCTGAATTCGAATTCGCGCGCATTGTCTGGGGCTGCGCTTATCACTGCCGTCTCGTTGACCCGCTTTTCGCTCGAAAGTGGCGCTGCAACTTCGATCTACCTCCGCATGGCGTTCTATTTATTTGGCGCCGTTCCCTCGCAATGCAAAACTACTCGAACGCGGAGCGCGTTCGTTCACCCCTCTCCGTACGCGCGCGCCAGAGATTGAATTTATACATTGCCGCGTGACAGAAGAAAAGACAAAAAAAAACAAAGCGCGGGGAGTCGAACTTTGGTTCGAGGTGGAAATACCTGTTTGCAAAGCTTTGCGAGGCTTTCCCAGAAACCTTTTCTTTTCGAAATGCCTCGCGAGTCGTCGAGCGCGAGAGAGCTAAACAGATTATCCATCGCGCGCGCGACAGGAAAGACGGAAGGGGAAGTTTGGAAAGGGTTGAATGAAACTTCATTAACTGAAGCCATCGGCTTACCTTACGGAAAGCGAACAGGTCTTTTTGCAGCTTCTGCCGTTCCACCGTGGGCTGCTGGCCCTTGCCTCTGATAAACTTGAGCATCTTTTATTCTGGCTCGCTCTCTTTCTTTCTCCGCTCTTCTCTCCTATACGTATCTCTCTGCCCTCTCCCTTTTTGCCTGCCTTCTCGTCGATTTTTGCTCACTCTCACTCGCGTCTCTGCCTCTGCCGTCCACTTTTATTTGTTTACTCGTTTTTTCTTTCTCTCTCCTTTCCTTCGCGAAACGACACTCACTCTATCCTCTCCGGATCTCTGCATTCGCGATGATTTCGACCTGAAACACAGATTTTTCGTTTATAACGCGTTGTACATGCGTGTGGCTAAGGTGATGACACGTGGGAGACCAGCCGCGCGTAAAATAACGCATCAAGTTTTCTTCTTTCGCTTTGTGTTACATCTGATTATTCACCGGTGGCTCGCGGAATATTAACTTTCGTATAACTGCACATTATTTCGTCAAAGCCAAGAGTTTTCTCGGCTACTTTAGTCAGAAAACCAACACAGTTCTGAGAATAGAAGTCTGCGAATACTCTCGAAACTCGCGGATTTTTTTTTTGTTTCTTCAAGAGCGTGTATAGTAATCTGAAACGATATATTTAAAAATTGCTTATCACATCTGCTACTATATGCACGAATTTAAACCAGAGAATTTTCAGAAAACACGAAACAGGACAACCGTCACTGTGCTTCGATATATATGAAAAATGCACAAAAGTGAAAGGTGATTTGTCAACATTGCCGACGTTGTATTTATAGCGCACCGCGAAGGCCAAAAGTTCAGTGGGTGAGTGTGCCGAAAATATATAGTCATTGCACAACTTGTTGCAGCTTGATTGCTTCGTTTTGTTGTTTATCAAAACCACGAACGAGATGATCATCCACGCGCGCGAGAGCCGACACGCTACATCAAAAAAGAAGATAACCTCAAAGTTGCCGTCATCGTCGTCGAGTCCGCGAGATTTCCCACTTGTTGCCGAAAAGCTGTCGGAATGTAAGTATCGGAAAAGGTCTAGCCTGTAAAAAATTCTCTTGTGGATTTTCACGCGGCGCACCAGGCAGTCAAAAGAGGAAAAAAGGGGGGCCGTACCCGAAGTCCATTCCCCCTTCGGCAAACAAGCCACCCCGCGCGCGCAAGAGAGCGTTCACACGCTGCACGTTTCTTCTACCTATGTATTTTTCTGCTGCTTTTCAGAATCGCCAATTCGCCGGCGACATCCTCGTAGCGCGCACAACACTCAACTCAGTTTGGTTTTGCTGTGAAAATGTAACAAATAAAGCGAAAAAATACACAGGTATGATACGAAAACGGCAGACACAGGTCGGGCGAGGTCGGCCTCTCTCTTTGACGATGCACCACTCACACCCACTTCGCGTCACTATATACTGGTCTGTTGCTGCCTCGCGACTAGCTGTAGCTGCCAAGCCGCTTCGAAACACGACGTTCAGACAGAGAGAAAGGACTGCTCGTACCCCTCTTTCTCCATCTCTCTCTCTCGCTTGCGTACGAGCTTTAGGCTAGGGTTTTTTTAGCGTGCTAGCATTGCGGCGTGCCTCTCCTTCTGCCTTTGTTTCCTACAAGAATTTACTTTGGAGTTGACCGTCTTTTTCGAATTTTATTATGAATTGTAGCCTCGTTTTGGTGTTTTTTAATAGACTCTTGATGAGTTTATAATGGCATACATGAGTTGGAGGGAATTGCGAGGTGATATTCATAGCATTTTTTTGAGATAACTAATGTTTTGAAATATGCTAATGCCACGCAAAACAGGTATATATATTAGATTATATAGAAACTTTCAGTAATATAAACTTGAGTGCCAACTTGAATGAAAGAAAGGTTTCAAAACTTTCAAAGGTTAGAAAGACTAATTTTTAATGGTTGGTAGGATGAAATAAACTAGAAAATGGGGAAAAGACTAGTTTTTAATGGTTGGTAGAACCGCAATAAACTAGAGTTTAAGTGCGAAAATTTTTAATTTTCAATATTTTTATCACTAAAAACGCGACATTTTGTTGTTCGTTCCATGAATAGGTGAAACAATTTTAGTGAATCTTGTTAAAAATGTTTTGATAAATATTTTCAATGTGACTCAGAGTTTTTATTCTTCCAATGCTTGAGTAATAAGTAATTTTATTAAAATAGTGATTTCATCAGTAAATAATATAAGTGCAATAGACAGACGTCACTGCCTGGCAAAAAACTATACTGTAGGTATATTCTTAATTCTTCGCAGGTAAGAGCGGCAACAGAACAATGACCTCAATTCATTCTTACCAACGCCTTTACGACACGGCAATGATTTTATTGTTCCTTAATTTTTTTCAATTATCTAAATTATTTTGACCTTTCCGGCTTATGTTTTTCCTATATTCAATCTTCATTGAAGTATCGTTTTTAGTAAGCATTTTTTGCGATGCGTTATATTGTTAGTTTCAAAGAAAATGACATGATTGATGTTTTTTTACAATAATATATTTGTTTTATTTACAATATAAGCAACGTATATACAACAAATTAACTTCAAATTACATACGAATCGCAAAACTTCTCAGTGAAGCTAATAATCTGGCAGGGAATTGCGTTCATACAGCGTAAAATAACGAGATCACAGATCCGTCATACGCAATGATAGTAAAATAGTTATTACATTGTCAGATATCTATAAAACTTTAAATGCAATATACAACAATCTCAGAAGTCTTCTCATGATATAAATAGCATAGTTTCTCAATTAATTGACATCAAAACAATCTCATCCTTGGCAATGTACAAAAAAATGTATTTAGCTTCTAATATCGAACGCATCACAATTCTGATGTATTCCGTGATTGCACATCTTCTTCTTCTTCACTGCAGATAGTGAACATATATTGACGATATTTATTTTGTTGTCTATTTTTTTAAATTAATATTTTTTTCTTCAATAAATCAATACTACATTGTTCTACGAGCTTGCGCTTTGAAATGCACATTTTCAGTAGTCATCAATACTTTGAAAAATGTAAACTTACACTCTCATGTTCAAGTAAGAAGCAACAAATACTCTTAGAATTTTGTTTACGTTTTCTATTGTCGACATGTTTATATTATTTCTATTATCTCTAGCTGTATGCCAAATGTCAGGAAAAGGATATGGTATCACGTGCAAAATCTTAACATCTATAAAAAGAATAGTATTTCATAATTGTCCAAATGGCAATGTGTAAAAAAAGAGTCAAAAATTATTCTTACTTTTACGCAAAAATGGTAGATGATCGTCTTCAATACCGGCTGTTATCGTAACATCTTGGAAGTATTTGCGCTTACGATTTCCATATGGATAATTTTCAAATTTTCTCATACTAGCTAATGTATTTTCTGCTTGGGATAAAAGAGAATACCACTTTATGCTATCATTAAAATAATTGTAAAATATCGGATTAGGTGCTCCAATAAGATCCAATAAAACAAATAGATCCTGTATTCAAAAGTCACTTTAAAAATAAGATAGACTTTGGAATAAAAATTGTAGGGGCAATGTTAATAACATTTACTTACAATTCTATCTAAGTCTGATATATTACTTTCAGTTCCATATGTGTATCGTTTATTGTGCCACTTAGCAGCTAAATGTCTAGCTCCATAAATAGAATCTTTTGGACCCCATCGTTGAAATGCCTCTTCACCATCTAAGAATAGCAGCATTAAGCTAACATTATTCTGTAAACAAAGACTTTCTAATTAAATTGTTTAAACAGTACTATCTAAATAATAAATAAATTGACATGGAAATAATAAATGTAAATGAAGCCCGAACAAATTGTCAACCATTCTTGCCTTGAACAGTAATATTGTAAACCTTTATAAGTATTAAAGAATAACTTACATTTTTTATTGATTTCAGGTACTTTTGCATCACCCTAGCTAGATTAATAAGTTGCATACAAGGTACTGCACTGTCAGTTGCTCCTACAAATTCATAGTCTTTCTCAAACTTAGAATCAAAATGACAAGCTAATGTTAAATATCTATGTGCATTGGGGTTCAATCTTGCAATAATATTTTCAAATTTAAGAATTCCAAATACTGGTGTGTAATCTTCGAATGTATCAGTCTCAATGTCCCAACCAAGATTCCTCATGGTAGATTTAATGTACTGAAATGGTAGAATATTATTTATAGTATTATATATTTTAATAAAATGATTTTTTGTTGTATTTTTGTACCTTTTTTACTTTTTCATGATTAGGACTTCCAACCACACGTGGGATACAAATATTATCCAAGATTTCATTCATATTTCTCTTATCAGTCAAGCTAGCCAAGGTCTCTATTTGTGGCAAACTCAAATTTCGGGCTTCATGGTAAAGCTAAATTATAAAAAAGAATATATAATTAAAAGAGCTATGAAAGCTATAAAGGCATCCAACAATTGATAATTAGTTTTTCTTTCAAAAAGTTTTCACATATATGATAAAAGAATAACTATAAAAAATAACACATTAAAAAAATTTATGTACATAGCCTACTGAAACAACTGTCTGCACATTGCGTAATCAACATAAGCACAGACATAATATGAAAAGTAATGAAACTGTATTCTTTATAAATCAAAATATTGAATCAACAAAGAGAGAAACATTGTTCAATTTGAAATAATACTCATGAATCTTGGAAAAGAATAAAAAAATTCAAACAACATGAAAACTCGTTCACAAATTAATAAACACTACACAAAAATGAATACTGCTCCAAAACGCTACCATCTGTCTCATAGCAGCCATAACCTCATTCCAAAACAACAGAAAAAAAATAAAAAACTAAAACCAATTAAAAAAATGTATACCTTAATCTGTTTGAAAGAAATCCTTCCCGTTTGTTGACGAGGCTGACAACAGGCCGCAAAAATCGGCAGGAACAGAATAATAGTACTCCTCATGTTCAGCAAGAGCTTATTTTCCGTCGTCGTCCTTACGCGCTGGCAGTTGTCGCGCAAATGCTTGGCTTAGAGCTAACTAGCAACGGTCCTCCTCCTCCTCCTCCTCCTGCTTGTTCAGTGACGTCTGTTTTTGCCATTGTAAATGGCAATCGACTTCCTTGGAGAACACGTACACTTATTTTATTAGTTTATTCCCCTGACAAATGGGACGAGAGGGACCCGACTTGTGTGACATCCTCGATTTAGTAGATGTGTGGGTGGATGCGTCAGCTGATCCAAGGGGAGTGTAGCGCCAATTCGAATTGACGCAAACAGGCGCCGAGGGTTGATGAACAGATAGAGCATGGCTTTCGCTAATTTGCTATGTATAAATAATCGCCTTTCTTGCACGTGTTTTTCACGATTTACTTTTCCCTCGTTTGGGAAAATTGCGGAACTTTTGGTAGCGCTTTTTTATCGGAATTCACTCTGTCAATTTTTTAATATAATTTGATGATTTATTCGAGTGCCTTATTTTTCCAAAAACGATCGGTCTAATGCTACTTTGTGAATTATAGGTTATATTCGAGATTTCTTATCAATCTTTATGACTTTGCGGAGTTTCTACATAAAAGTGTCTTTATATCCGGGGGAAACTACGAATTCGTAATCACTATAATTATGAAATTGGCGTAAGACCGCGTTAGCTTTTAAAGCTGGTTATGCATGCTTACCGATTGCTTTAATAAAAAAAACTATAATTTTAATTTCTCTTTGTCGCATAATGCCTCTGGATTTATAGACTTGTATAATCGTAATTAAATTTTTTCGTCTGTATTCGCTCTCGTGTTCTTAGAAAGTGATGGGCTGGAAAGAAAGAGGTGCAACGAACTCGTAAAGATATCGTATGTAAGTATATATATATATATATATATTTATTAAAAAAACTTTAATATTTTTGCTTCGAATTTCTAAACGGACAAATATTTTGCGATGACACGTGAACTGTGACTCAGTGCTTTATATACGTTATCGTGTCGTTGTCGATGATGAAAGAAACGAACAAAATAATTTGTTTTCGTGGCTCAAAAATTTTATCGCTGCTTTGACGAAACGCTAATCGCTCGTCTTTTTATTCGTTTCTTTTACTCCTAAGATTTCACCAAAAAAATCGTATCGCGAAATCGTAAATTGGCGAAATATGGAAGACACGACGTCGACTTGTCTCTTAAACAATTATTAAATTCTGTTTTCCGTATAATTTCTTGCATGGTACAAATGTAGATGATAGTACTAAAGTACAGAACAAACAGAAAAGAATGAATACTTCGTTTTCGTCAATCTCACCAAGTTTTAGTGATTACGATGTAAATTTTGCCATTCCTGTCGTATTATTAACATGATTACATATAATCTCCTATAATAACTTGTTATTTGTAATATTTTAATATAAATTATTACTTAAAGAGCACATTTCCATTTTTATTGTTCTTTACCTTTTCAAACGCAAGTAGCGTCATAAGGAAAAGCGTTTGCTTTAACATTGTGATCATCTACAGTATAAAAAAACAGATCTCTTTCTTTGTTATATATTTAGTTTGTTTAATCAGACTAAAGAAAACTATCGCGTTTGAGATTCGCGGAAAGCATTTAGTAATTTTACACTACTCGTATCGTCGCAAATCTCAAAAGCATTCATCTTATTATCGTCATTAAACTCTTTACACTGTCTATATTTATACGTGTTTCCAACGCGAACGACTTTTTCCAATTGTATTGCACACTACTTATATACTGCATATATACGCAACGTTTTGGGTCTGTGTCTACACATTAAGTACAAAAAAAAATTTCTTTCAACACTAACACATTCGATTTTACAAAGTCCTAACTCACTCGTGTCGTCACTCTTTCTAATAAATTTCCTCGCCGCGTTAAAAAGAGAAGAATAAGAGTAACGCATTATTTATATTTATCATCGAATTGAGCCGACAAACAAACAAATATCAAAATACCATGGTATCTGTCGGTTGAATTCGACGTTACACTGTTTTACGCGCCGGACGTTCACGAAGAAAAAAGAGCCGGCGAGACGAGTTGTTTATAATACGACGACGTCGTTACGTTGCTCTCAGTAGTTGTACGGGGCGTAATTCTGCGAGCCGTGGTAGTATGGGCCTGGATAGGCCGCTGGTGCCGGGTATCCGGCGTAAGCGTATTGCGACTTCTGCGGGTAAACTGTGAAACGGGATAATTTTTCAGATTAGTCTTTGAAAGCGATTGAAAATATCATGCACATAGAGTCTCTTGTGACAACACTATTATTTCCAGCGGATTTCACGTAGCAAGTAAAAAACATCTCTGTACTTTCGAAAATAATTGTGCTGTCACGTGAAAAGTGTCGAGTAAAGAGGTTTTTGAAAAGTATGTGGTATCAATCAGAGTAAAGTCGGTCTTTTATCTTGTTGTGAGAAAAGTGAAATGTAAATGTATGATTTGAAAAAAAATGCTAATTAAAACTGCAGATCTATGTAACTCTGTAAGTGTTTTATGTTAGTAATGTGTCATGTACATGTGTCATGTAAGAAATAAGTACATCAATCTCCAATGATAATAATATTGGTATCACAAAATTATTATTCTTCCAAGCACAAACCTGCTGATTGTAACGATACGTGAATCATCAAAAAACGATACGTTAAAATAATGAATGATAATTGTAATGAATTATATAAACAATGCTCGTTAAAAAATGAATGATTATGCAGATGTTAGCCTTAAAAAATTCTCATTTTTAACGTTTTATGTACAAATCTCTCTCTCTCCCTCCCTCTCGTCGGGGAAAAAAAACAGTTTGGAAAGCAAATTGAAGTCGGTGAAAACGCAGCATCCGCGCCGAAGTGGAAGAGAACTCGGAGAGGTAAAGTGATAATGAGCCAGACGCTCGTATACGAAAAAAATATATCGCACTTTCGCGCTGCACAATATGTAATTCGCCGCACGCGGAGAGAAATTTAATGAGACATGTCCGTTATTCCATTATTATGTTTTTGCACCTTCATTGTTCAATGCGTATCATAAAGCCCGAGGAATTGAGTAACAAGCTCGCGCGCGTACGAAATTTAGGGAAGTGTGTCGTCGCGACTTTCCAACGCGTCATCGTTGCGAATTCAACGGCGCGACATTGGAATCCTCGTTACAGTCGCAGCAGCGGCACGCGTGAGCGTTTGACCACGTCGCCCAGTAAACTATCGATCGAGCGGAGTCGAGCGAGCACTGGTTCAATATGAACCGAAGATCCGATCTCGATAGAGCTTTTATAAGGCCTGACAAGCCACACGGCCAACGGTCGGATGGGCAATTTCGGCGTGGGCGCCGCTAGGTGCAACCAGGGACAAGCGATACGCGCGATTTGTAGAAAGTTATAATGCCATGATCATCGCCACGAGCTGGAGCATGACAGCGTCCCGTGGTTTATCCGGCAAACAGAGCGCGTCGCCTCGTTATAAGACAAGTAAAAGTATAGGTATCTGTTGCGAATATGAACGACGGTCCGCGTGACGCAGGCTGCGTGTCTTCGTTTCGACCGTCGCAAGTTCGGGAGAGCGAGAGTCGTTATAATATGTTAAGCTCTCTTGGCCGCCGTACGGCCGAGCGTTCGCGCAATGAAAACTGGGTTATTTCTTTGTACAAGCTTAATTTTAATGATTAATATTCAAGGAAACGCCCGAGTGTTGTCCGATTTTAATGGTCGTGAAAGGATTCAAGAACGCTCATCGGGTGAAAGTTTGCCAACCGGGGAGTCAACAGGCGATTGTTGAGAAGCAACGATTCCGCAAAAAGAAAAGGTAGCCCGATGCAACGGACATAATGTAATAACGATATGCAAGTTAACATAAAAATTCATAGAAGATTGCTGACTCGCGAGCGCGCGAGCGACTGGAAAGCTGGCTACTGCTGTGATTTACATAAATATATGTATATGCAAGTTATGCATTCAAGAAAGTTTCGTGGCAGCAGCTGCGCGAACACACTGTTTTTCTCTTTCGCAATAAATATGTGCGATCGATGCCCGACGCCGTTAATCCCGAAGGTATGTGTAAACCTCATTCATTAAATAGCCGTAAAACTACTGCGTATACTCGCTACCTTATTTAGCCAGTTGTTAATCATCGAATCCTTTCAAGAGTTGGGCAACAAAATTCAGTTAAATCTTTGTTTTAATCCATAAAAACGAGATCGAGAATGTCCGACTGTTAGTAGAAGCTACAGGCGTCATTGTGTGTGATGATAATTTGCTTTGACCGACAAGGAATCACACGATTTGGCGAAATCATAATTACTCATCGGTAAAGCCAGTCTGTGTAAAGTCGATGATGTCTGTATGATGATCGACGAAGACAAAAAATTAGGTGTGAATGGTTAAAGAGAGGACAGAGCTTGTGAAAGAGAAAAAGAGATGTTCTGTCGGGCATATATACCAGGCATGAGGTACTGCATGTTCATGGCCTCCTCGCGCATTCTCTCGCCCCTCAAGCAAATCGCGGCCGCGCTAAACAGTATGGCGCTGACCAGCGACCAACCGACGCCGACCCAAGCCACCACGTACGACCAGTCGTACGAGATTATTGAGTTGTCTTTCAACACCTTTATTTTCGCGCGTGCATCGAGACAAACAAGCCAACCAACCAGAAAAAAAAGAGAAAAAGAGCTTTTGTTAGAGACCTGGCATGATGTACTGGACGCTTTGGCTTTGCTCGCGGGTGCGCTCCTTGCGCAGACAACTGGCTGCTATGAGGAACAGGGTCATCGCGGCCAAACACGTGGCCACGCCCAGCCATGCTAGGTAGAACGACCAGTCGTACCATTGCACCGAGTTCTCTCGTAGGACCTGACAGTTTTGGTTTTCCTTTCATATTGGGGATTCAAATGACCTTTTCAGATCGGATAGTTTCCGAAATTCCGAATAAGTGGCGCTTGCCAACCTCTCGCGCAGTCGGCTCAAGAGATATGGTTATTTTGACGCGCTCGAGGTTCCGCTCGCGTCGTCGGGATTTCGGAAAATATCAGTTTAAGAAAGCAGGCAAAGTGGAGTGGGTTAGTCGAATCGGCGTCCCGTCGGTCTCTCCATCCAAGTCCGTTGTGGACTCATCGTTCAGCTTCCCGTTGCATCCTAGTTTAATCGAGAACGCTGCCAAGGCGCCAGAAAAGGCCGTCGATCAGTCGACGGCGCGGTTGCATTGCGAAACGAAAGCCTTTTCGTGGCGAGAGAGCCTGCCGTCGGCGTTTTCTGGCGCGTCGGCGTCGCGGCAACAAAGCGCCGATCGTTCCTTTGGAAAAAGCCCACGCGCCTCCTATATCGAACAAACTCACGTTGCTCCATTGCTGGTAGTACTCCTCGCCGATGATCTTCTCTTTCTCGTAGTATTCGACGCCGTGCCACAGTCCCATTCCACCGGCGCACAGCAGACCTGAAAGCAGACGCCTGAGTCAAATTCAATATGGGCGATCGCGACACTCGCGCATCGGGCGTGAGAAGCGCGCACAGGCGTAAATGATATGTCGGCGAGGGATCGGCGAAAGCGGGATCGAGAGCGTACTCACAGGCGAGTAACATGAGAATAGCGGTGGCGGTGATGTTGCCGGGTGATCTCTTCCAGCAGCCAACGACTCCCGTCCAGAAGGCCGTGAAGATCGCCAGGAAGCCGACGATGAACAGGGCGATCATCGATCGTCCCATGTCTAGTGGAGAGCCAACAAACACGTTTAAAACTCATCTCCGAAGCTTCGGCTGGTCGTTGCGATACTCACGAACTCGCGCCATGGCGTCGTCGTTGAACAATCTCGTCTGGTTCTCTTCGTCGGGGATGAAGTAGTCGATGTTCATGCAGTAGGTCTCTACGGGGCTCAGGTAGATATCCGCTGGGAAAATTAAGCGAGAACGTGTATGAGCGATAGATTGCGGGCAAAGGGACGCTGGAATTGGCTCCGCGTCGTCATCCTCGCGGCTGAGTTGCGCTCGCGCGTCACTCTTTTCGTCGCGAAAAATACCGGCGCATCGGCGAGCGATTGGCCATTAACGGAAATCCAGCGCAACGGGTAGGCGTCGCAGAGAAGCGATGAGGAAAGACGCCTCTCCTTAGAAAAGTGGGCGGCAGCGCACGACGTTACGCGAGTCGAAAGAGACCTTGACGTCAACGCGGGATTGCGAGCTTTTCAGGTGCGTGCGTCGAGTTCTGATCGCCACGCGCATCCCTCTGCCACGACGACATCCCAATTGAGTGCGTTATCACTTAGGAACTTAATCGAGGCATCATCACGAGAATCAGATATGTTGTTATCTCGCGAAAGACAATTTACGCAGCGTTGGCACTCGTCGTGACCTCGAATCTAATAACGAGCAAGTTGCAGCAAGCTGCCGGCCGCTTCGGCGGAATGCTTCTTCGGAGACGACGTCTGCTCGTCCGTGCTCGCGCAACGAGCAACAGCCCGAGCGGCAAGTGCGAAGAAAAGCTACGTCCGTTCTCTCGCGCGCGCCCATATATACAGATATGCCGAGCATCCTCGATGACTACGACCCAGAATGCGGCGCTGCGCCGGCTCTCTCTCTCTCTCTCTCTCTCTCTCTCTCTCTCTCTCTCTCTCTCTCTCTCTCTCTATCAGCATCGAAGCATTGCGCGCTCGCGCGAGGCGAGAGGCAGCGTATATACACGTCCTTCGAACGGTACTCGTGTGCTTTACCATCGCAACTCCGAACTTGGAAAGGATGCGCGCGCTTATTGACGAGACTCGCACTGACATGCTTCCGCGTAGCAAGTGGAACGACGATCGACGCTGCTTCGCGGAGCTGCGAGGCAGACTTTTGTTTCGAGAGAGAGAGAGAGAGAGAGAGAGAGAGAGAAAGAGAAACCCATCTTCAAGTACGGGAAAACGTTCCTGAATAATATCCTTGATTTCGCAATGTGAACATCCGAATGCAGTGCCAATTCGATCGACTTCGCTAAGCTCTTCGACACTCGAGTGAAGCTGAAAAGGGTACGCGTGGCCTCGCCCATTATCAGAGATGCGATCCCTCGTTATCGACTTTTCTCGACGAGCGTTCGGACTAATGAACGTCCTCGTGCGTCATCGCAACGATTTAACTACTTCGTCTTCCGCGCAAGCCTGCATTACCGAAAAGCTTTCGCCGTCCTTTTATTTTTCTTGTTATCGGTCGATAATTAGCGTCCGGTCAAGCGGTCGATTGTCTTCTAGTGCGTTGTTCGCGAAAGAAAAGATGCGCGCGCACGAAACGTTTACCGTTGAAAGACGCGGTGAAGGATGATATGGCCCTCGTGATATGAAAATTGCAGATTGTTATTTCAGCGTCTAATTAACGATCAAATGCGTTCGTTTGCGCAAGCTGGCGAGTCTTCGTGCGTTCTCGTTAAGTGACTAGTGCATTTGCGAATCCCCTTACCAAAGGAAAGAAAAAAAAAGTCATTCGGCGTGTTGGAAACAAAAAGAACGCGGCTATCACGCTCGGCGTAAACACCTGGAAGACTAGGAGAGTGGGGCACATACAGTTATAAAAAGTCGAGTCAACGATCCAGCTCGCGAGCTGCGGCTGCTGCCTACTTTAGAGCTGGAAACTGGATTTCCAATCGATCCTTTATATATCTACTAAAGTTCTCTCCCTCTCTTTCTCTCTGGCTGCAGCGAGGGAAGGTCAAATTGTGCGCGCGAGGCGGTGTAATAAAAGAGACTAGTTCTCGTGCGTTTTACCGTTCAATGAAGAAAAAGTGCTAGGCCTTATCGGTTTCGGCGATCCGCTACTGTTGTTTCCGCTTCGTGTCGCGATTACTTCCGCTCGCCGTGGTGCGCTGTTTTCGGCTGCCCGCGCTCACGTATTTAACGAGCTTCGGCCGACCGGGCAACGGTGGTTTTCTTTCACTTGTCGTTCGTTCGCTCCTCGAGTCGTGCAGCGCTGACTTTGCAAGTGTGACTCAACTATGACGACCTCGAGGGTTTGGAAGCTTTCGCCGATGAATCGTCGAGCGCGAAAAATCGGGTTCCGCGTGTAAAAGCCGGAGTATTCGATAGCGAGCCGTAACAAACGAACTTTCGCGGAGGAAAATAAGCCCGCGTGACGGCTGTGCCTCTCGACAAAGTGAAAACGCGCGCGCGTATCGGGAATCGCGCGAAAATGCGAAAATATAGAAAATAGCCAACGCGAGAAAAAAAGAAAAAACATCCACGTGCCCGCGAGGTTGTTGGCTTCGCGCGAGAAGAGCAATTTTTTTCTTTCGCGCATTGCATATTCCCACGGGGGATAGAACACGCGCGCACGCACAACTTCCGCCGCTATCCGGGGACGAAGAACCTCGAGACGGATTCACTCGAGGAAGGAAAATTCGAGCGGTAGGAAGCGCTGCCAATCGCCGCTGCACAATTGTCGATCTGCATTCGTACGAGTCCGTCACGCTTCGAGGGAATCATTGTTCGGTCGCGTGTCGGCGAGTTCATTGGTCGGAAGACGTTTTCGGCGTTGCAGGCTGGGTTGCTGCCTCGCAGCCGCGCGCAACGGGAGTTTTACGATGTTGAATTTCAACGTATGTCTATGTGGGAAACATGCATTCCTTGGAAGGGGAGCTTTTTAATTGCTCGTTTGTATTCCACTTGTTTTTTGCCGTTTGTTATTGTCGCTCGCGACTCTTATGGATTTACTGTTGGAAAAGCTCGCTAACTGTTGCTTCTTTGCATGAATCTTTCCACCGCCCAACTTACAAAGCGTCCGCGATGACGTTCTGATCTCGTTAATTTAGGTTATTTCTTCCGACTCTTCCGACGAATAAAAAAAATTATTAATGGTAAACTCGGAGCATCGACGGATGATCATGCAACTCTCACGGTCGTGCGTCAAAACTTTCAGTGCTCCATATTCATAGTCAAACGACGAGATTCGTGAGATAGTCTCGGTAATTAAGGAGTCAAAAAAAAAACCGAAACCAACACGAAAGTAAACGCTGAAAGTAAGCAAAAAAGTGAAACAGCGTATTATATACACGTGCCAGAGCGACGAAAGTGTCTCCGTTTTTGCAGCCGAGTCAACTATTGTTTTCTTAAATTCGTCGCTTTACTGACCCGGTTACCAAGCAAATTAATCTCATCGAACTTTCACTTAACGAGAAATTAATATGAATAAATGGCATTATATGGTTAAAGTACTTACCGAAAAAAGACAATAACAATTAAGTGAAACTACCAAAATTTTCGACGCGACAAGTGTCTAAAATCGTTGTAAACTAACGATAAGTACCGTTGAATCTCGTTCTTTTTCTGCGAGTGTGACAATCTGACATCGAATGGAACTCGTTTGATAGATAATTAATTGAATAACAGTAATTTATATTGATTTAGATATCATAATTTATTACGCTGAGTCAAATCTATGGGTCAAGGTGAAACGCAACTTAAGCGGGTAAATCATGAATTTCAAGCGCTTCGCTATATTTGCAATTATCGTAGCCACTTATCGTTTTCACTTTAAAATGTTTGCTCGGTTTTAGCATCTTTTTAAACGTGCAATATGCACTTTCTATGCCGAAGCATAATTTTTATTCATAAGTAATATTCGCTCATTTTCCTATCTTCGCTGATTCATAATTTGTGTTCAATGTTTATCCGTCCGATTAGAAAATGATAGTTTGCATAAATTTTTCCAACGATATTACGATCATTAATTATTCTGATTTTTACTTATAAAAATTAGAGTCATCTCGCGAAAAAGATAAAAAAGAAAAAATGAAATATTACATTCGCTCGCTCGCAGAAAATTGACCAACGAAGAAAAGGCACCGAAGTGCCTCGGTATAAAAGGACACTTTGGTGACGTGTAATCGCCCATTACGCATGATATAGAAAGTCACGGTGACGCGGTGTGTCATCGCGCTCTATCCCGGTGAGAGGTACGGTAAACGATAGCGCATCCGTTGAAAACGTTTTCCGGCGATCGCGATCGACATTGTTTTCGGGCTCTCGAGAAAGTTTTACGCAACACCCGTGCGATGATCTTTCTACGGTTTTTTTTTATTTTTTTTTATCGCGGGATACGTACGTCGCTGTGGTCGATCTCTGGGATAGCATATCCTGAACAGTCCTTGCGTCCTTGCGTAGTAGTAGTACTTGTTGGTGAACTGCTCAACGATGTGACTCTGTTCTGGATGATTCGTTATGTATTGCTGAAACAAACGTAATTACACGTGTATCTGAGACTTGATTTTATTTTCGAGTCTTATTGCGTTAAACGATGCTCTACGCCGTGACAATATTTAATTTCGTGGTTTCCCTGCAGCTCATTTCGTCCATCGTCTCTTAAAACACCAGCGTATTTTTAGTACAATGAGCCCGAAACGACGGCGAGGAAGAAAGAAGACAAGGTCGACTCCGCATCCTAGTTTTTCTCATAATCGAGTACAAGGCATTGTTTTCTTGGGACGCTAGAGAGGCAAGCTGTACAAATGGAGCGTCGTTCGGATTACCGAGAGTCAGAGAGAGAGAGAGAGAGAGAGAGAGAGATGCGACGCGAGCGTCGCGTGAGAAAGGAAGCTGCCTCGTACAATGTACGACGAGTTATGATGGAGCCAAACCAAGTGAGAGGATGTGGCAACTCACTTTGATTTGTGTACGCGATCAACTCGCTCATCTGTTGCTTTCGGCGTCGTCGTCACTGGTGTGGCGAGGGCATAACGGTGCTTCTCCGACTTATGCCCAGCGACGCGATTAGCAAAGTCGCGTGCAACTGGTTGACCAGCGGCTATTCGAATTTTCAGCGAGCATGATCATCCATCGACAAATCAGCCCATTTCAGATAGCGGGACCACATCAACTTCAAAGAGTAGTTTGCCCGCACTCGACAAAATGGCAAGATCGACTGGTGTCCCGTCCCGTTTTCTTTACGAGGCCTCTTTTCTGCAACGACCACGACCGCGACAAAAAAAAATCAATCTACGAAAGCGTCGCACGCGCGCGATTCTGGTCTAATTACAGCCTACTCGTCTCTTACGAAGTAGAAAGCAAAAAATAAAAAAAAATAAAACAGCTAGAGGAAGACGTATACCGCGATAAGAAAAGAGCCAGGGAAAGATGATGACTAAGGTGTCCGTTTTTTTCTTCATTTTAACCGCGAGCGTATTGTGTTGCGCGCGTGTAGGTGAAGGCTTTAATTGGGATTGAAGGTGTTACGGACTTGAATGTTGCAGAAAGTGCCAGATTTATTCGATGATGATATTATCATTGATTTCCTAAGAATTGTATCTGCGCGATTGAACCTTGGAACTCAATCGTTTATTCAGATTTTCATTGGTTTTCGCGTAGTAAGTACTTTCGAAACGTTTGCTCAATGTCCATTAGTGTTCTAACGGAGAAAGAGATCGCCGACCGCAGGAATCGACAAAGGGAAAAGCGGATTGCAGCCGTTCTAGCCACGCATCCCAAAAAAGGGGTTTAGCGAGATTCGAAGGTTCAGTTTCGCTGGCGCACTTTCTGCCCCCACGTCGATTTCTTTCCCGAAGCGAAATACGCGCGCGGGAAAGTCGTGAGCAGAAGCTCTCTCCTCCTCTGTATCTCTCTCTCTCTCCCTTTCTCGGCAAAACCGCATTTGTATTCAGATTCGTTGACAGGAGCCCGCGCGACGCGGCAAACAACGATTAACCTGGATGTAAGCTAATTGGACATGTTGCGTCCGGCCTAATTTGTAGGCATCGTTAAACGGTCAACTGCGCGCGGGCATATACGCTTTTAATTATCATCGCGATTATCAAAGTCACAGAAACGGTTTTTAATTGCCTATACTGTTGCGCCGCAATTATGGGCCGCACTGCTGCTCATTGTTAAGAGTCCCTTGACGAGTATGGTAATGGCCATCCTTGCACGCGCGTGCAGCGCAATGTCTGATCAGTGAGTTACCCGTGCGGTTTTTTTTTATTTTTATTTTATGTCTAATAAAACGAACAAATATAAAACGCGAATGTTTTAAATTTAAAAGTATGCATTTTGAAAGAAGGAACAACGCGATTTGTGAATCCATTCAATTGAGTGTCGCGACCTTTGCATATCACGTCAAAATCACGATCGTTTAATTTTAAGACAACGTCTGCTTTATGTCATTGTTTAATTATTTCATAGCTGTTCATTTCGACAGTTTTCTTCAAAAATAAAACTTGGCTCCGAGTAAGTATGTCAAAAGGCTTGCGAACGATCAAACTCAAAAACGTGCTTACACACATAAATTAAAAAAAAAACGGAGAGAAGAAGAAAGAAAGTGGTTACGAAAGCGCCAAGTCATCGACACGCGATGCAACTGTTTCGGCCTGGAAAAATCTCCCGGGTTGATTATTATTACCGTCGCCTATGTGGTGGCCCACTTAGCCTGCGTATATTTAGAAGCGCGCAGCGTTGCAGGGGATGACGAGCTTTTTTTTGATCTTCGTGCAATTTTTAGACTGAAAGTGTATATTCGTCGAGATCACTTGCGTAAGAACGGAGGTCCGGGTGCACCGACGCACGCATATTGTTATCATTTCCAATGCACACACGCGTACAGCTTCGAGTCGGTGTCGTCTCCTTTGAGCTCGTAAAACTGGTACTTATCTCGCAGCGTGCATAACGATTTCAAAGGCAATTTTCCGTTTCGTGCGCCACTTGTGCATACATAATTCGGTATGGTTCAACCTAGTTGATTTTCGGTTAAGTAATACTAAAATATCGAGCGAGACGGGGGGGGGGGGACGAGAAAGAGCGAGAGAAGAAATGTAAAGTGCGTTCGCTGACAAGGAATGTGACGACTTTCTATACACCACATGCAGCAGGAGAGAAACGAAATCGCCGTCGTCACGACATATATACACATACAGTATACGTGAAAGCCAACCGAGCAACTATACCTGCAGACCTCGAGGAATTCTTCGCGATAGCGAGTTTTAGGAGAAGAAATCCTACTACTATCGCCAAGTTACAAGCTATCTGCGATAAATGTCCTTTCCAGAGATTTTTACCACCTCATTTTAAGGCTTTTCTTTTTGGAATCTATTATGGAGCTATGAGAGCTCTTGGGATTTCTAGGGATTCTTTTGGACTTGCGAATTGGTCGGATGTAGAGATTAAATTATTGCACCTACCAAATAGGGTTGGATCCAATTTCAATAATGTAATCGAAACATGAAAACTTGCTATTCAGACTCCTATTCACAATTATCGATACTATGAAAGAACTTATTAGCAAAGAATAACTAAGGTCGCGTTAATATAAAAACTTTTGTGATCTTCTTATACCCTCGTTTCGATTCGAAAGTTCATAATCCGCAATGATCACTTTCTAATGCGGCTTACATTGAATATATGTATGGTGGAGGTTACAAAATTGAACAGTTCGCGAGATATGGTTACCAAATTCGAATATAGACCTTCGACTTTAGTAATTTCTTTCAAAACTTATTCAATCGCAATTTCAAAAGTAGCCCCGCATACACCTGTGCGGCATCATAGCTGTTACAATTTAACTCTCGCCGTTGTCATCTTATTCTTTTCCGGGCGCGTTCGTGAAAACTCGTGTTTAAATTGGAAAAACCGCGGAGGCCTTGAACAAGCAGCCGATAGTTGCGCATTTAACGGCAAAGAGAAACAATGGACAATGCGTTATTACGAAAAACGGCAAGCGGGAACGAGATTTCGCGCAACGGATTCGGACGAACTTTCGATTGGGCGTAACGCGACAGCTTCGCGGCGACTCTCGCGACAGATGAAACGGCGTCGATTTTGCACGCGACAAGCCTCGTTCGATCTATCGACGACGTAAAAAAGAGCCGAGCGATTCACTCGGCCAGAGAGCACGACGCCGGTTTTCTTTACGACCCCTTCCGGCGATGTGCACAGTTTTTCTTTATCGTCACTGCTCTTCTCTCTCTCTCTCTCTGTCTCTCGTTTGTCCAAGTCGGTGCGTGTCACGGTTCGCGATTTTCGTGCACGACTGCAGCTGCGATCTCGAGCCGGGGAACTGGTTCTCTCGCCTCGAACGTAAGGAATCGAACGCCCGCTGCAGCCGCATTGTTCGATTTATCTTTGGCTTCCCGTGTGCGTATAGCGTGCCCACGCGTTTCTTCAATTTTCTCACTCGATTAGACGCGCGGCGCGCTTTTCCATTTCGTGAGTCCGCGAACGTTACCGTATAATCGAGCGATTAGCCGAACGCAGCGTTGCGCGCGCAAGGAAAAAAAAGAGCAGCAAGTTATTAGAATGTGGCGCGCGTGGGTTTTATTTGTTTCATTCTGATTACTCGTTTCGTTGGAATATATCGACAAGTTGGTTTTTCGATTTCCTAGGCGTAGCATTCCAGTCCAAAGCGGCGGCGCACCCATTTTAGCTCTTCGTCGCGCTGCATATAGGAATCCAGGGGATAAGTGCTCTCACTCTCTCCCTCTCTCTCTCTTTCTCTCTCTCTCTCTGTTTTACTGGAGCTATATCGCGCGTGTATTTTTGTGCGTGACTTTCTTCGTGAGCGGAAAAATGCAAAGTGATCCTTGCGCTTTAGAAAGGTGAGGCGCGCACATGCGCGTTGCGCTGGCAATTCCAAAAGAGAGAGAGAGAGAGAGAGTGAGACACGATCGATGAGCGAGCTTTAATTGTTCGATCGTCTTTCATGCGCGACGCAGGTGCGCTCGTACGTGGAAAAAGGGGATACGAGTCTTTTCTCTCTCTTACTACTGTCTCGATATCGCGACGAAGCCATCTTCCCTTGTCGCTTGCAGAGAGGTCGACGACACGGCAACGCGCGTGAATGTAAATCATCTCCGCGCGCCGAGAGCCAGGCTCGCAATCGTTAATTCGCGCCATCTGACTCACGGCGAGCCAGTTTTCCACGTGCTATACGTCCTCTTCACGCGGTTGATCGGAGGCGCGCACCTCCGTCCAAGTCCGCTGTCCGCGACGGAACCGCGGCTTTTTCAACGAAGGACGTTCGCCTGCCGCTTCAGCCCCCCCCCCCCCCCCTCCTGCCCGCGCGAAAAATGCTAATTACGCTTTACAATGCGCGCTCCCTTCCATGTTTTTCGCCACTTGCACACCCATGAGGAACGGGAACAAAAGAAACTTGAAATTCTTTCTGTTCACGGTTGAGATGTGGTCAAGTGATCTCGAGTTCGCTCTGCAAGATTTGACTCTTCGTCTGTGCAATTGTGGCGTGACAGCGCTCTTTCCCTCCTCCTCTCGCTCCCTTATATCCCGCGAGCGAGGAGGGAACATTTTGCGGTGGGTTGTCGTTTGCGAGTTGGAACGAGAGATTTTCTCGTGGGATTGACAGTCTGGATGTTCGAAAGCGCTGTGAAAGATCAAGGGAGACCTCTTACGATGATGCTCCCGTATATTGTCGCGAATAACGAAGAATTTCGCTTGGGTGAACTCCGAAATCGAAATCCTACCAGGTTAGCAAAGGCAAAAAATTCTCCTCGAAAGAGAAAATAAAACCAGACTCATTCAATTCGATTGAACGCGAATCAAGTTTGTGCTCAACACTCTTGGCATTCGATGAATTTTCTCTCTGAAAAGAAGCATTTCTTTCTCACTCTAGCTGCGATATAAAAGGCATTCACGGCTCGATCGGCAACTAGCGTACGAAATGATAAGTTAGTAAGGAAATCACGTAGGCGTCCTCTCTCTCTCTCTCTCTCACATTTTAGCCCCGTTACTTTTACGCGCATTCCTATTGCTAGGCGCACACCATACGGCTGTTGGTCATTCACAAGGTCCGTACGCGCAAAATGTGCGCGGACAAATGAAAAAGAGCGAAAGAGAGAGAGAGAGAGAGAAAGAGATAAGAGAAAGTCTCTCTCGTGCGATTTCACGCTTGGATCGTCGTCATCGTCGTAGGTAGGCAAGAAGAAAAAAAGTGTTTTATGGTCGTCGGTTAATTACAGTCGGCGTGGTTGCCTTTATTTTTTCGAAAAAAAAAAAAAAAAAAAAAAAAAAAAAAACTTGTATCTCCGCTCGAGTACGCTCGACAGTCGGGCGCGCAGTCGCCGAAGAAAAGCTGACCCGCGTGCTCACCTGTATCTGCGCGCGTTTGACCTCGGTGTAGAGCCAGTTGTCGGTGGAGAAGGCAATGGCGAGCAGCGCGGTGGCAATGATGCCGGTGATGGTCGCTAACGAGAGCGTCACTGCCGAGCAAGGCATCTTTCCCGATTCTCCCTCACAAAATCAACAACAACAAAACAACAAGCAAAACAAAACAACCGAACAACACAGCGAGGAGGCTATCTTTAGCGGCTGCGGGAGAAAGGAGTTGGGATCACGTGAAGCCAAGCATCATCCGGGTGCTGACGCTTGTGTGGATGCAAACGCGTTCGAACGGACGATCGGTATGAGACTGAGACTGGCAGTAGCGGCGAAGCCGGCCAGGGAAAGGGAGAGAGAGAGAGAGAGAGAGAGAGAGAGAGAGAGAGAGAGAGAGAGAGAGAGAGAGAGAGAGAGAGAGAGAGAGAGCGAGAGAGAAGGAGCTCGCGCAAAGTGGGGAAACTGGTATGCCGAGCCTGTACACACAAACTCTCCACGAAGAGAGACTAGCCGCGCCAGGTAGGTATATTACCTGCCCGAGCAGCCGCATGTTATGCTTCGTCGTCGTCGTCGTCGTCGACGGTGCTCAACCTCCCCACTCTTTTGTTACCTTACCTTTTAAAATTGTGTTGATAAATATTTTAGATGTTTCCACGACCGATTTCGGCCTTCAAGGATACATTTTCAATTGGCCTGCGATCTTGATTAAACTGTCGGCTTCGCGCCAGTCTGGAATGTCAAGGTAGCGCAGAAAGCTGATGACGACATCTCGAAGACAACGATTATTACACATACATATATATGTATCGTACTGACAAAAGAGACAACTCAAGAGTTTTTCGTAATTATTACGGCGTTCGGGGCAAACATCGACTTTTCGAGCACGCAATTTAAATATCAGTAGGTGTTGCATCAATCGCTGTACATGCGTAGCCTACATATCGTATCGCGCCAAAGACAGGAAATTATTATAGGTCTCGGTTGTGAAAAAAATGCTGCACCTGCCATCGCACACAAACATCTTCACACGAGGACGTTTTATTTTCTCTCTTTCTCTGCTTTCGTTTCATTATCTTCTGACCTTTATTCACCGTAACTCTGTCTTTACGATGGACGGTAACAATTAATTTTTGGAAATTTTTTTCCCACGTTGGTTCACCTCGTAAAGCTATATTCGATGTGCTCGTTTAATCAATTGATGTACTTCAGTGACGGTGGAATTGAAAAAATGTAATGCTATTACTTTTAGATTCGATTACAAAGTATCGCGGCAAGTCAAGCGCTCCGGATAAAATAGCCCTCTCCTCTGTAAATAAACTTAAAAGTCAATATGCGAGTGATTAAGCGGGGTATCGCGTGTAGAAAGTTCACACCACGCAGGACCAGCAAGCAACCGGGGAAAAAAAGTGAACAATCACGACTTTGATTTTCCCATCGCGGGCCACGATCAGGCGGGCGCCCGTGGTGCAGGCTCCGCGAGATGAGAACAGCCGCTACTTGTCTCAGCCCCTCCTCGCGAGCTCGCTGCCACGCCGATTCACGATGAAGACGCCCAGAGCAAAGAGAGAGAGAGAGAGAGAGAGAGAGAGAGAGAGAGCCAGCAGGTGGATACAAAAGAGTACACGCGCGCGAGAAACGAGACGGGTCTGCCTTGGATTTTTCGGCGGAAGTCTCGACGAGCTGTCTGCGTGTGTGCGCCATATCCGTGTGCACGAGAATGCTCGTATGAGTTATCACCTTTTTTTCAAATTTTACGGGTGTGCTACTCCGAATGCTTGGGTTCTTTATTCGCGAATCATATTATTTACAACGTGAATTTATAGATGAAAAGTAGCAGCCAACCGATGATATCTAATTCTACGAGGACATTAAATAAGAAAAAGAAATGGTTTATATGCTCTTTTCTTGCACAATCAAGTGCAACAGATAAGTATTAGAACTTTGACATCCCGGGAAAACGAAATAATCGGCCTTTTAAAAATGAAGACAAAGTAATTGTCAGCTTCTATACCTTTGAATTTACTTAAATCTAATTTCTCAAGTTTAGAATTGATGATATTGTCGAAGTCTCTTTGCAATCAATATTCTTTGAATGGTTCGTCTCGTAACATTTAGGAAAACCAACAAGATTCTTTGCAAAAATCGTATACTTAAATTTTTTTATTAATAAATTTAAGTGTACGTTTCGAAGACATGAACTTTCTAACAGGGTTGGATCATCCTCGAATTCGAACTCCAGGAAACCTATCCGATAAAGATCATTTGTGGTTAAGCCACACTCTTCATTTAATTCACTGAAAAATAATACTGCAATTTGGCAAACGAAATGCATTTTTAATTATTGCATCGTCGTAAAGAGCATCGTTAACTTATCGCATAGCTCATAAAATAATTTTGTCCCATATTCCCTCGCTATATCCTCTCTTTTCCATGCCCAATAAAATTTCATTAGGCTTCCTTAAAAATACACAAGACTATCTCGAAGTCATTTTCAAGTACCATTTTTTCTGTTTATGAAATCCAGCCAGCGGAATAAATATTCGTTGTCTGTACACTTTGTCAGAAGTTTGTACGAAAACTGCAACTACAGGAGTCAGCCCAATAAGCGACTTCGCGTTGGCAACGCCAAACCTTGCAGGTGCTCGACGCTCCAAGGACATGCACGCCAAGTTATGCGCCAACAGCCTCGAGCCTGCGGTTTATGCTTTTGCTCACTTCAAAGTCACTGAAGAAGGGTTGGAAAATGATGAGCAGTGGAAGATAGGCGTGAAAGGATGATTTTTGTTCAAGGTCAAAAGCTCCGAGTCGCACAGGTGCTTTGATCTTGGAAAATACATAAATTCGAATTACCAGTGAATTTATTTGCCATAATTTTTCAGACTATAAAATAATCACTGGCGAATATTTCACGTCACAGCCGGAAAAATCCCGAGTGAGCGTTGGCGACGATTAGTAATCGAGCAAGAGATCCATGTAAACTTGGCTGCTCAAGTAATATGAAAGCGATATTGTTTACAGCCTGGCAGTGCTTTTCCTAATGAAATTCTTCGGAATTAATTAGAAGCTAGAAAAACTCTCTATATCAGAAATGATTATGTTCCCTCGAAGCATTCTTCAAATGTTTGATTCTCCAGCGAATATCGATGTAGTATCAGGGCCGCGCCAAAAAGAGGTAGAAAGTACGCCATTAAAATACTCGAAGCTCCCCCCGTGTGCTAAAAGAGGTGGGAAATGAAAATACCAAAGCTCGGGCATCTTTTCAGAATAATTGCCGCGTTACAAAGGCGTTTTAAAGGCGAACAATGATCATTGAGCGCTCGGGCATTTTGCGCGCGACGAGAAAAATACAACGTCGGCGGCGAGAAAAAGCGGGAGAAGAAAAATCGATGACGGGAAAACGTATATCCACGAGAGAGTGAGACTGGAATCACGATGACGATCGCGCGTGCGTGTGTGAACCTGTTGCGCGGCTGTACGGATGAAAAGCTACGAATTCCAAGTATGGCATGTCCCCGCTGTGAGAGAGAAAGAGGAGTTATTTCAAGGGGCGGGTATCACCTACATATTGTCTTGGAGGTGCCGATGATTGGATGTACTTGCATGCTGCGGCCGAGTGCGATGTTATTAGTTTGATGGCGTATATCAGTACGGTACTCTGCTTTGGTAATGCAACGGCACACGAAACGTCATTCTGTCTAAGTGTAATTGCCGTAACTGTCGGTCTCTCGATTCTTGGTTTACTGTAGGCTCTGTTGTCATTGATAGGCCGTTCTTTTTTTCACAAATCATTTCGAATAGATATAATTTTCAATATTTGCTATTGGGTTTTCTCGTCTGACTTCATAAAGCTGCAAGAGAAAAGCGTGAACTCAGGTATACTAAACAAGCGGGATAGGTTTTGAGTTCTTTGAAAATTTAAATTAGAGAGGTCGATTTCGATATGTAGCTTATGTTGCAAGAGCCGTGTAAGAGGTATTTTAAATATTGAATTCATTCAGCAAACTTTTCAAGCATTTTAGTTCTACGAGCAGTTCTACCATTCATTTTTTTATTCCAAATTTTTATTGGCCAATTATATTACGAACATTCATTTATGCAAACGTCGAATGAATTAATCCGATTATGAATTTGTCAGTATAATTTCATTTAAAAATTTAAATGATATTTGAAATACACTTTTTGAAAGTATTTTAAAGAACAATTTCAACTTTCATTTAGCAGCTAAGTTTGGAATATTTATTTCATTAAAATTTTAATTGGAATGACTATAAAAATTCTAGTTTTCTGAAAATTGTCCGTCGATCGCTCATCATGATTTTTAATTAATACCCAAGTCATCTTTGACTCAATAGTATAGCTTTTACGATAAAAAAAAGAATAAAAATAGTTTTATAGCACCTTTTTACAACATCCTAATTTCCGTGAACAATGTTAAGAATCCAATAACTTTCAGATTTCTAATTTTTTTGAAAATCAAGTTTTCGTTTGCTTATGCATTTTTACCAACCTTGTTTATAAATTAATTATCTCCGTGTTATTTTGACAGTTTTTTGCGTGTACTAGAACAATGCAGTTTCAAACATATCTGCACATATATCTGAAGTAAGACCAACTAGGAAGCATAACTTTTGATTTGAAACTATCCCTAATCAAATTATTTAACCCGTTCTCATAAAAGTAAAATCAGTTGAAACCTATTACTACCCAATCTTATCGATACCTTCACGAAATTTAATTTCTTTGCGTTCCACTAAAAAAGAAGAAGAAATCTATCACATTTACATAACCCTTTCACAAAAGCTTCTCATTTGCCTCGTAATCGGGCAAACGGGCAATCACTGAAATTCAATGGAGCATCGCAAAAGCCCACCAATTTCCCTGTGGTAAAATAAACAAAACGAAAAAGAGAGAGAGAGAGGGGGGGGGGGGAGAAAAAGAAAGTAGCAATTCGCGGGAGATAATGAAGCTTGACGACGAGACGATCGACCAGTTACGATCGGCACAGAGGCTTTCCCACAACAACTACAAGGATGATTTTTTACAAAGAAAGTCGCCCGCGATTGACTTTCCCCGTGTTCGCGCTCGTAATTCAAGTTCGCGCTCGTAATTCAAGTTTGACTTTGGAAAAGTAAATTGGCTCGCTCACTAGAAAATATGCTGTGTCTGCAAGCTTCTTTTGTATCTGGCTTTTATTGCGTATGTGCGTGGGATGACTTACGAAGGAAATCGAAGACAACGTGTTGTGAGAAGATGATTAGCGCGAGCGTCAGTAAGAAGGCTTGATTATAGTCATTGCTATACTAATCCGTTTCTTAAGTGATTTGTAGATTCTGCGTGTAATTCAATTACATCGAACAATTCATTCATGTTTCAATGAAAGATTGAGATTAATTATCTCTTGCAAAATATGTTAAAAATGACATGAATGACTCGGCATCATAGTTAACCTTATAACTCGGAATGAAAGTTGACAAGTGATAGATGATATTTAGATGGACATTTGTTAGCATGGATTATTTACAATAGAAACAATAAATCCAAGTCAGGCGTCGAAAGTTGCTCAAGTGCAGTTAAATTATTATTCGAATAAATCACGAAGAAATGAAGTGTCTGCTGACAGCTTTCGAGAAAAGAAGAAACTGAAGAAAACAAAAGGGAATATAAATCAACAAAAGTCCAAATATTTCACCGAAAGAAAAACGAGAGATGGACAGATACCGTCGGGGTGTATAAGAAAATGTCGAGTAGTAAGAAAAAAAAATTTATGCGGTGCGTCGACTTGTAACTGTAAACAGTGTCGACGTTTTAATAATAAGCTTCCGACACGCGTCGTGAATGTTTTTTTTTCTTCCTCCCGAGATTTTATATATGTACCGAAGTGGTAAATGAAAAGGAGAAAAAAATATGACATGTAAATTTGCGCGCTTAAGAATGCAAAACACAACACTGGGACTTATGTAAATGAAGCAATCGCAATATACTAAAATCCAGTTCATTTTTAAAAAATTATGGCATTGTGATGCTCATGTTTATTCTATTGTCAAGGAATGAGTTTAAAAAATTACGCTAAATAGTAGCTTGCGATTTGCAAGATCCTTGAACTAGATTGAACGTTATCCTTCTATAAAATTATTAGATATTGTTACAGCCACTTGCAACTATTAACCCTTAAACATAAGAATTTTCGCGATGTTTTTTTAAATCATCTTATTTTTTTAACAATATATTGTGTCATTTGCCTTGTTCCGTGTTAAAACAAGTACAGTAGCACGTGAGGCATGATTCATCAGCAATAAAAACAATCAAACTTTACAGTGATCAGTAACAACCGAGAGGTAGAAGTATAATCAAAGTTACCAGTGAGAAAAAGTATGACACGCGCGCGTGAGGTAGGCAGGCAGGTGAGCATCGGGCAACGATATATAAACCGTTGCTTCGCTTTCCATTCGCGTGCCGTTTCCGGTCTCGCACGTCTGAAGCGGAAACTGTTACCCAACCAAATACATACATGCGCTCGATAGCTGTGCCTCGTGCGCGAAGGGCCTTCGTGTGTATTGTGCACCAATCACGCAAAAGCTTAATGAGATCGTCGATGATGATGATGATGATGATGATAATGGAGAAGCCAATTCGTTTCGTGAGTGAAAGTGCTGCCGTGGCTATAATGCACCGTCGTCTGCATATTCAAAGTTTTAACGCGTTTTTTTTTCGCAAAACGTGACCATAGTTTGCTCGAGGTGAACCTTGCGAATTATGACTCCTATACAGGAAGTTATCTTTACAAATGAGATTTAATATCCTATAATTCTTTTTATTCGTCAAAGAAAAAAATCCAACGAGGTAATGAATTTTGTATAATTCAATATTCATAAAAAAGAGTAACTTATATATATTATGTATCTTAATTACAAAACAGTATTTAATTGATAAAAAAGACAACGTATCCACTAAATTTCTCTTATGCAATTTCACAAACTCACATTTGAAAAGGGAACAACCACACTCGTTTTCTGTCCAAACTTATACAGTACCGAAAAGAAAAGAGTCATCCCTCTTCTAGAAAATCACCGTCATCATCTTTGTCTCGTTAGTTGAACTTGACGATGGAAGGATCATACTCGGTACCCTTGAAAGGCGAGCCTTCGGCGTTCCATGCTTGCTGTAGTATCCGTTCCATTCTCTGCAAAGAAAAAAAAGCAACAAGAAAGTCAGTCTGTTTATATCGTATAGTATCTACCGACGCACGCCGTAGTTTATGTATATGCGCGAAGAAGAAGCAACAGTGTGCACTGATTGTTGCCGGATTTCTCTTTCTCTGATGCTTCGCCCTCGACGCGCGAGTACACTCTATATTTCCTTTTCTTGCCCCGAGATTTCTTTCGTGCTCGATCTCGTTAATTTTGAAACCGACTTTGTTTTCTCTCACTTTGACGATGTACTTTACAGCAGCAGCGGCGGAGAATTAACTTTATTTTTATTTTGCTTTGGAGAAGTAATGAACTATTGAGCTGTGACTAGAGCGCTGATCTTTCGATCGATCTGTTGGGTTGATTTACTGGTTTGTTATTTTAGGGCAATTTGAGTTTATTTATTCGTTAATTGAAAAATGCGAAGATCTTGACATAATTTTACAGTTTTGTGCACTAAAATTAATATTGAGCGCTGATTACGTCAGAACTTCGTTTCGTAAATGACATATTTCATTAAACAAGATTTTCATCTAAATTTATAAATAAACAGAAAGCTCATTCAATGCAAATAGCAATGAGCACTAAAAACGTTAAGCACCTTCACAATTCCAAAGTCAGTGTAATACTCTTCCTAACCGCGCTTGCCCAACCCGCAATAAAACTCCCGTCGTGAACAAATTCACTGACGTTCATCAGCAAACGCAGCCGAAGCTACCGAACAATCCGTCGAAATTTACGAAAGAAAAAACTGTAAGCGCAACTGGCCATTGTCCCGGATCTAAAATCTTGCACGGATGCGCTTAGCGCGAACACACGGACTTACGATCTGTTCGGAGGTAGGTTGGCCAAGCAACTTCCGCCTCTGATTCCACATGAGCTCCTCCACTTTCATCTGCTCGCTCTCGCCCATATCCTCGAGCTGACGTGAACAGTCGAGTTTACTCAGCTCAATACGTGGTTCATTGTCGAGTAATGCATCCCACCAACGCTCGCTTGATTTTTCCAGGTGTAACTGAAATATCGTTCGATTGGTATTGGCTTCACTCGTAAAAATTATTCTATTTTCAAGAAGGATTTAAATCACATTTATATGCTTTCCAGGCTCCAAGCACCAATATGACTCGGAACGCTTGATCTTGAACAAAAACCGCCCCTTCACGAGTATCTTCCATTTTTCATCTTCTTTTTCCAGCCCTCTTTCCTCCTCAGCTTTGAAGTCAGTTAATTCGCGCAAAACCGCAACCTCGAGGCCATCGGCGCTCAACTCGACTCGCACGTCCTTGGAGCGACGCGCACCTGCAGGGATTGGCACCACCACGTCGAGGTCGTTTACCGTCTGACTCCACTTGTAGTTCTCGTATGATGCACCGTTGTAACTATCTGACGACCTGGATGATGCCTCTGCCGACGATTTTGCATTCTAATAGCCATTTGCGAGAGGCATTTCAATTTCTTTTGTTGAGCTATATGTCTAATTTTCTTTTGTAAAAGTAGAAAACTGAAGCTCAACTAATGAAAAGCGAAGGAGATATTTATATTGCATATTTGATTAAAAACATAAACCCAGAGATTGTAAATTAGTTTTTGCAAAAAAATTTATGTCAAAAAGACAATCGAGCGTTTTTTGCATAAACATGTATATAATAATAATTATCACTGGTTCAAATTATTGTTGTAAATAATGACAAATTCCAATGAACTCACGAAACTTCGAAAAAGAAAAGTTGGAAAGTGTTTGTAAACTTAAATGATGGTTTGTTATTACGTGCAAAAATACCTCATTGCGTACTGAATTTGCAGAATCAAGACTTTCATTACTGGCTTCAATAACTTCGTTCCCGGCAACTTCAATCTCTTCGATAGCCAGCGGCGGGCCTTCGAACTGCATTTGAGTATCCGTGGCCGTTTTGATATTTTGCCATTTTCTCAATGTATTCACCACCAGCTTCTCGGCGATACCCGATGGAAATCCTAGCTTTTGTTCTGGAGTAGATTCAACGTAAAAATCGGTGCTGTAAATGAAAAAAGTATTACGGCTGATAAAGATATTCATACATACGTATAACATGAATTTGTATATCGTTTTATCACAGTGGATGAGAATTACTGTCATACGCGGGAATACGTTTTGGCCTTCATCAAAGTTGAGAACCATGTTTAAAGAGTCACTAACCGACGGCTCAGCCACCGAAGTTCGCGTTTGCACTTGTTATCACTCACCAGCGATAGAGAAATCCGAAAAAAGCGTCCAAGAAATTTATTATATTCTTCTCTTCGCGAAGAATATTCAAAAAAGCTGGATCGTGTTTCGAATCCATTTAATATTATAAACAATCATTGAACTTTCATACAAAAATCATTGTTTATTTGTGTGCTGTAATGTACTTCTGTTACATTTGTGAACTTCGAGGTTAGATTTCACGCTAGTTGCGTCATCTTGCGTCTGATAGTATAATCGAAATACTCGTGATATTGTTTTGGCGGTTCATTTGAAAGTTTCGTGGGCAGATGACAGGTATTTTACTTGGTTCAGTTTTAGAAGTGAATAGATAGTGATCAAATATGACTGCAAGAAAATTATTGTCTCTTGTATTTGTGAGGAAGCCGAAAGAAATCCTGTTGGGTTTAAAAAAGAGAGGGTTTGGCTTGGGAAAATGGAATGGTTTTGGTGGAAAAATTGAGCCAAATGAAAGTATTTTACAAGGCGCCGTGCGGTAAATTTTCATAATACTTTTTAAAATTAATTTTTGAAGAATGTGATAGTTGGAAATATGCATCATTCATAAAAGTAATCTTATTTTTCAGTGAATTAAATGAAGAGTGTGGCTTAACCACAAATGATCTTTATCGGATAGGTTTTCTGGAGTTCGAATTCGAGGGTGATCCAACCCTGTTAGAAGTTCATGTCTTCGAAACGTACAAGTACCATGGTGAGCTTACCGAATCTGAAGGTAATTTATCAATAAATAAATATACGTGTATGATTATTGCTGAGATTTATGAAATCATATATGTACATATTACAGAAATGCGACCTCAATGGTACGATCTCAAAAGTATACCATTTGAAAAAATGTGGCCAGATGATGCTTATTGGTTTCCGTATATGTTGCGAGACGAACCATTCAAAGGATATTTCCTGTACAGAGGCTTAGACAATATCATCAAGTACAAACTTGAAAAATTAGATTTAAGTAAATTTAAAGATGCTTAATTTAGTAATTATTTTTAATTCTTCAAAATTATTTTTTGAAGACTCTTCCTATGTAAGCTAATTTGTAATTGAATTATTTATAAAAATTATACAATCAAATTAACATTACAGGATGTGAAAATTTTTATGAAAATACAATTTATGTCATTCTAGCTGCTTTCATGAGTTTCAACTGTTTATTGTAAAATTCCATCACTTTGTACTTTCTACTCTTTTATATTGATTGTAAATGAACCAAGTTCTATAAGTTCGAGGAAAATGGCAGACTATACATGCATTTTTGAACCTTAAATTAATTTTTTTATGCTTGCTTGAATTGAAAACACTTGTAATAGATATGTAACATATTTATTTAATTTTAGATTTAGAATAATTTTTAAACGAAGTAATATTTTGTCAATGCGATATCTACATAGGCTAGTTTACTTACAATACAACGGTCGATGTATGCAATACATATAATACAATTTGAATCATTCGTTATCTTTATCAACCGGTTGTTTATGACGCCATTTAAATTATTAATATTACCATTTTTTTTATAAATTGTTTCAATGAAAACAGTATGCTATTGATTTTTGTAGCTGTAAAATTAATTACAATAAAATATAAGTATTTATATATGTGAAAAAATATTTACTATTAAAAAAAACCATGAACTCATTTATGAAATCCTACCTTAATTTTTCTTTCAATATGTAATCGCTGAAAATAAATTGAAAACATAATTTGATGTGTCATAAAATACTACATTTATTGTTAGCAATAATACGAGTATATATCGATGTTCTTTTGTAGTGGGATTTTATTACAAAATTGTAATCGCCGAATCGTCGTCATTATTACAAAAATGATATATTTAAAGTTATAATACTAACCCATATTAATCGATGTTCTATTGCATAATTTTTCTAGACTAATATATTGAGAGTGAACAATCTTTCTAATAACCATATCTATTATAAAAATAGAGCAAACACTAAAATAGTTCTACAATTTGATAAGACAAAAACATTCACAAGCATTGCCATTAAATATACATAGCGTAGAAGTGTAATACAAAACGTGTAACTCCTAATACACTTATTATAAAAACAACAATATTTCATATTCTCACCTTTTTTCATTATCATATTGAGAATTAATATGATTGTATTTCATTTCAAGTCTTGATGCACAACTCTAGTAAATAATTTCATAGCATAATATCCATGTTGATTTTGAAAACATCAAAAAGGTAAACTACGAAAATATATATTTCTTAGTAAATATGTTATATCCTTAGTAAATTAACATAACACCGCGACTTTAATTAATTACGATAATTAATTTCCGAAACTTTATCAACTTTGTAAAAGCTGCAAAAAAAGTCTTATCGTTATTCAATTTAATATTTTCAGCAAAAATAGATAAAAACGTACATTGTCAAAACTTTTTAATAGCTAAGCGATTATTTAATCTGAACATTCATTTTTATGATAGTAATTAACAATGCGTTGCTTATTTTGATCATTTTGTTGGAAAAAGTTTCCTTTATTCAAAAGTCTATTTGCTATACCTTAAAAATGGAGTGGACGCAAGTTGTATCACGTTTATTTGGATATAAGAAGTAAATTCAATGATAAGTGTTAGTTAATACCTTAACACATAGAGATCAATTATTGAGGAAAATATAAATTAATAAACTTTTATATTTCGCATTTCTTCATTATTAAAGGAATATCATTTATAAGTTGATTTCTAACACAATAGATTTGATTAAATGTGTTATTGCAATAAAATGTCCAATGCTATGAAGTAAATTCAAGGAATTTGGTAAATATAATGCCTAAAGTAACCGCATGACTAATATTAAATAAACTGCATCCTTATTTTTACAATTATCATTCATCTTGTCTATAATTCACATGAGATAGTATCTTTTCTATTTGTTAGTCGAATAAAAATAAGTAATGTAAATAAGGATTGTCGTCAAATGATTTTATCGATATTATAATTTTATCAAAAACATAATAAATCTGCTTCATCTATTAGAAGTTTCGTTAATGCAAAAATATTTTAAATTAAAATATTCAAAATGAGGATTATTATATCACATAATTTATGTCTATTGCAAGTTAAAATACGATTCGATAAAATACTTTCAAATACAAAATTTTTTATTGTGTTATTTAAGTGAAAGTTATCTATTTACATGTTTTAGCATTCGATCGATAATTCAACAAATAATATATAGTTAATACATTTTTTATCTGTTTAAATATATTTCAAACCTATATATCTCTAACCTATATATATATATAATACATTGTAAAATCAATAATTCCGAATCTCATATCAATACTCTCAATAAAGAATATTATGGCTCTTGTATTTTGCTAAATAATGGTTTAGCAATTATGTACAGCAACATGATTCTCATTTTCGTACGCGTCAGACTTAAAATACACTTTGACATTTCAAAAAAAAATATCATTTTAATTCGAAGGCACCTATACTAAACCCGTCTTATAGTTAAATTATTTCTAGGACGACAACCTTATACTTATGCCCAAGTATGATTTTGTTGTAGTTTAATTACGCAGCCGACCAGTGCTCCGATCTCCAGAGTAGAGTATACATGTTGTGTTTCAATTCTTCGGCTTCTATACTATCCACTGGATAATCCGTATACCTAGTTATCAAACTTCTATATCCTTGACCGACAGTTATTAGAATCAGCGTTTTTCGATCTGGCGCTTTGAAAGCAATTATCTGTAATACAATAACGGAAACATTATATGCAGACAATATTCGTCGTGTCTTTCATTAATTTACCTGAGATACTTTTCCTTCAAAGGGTCTGAAAACAGTAATGGGTCTCAGGGAATTGCATTCAGCAATAACTATACAACCCCAAGTAGTCCCTATGTACAATTGATTTGCGCATGTTTCCAATGCTGTAACTTGACACTTTTCGGACGTCAAATGATCCTCAATCGATATCGATTTCATACTTTCCGAGCAAGGCATCAGTTTTGACATATCTAATTTATTTACGATTTGTTTGGTCTCCAGGTCCCATTGATAAACTATGCTACCTGGATAAGTGTAACTTAGAACTGAATTTTCCGCGCTTACTACGTGCGTGGCAAACAAATTTTTACTAGCAGTTTCTTCAGTTACATGCACCAATTCCTTCAAGTAAAGTTAAGATTGATTAAAAAAATCTCAATAGTTGTTTTTTTATTTGAATTTTTACCTGAGTTTCAATAAGATTAATATCTTTCAACGTATAAACTGATATACGTCCAAAGCTTCGACCAGCCCATAATTCAAGAATACGTCGCTTTCGAGGAACGGCAGTAAGCGAATAAGTTTTGATATTCTCAGTGGAAGCTTCGACAAGGTCAATTTTCCGCATTTGTGTAAAACTATTTGCTACCAGTACGACTTTTCCGCTGTGCAACGCTACTGCAAAGTGTTTCAATTGATCTATGTAGATCAAAGCGACGATCTTCGACTCCTAAATTAACAACCATTTACACAGGTCAGAAAAGCTCTTATAATGCCACTATCAAACTTACTTTATGTCGATCAGGCTCCAGACGAAAACTACCAACGCATCCGAAATTGGTACCCAAATAGATATGTAATTGGCCAGAGTTATCGCCAATCCAGATGTAACCGTCGATGCTACACATGGCATAAGGTACAACAGGAGTATCGATTCTTACATGTTGCAGCCAACCTTTCAGCGTACCTAGAAGCATATCTACTTCCCCGTTGTTGTGACCTAGCCAGATCTCATTGCCAACATTGTTCTCGTCGATTGGACGGTTCATCATTGTTATCGCCGTCACCTAAATCACTTAGCCATGTAAAAATCTTTACTGCTCTAGAACGTCATTTTTTCAAGATACACTCACCTGAGTTCTCTCGGTAAGCAAAGTAACGTCTACCAAATGCGTAAATTCTGGCGCAGAAGCTATCGACACGATTTGACTAGCAGCTGGTCTATCCTTTGGATTCTGTGCCCAACATATAACCATAAGATCCAGCGCGTAGCAAGGATGCAGTGTCTCGCTGAAAGTTAACGGTGGCCTGCCACCTTCGAGAATGCATTCTTTTACCGCCTCATGTCCTTCAAAAGGTTGCCTCAAGGTTATCAACTCGTAAATGAACATGCCGAAGGAGAATGAATCTACTTTTTCTGTATATTCTTCTTCTCCGTTGTATCTAATTATTTCCGGTGCCATGAATCCTTCTGTACCACCAAAACCTTTCGCACCAGAAGGCAGCGTGAGTCGCGAGATCCCATAATCGGCTACTTTAATGCGTACCGGACGTTCGTGATAAGTTTCTTGGAATGGCAGTGGCATTTGCCAGACTAACACGTTTTCAGACTTTAAGTCTCTGTATATAACGTGTTGCTGGTGTAAATACTCCACAGCTTTGGCAACCTGAAGTATGATAGCTTGAAGCGTATATGGATCAAGTTTCGCACCTGATCTTCTGTAATTTTTAAGTGCGTTGTTCAACGCTCCTTCAGGTGCCAAATCTAGTACTAAAGCTAGAGGACTGATAACAATTCCAACAAGTGGTACTATGTTAGGATGCTTCAGCGTCAAGAGGATGTTTAATTCTTGTCTTGCTGTACAGTAAGCTTTGCAGGCGTATTGCAGTGGATCTCTATCCCATTTACTCTGTGCTGCTTTGTAAGCCAACACTGCTGATTGTTTTGAGTTGGGTCCCGGAGGTACTGGCTGCAACATTTTCATCGCCACATCGACTCTCTGTAGCCTACCGGGTAATCTGCAAGTGCCTTTAAAAACAAAACCAAAAGCACCGCGACCCAGCATCTTTCCTCGCTTGATGTCATCAGATCTGATGAAATGTTTTGTTCCCAAATCCATGAAGATAATATCCGGAGCCACGAGAGACAACGAAATGTCTGAGTGCTTTGGACAGCTGATTGACTTGTTACTATAAGCCGAGAGGATGCATTCTTCGACCATCCACGAATATATGGTGAAAGTTTCGTCCGATAATGGCATGTATTGTTTGGAGATATCGGGATGACCTTCGAGGGAAGGCATACGGCTGGACGTAGAACTGTCGTACCCTACTCCGCTATCGCCGTCGGATTTGTAACTGTCTTGGCTTTGACGCTCCTTGTTCATATAATACCTAAAAAACAAAAATGTGAATGTAATTCAAGAATGCTTGATTAATTTAATTAAGATATTATTATTTGTTTAAAAATTGTAAGCTTAGATAATTATGTATGTACTTTGGAATATCTTCGGACGAATGCTCTGAATTATTAAATGATTCACTTTCGTTTTCTCCACTGTCAATCAAACATTTTGGGCATGGAATTAATCTCGTTACTAATAGCTTCCCTTCGGATGTATGAACGAATCTTGTACCCAAAGTAGGATACCAATCCTCGAGTAAAATATCGATGTGATCAACAATCAATGCAAGTAACTGTGGCATACTTTCGGGTTGAGGCTCAACGGTGATAGCTTGGTAGCCTATTGGCTCCTCATCATCATCAGAATCGGTTGCTGGGATAGGTTGCTTGATTACTAATGTGTCTACGGGAAACCAGATTTCCAGAACTGCTGAGGATTTTAAGTCGACCAAGCACCATATGCCATCCTGCTTTAATTTAAATTTATGTTTGCTTTGAAAATCAAGAAAAATTAGAATTAGTTATTGAGACGATAAGTAAGGCTTTTTAAAAAAATAATAAATACCTGTAGTTATGTGGAGAATTGTGAAGGCTGCAATTGACTTCTTTCAAACGCAGTAACGTTATACCGCAGTAGCGAAGTTCAGCGCCTGTTTGCCAAAGAACCCATTCAGCATTTGTTTCAAGTAACGTTACAAAAATTTTATCGTCAACAAAGTTATTGAATGGTGTCAAGAATGACATAACAATTTCAACTATTGTATCGTCAGCTAAAATGCGAGTAATAAGACGTGACCAAAATCCACTAAAAATTAATGAAAATAGAGATTAAAACTAGGATTCTTCGACGTAAAAAATTGCTTATCATGTTGCAGCCTTCTTTTACCTTGGAAAGTAAGACATGAGAAGTAATCGCGTTATAGAACAAATAGGCTGCGGTCGAGATGTTAATACACCTTCCGTATTATTCAATTTATCAGTACCAGGTGACTGACCGTATGATACCATTGGAGAGCTGATCATTTTACTACGCATATGCCAAACTCGCGACTTCACTGGAATTTTTATAGTAATATTACTCCGAAGAAGTTCTTCTTCGGTAGGTAATAATGACGGAATAAGTAACGTTCGTGAGTCCCAAGTTAATGCTACTTCAAACTTGTTCAGTAGACTTACAATGTAACTGAAAAAATTATTATATATAAGAATAAAAATTTTTATTTTCAAAAAACTGAAAAAAATTCTTACCCCTGAGTATCAGAAGTTGATATGGTCGAGGATTTGAATACATGCTGAATATCGTCAAGCTTCATAATACCTGACCTTGCGAAAGGATTAATCTCCCTTACAGTTACTATGTGAGCTAGCATATCGCACAACCATTGAGGATCAAGGAAATATAAATCCTTGAGGGTTGCGTCATCATAATGCAAAATAATGCCGTTCTCGTGTAAAAATAAAGTAGCCTGATGCAGTTCTGCTGGATCCCTAAAGGACCTATTCATTTTTTGAAGCTCAGTGTTGACTGTCGCATAATATTGATCAGCTCGTAATACGGGATCTGCACCGCAGAAACGCCTTTCATGTGCTGTAGAATAAAAACATTATTGAGTTTTCGAATAAATAATGCCAGAACGTTAAAATTAATTTTACCTAATTGAACTACAACATCCTCAAGAGCTAAATAACTCGCTGGAACTCTTTGTTCCAATAACAATTCCTTTGAGCCAGGTGATCTAAGACTGAACACTACATCGTATATTAAATTGCACAACATTTTAATATTATGTCTTGTTTTGCAACTAATTTCAATTGTTTCCATAACTTTAGGTAAACCACACTTTTCCGCATCCACGACATTGATGAACTTGTCGCGAATGTACTGTTGCAGGGCTTCACTTTGTTCGTATGCAATGTCGTAGTGTGTGCCAATGATTATAACGGGTGAATTGGGTGCGCGGCTTTGAATATTTACGAGCCATTGGAATATCTCATTAACACCCTGCAACATAAATCCATTTTTTTTTATTTTTCTATTTCGTAGTGGTTTTGTTCTTATTTGTTTATCAAGTTACCTTAAAACCATCAATAATACGCCAAACCACAAGATAAAGGCTTCTCTTTGACAAGAAGTATTGATGCGTGACGTAATATTCGCGCTGACCACCGAAATCCCAAGTACGAAAGTAGACGGGTCCGTGAGAAGACTGACCTCGAACTTTCTTCTCGTAGATCCAGTCACCGATGTCTACTCCAACAGTAGACATAGTCGTACCCCGAGCAGTTTTTGAGTTGATATTCTTATTTCCCATTCGTTTAGCCCAGTGATCCAAGGATTTTTTCTTATTTGGCACGTCACCTTCTTGTCGTAGCTGCTCGAGAAGACTAGTTTTTCCTGAGCAAAATATTGTTTATTAAATAATAGTAAAAAGAAATGATTTGTGTGATGAACGTACCAATGCCCTGAATTCCAACAATCATAAGCTTCATCCTTGCATAAGGTTTGGCATCCTCGAGTACAGACTTCAAATAACCAATGACATCCATAGTTTTGTACTTCTTTGATTCAATCATAGATTTCAAAGGCTCTTGTAATTTACAACCTTGAGTATTAAGATTCCACAGCCTAGATAATAAACCCATTTGCGGAGGCAACTCCGTAATATCAACATTCCCACTAACATTCAACACAGAGAGATTGTTTAATTCGTAAATATTCGAAGGTATCTCCTTCAACTGATTATTGCTAACATCTAACATGCTGACGTTGGGAAATAAAAGATACATTTTTGATGAATGACTAGATTTTGAATCTTTATCCGAATCATCATCGGTAGCATAAGACGAATCGCCATCGTCAATCGACGTCAATTGAATTCGAGTAAGTAAGTTATTGGCAAGAATTAGCGTCCGTAAATTTTCCAGTCGCAAATGGCGACGGTGAGTGCAAACCGACATTAAAACGACGTCGCGCAAAGACGTGGCGGTTTGACGATTTGTAGGAACTGTTGGGGATTGAACGCCTGTCGAAGGACAGTAGCATGCGGTGTTTGCTTGCTCCATCTCATCGGCACCATCAACCTAAAAATTACAAAATTAAAGTATCGTCTCGAATATTTATTCAAAAGTTTAATGTTTCTAACACACCTGTGGCAAACTCGGCCAACAAGATATCTGATTATTGGATAGATCTAATTGCTTTAAAGTAGACGGATACGAAGTAATATGACTCATGGATCTCAAAGAATTGTAAGCCATGTTTAATCTCACTAAACTCACAGCCAAACAAGGTAAAGCCACAGGAATACTAGTAAAGAGATTATGGGCAAGATTCAGTGACGCCAATGCCGATTTATTACTTGTTTGTTCGGTGTCATCGGTAATTTTTTCCATAACCTGCACTGTTTTTGTCCACTCGAATGGCCTTTCCATTTCGACGACCCTCGCATTGGCAATCTTTGAAAAATACGAGTCGAAATCTAATGAATCATCTCTTGGCAATGTAAGCTGTGTTGCGAGATTTCTGCAACTGGGACTGTTCGATAATGAATCTTCTCTGCCTTTTCTGCTGATATTTTGAAACACTTGACTTGGCAAATCGCGTAATAAGTTGAACGAGGCATTGAGTTCTTTCAGTTTTGGTGCTCGCCATAGGTTGTCTGGTAAACATTGAAGTTTGTTGTTCGATACATCCATTATTTCTAGAGAGGGCATGTTCATGATAAATTCTGGTAATTGCTCAAGACGATTGTCTTGGAGGTAGATTTCCTCGAGTACCGGGCATAGTTTGTCTTTAGAGCTTTTTGATTCTGCCATTAAAGCTTCTATTTTATTTTGGGCCATATTTAAATACCTGAAATATAATTTATCGTTAGAAAAAAGTTACAATATGATTGGATTTTTACAGAAATAAAGCACGTTTTTTAAATGAATGATGATCTTACCTCAAACTCCGAAGATAAAAAATAGTAGACGGCACCGAACTGATTGAATTTTGAGAGATATCAATCCTTGTGATGGCGTACAGCACTAAATCATTGTTCTTCACGTTCAACTTCTTGTTTACATGCAACACTGCGTCCACTAACCACTGTGACCTAATTTGAGACAATCTGCACTGTTGATCGTGCCAATTAATCATTGTCGGAGTACTAGGATACAACGCCGAATAGGTCACACCACTGAAATTCGACAAAGCTGGAAACGGCGACGAAGTTTGCGAATTTTCCGTCATAGCTTTTTTATTGATCTTGTACTCAGCGTCGGGGTGTGCTTTGATGGACAAAAGTTTGGCTGTCAGTACTTCGTCACTGTTACGTGCCGCAATTTTCAAGGCCGTGCAATCGTTATCGACTGCGCCATGTTTGAGTAACAGATCGACGATCTTTACGTCACGATTTTGGCAAGCAATCGTCAAACTCGTAGTGTATGACTCTGAATCGGTCTGTTCGTTAGTTATTTTAACGGGCAAATTTGAATTTGCTCCAGCCTGTGAATGAACAAATTTTCATTCAGTGACCACGCGACTAGTAAACATAGCAATATACTATTAACCTGTTAACCGGGGAAACCTCTAATTACGCAACATATAACGGGTGCGTCCTTTTCCACTAAGACGTGTATGAATGACGTATTACCATAGTAGTAGTAAAATATACGTCCCACCCGTTCCAGGGCGCAATATAAATATCGAGGACGTATTCATATGTCCTACCAGTACTTATTGTTGTTTACTTTGGACGTATTTATACGTCCCGCTCGGTTAACAGGTTAATATAGGAATTTAATAGAAAAGAATATTCCCTTTGAATTGTAGTTGCCAACGAAATTTTTTCGCTAAATTTTTAAATAATTAAAAAATAATAAAATAAATAATTTTTTCACCTGCAAAAGTGCGGCAACGACGTCTAGATGTCTTCCTTTCACCGCAGCATGTAACGCAGTCTCCATATTATTATTGCAATACAAATCAAGATTCAAAGGACAAATGAGATTCTCGTCTTTCTTTTCAATTGAACGGCCTCTGAAATTCAGACTAGACATGAGTCGTTGAATGCCACTAGATATCCGTCTCTTTGACACAGGTATTGGTTGTGAGCTCGATTCGTCTTCCATTAAATTTCGCGCTTTCACTTTGTAATTTAATAGCAGCTCAATAATTTTCAGATTTCCTAGCACACTCGATATGTAGAGTATATTTTGATCCGTTACGTCTTGAGTATTTATATCAAATGGCATCTCGTATTCGAATTCACCACTCGGATCTTTAAATCTGCAATTTTATATATTAATATTATAGTTTAAATACAACTCATTATAATTAACGTTACAGCATGAAGCAGCCTACTTTTGATATAGATTAGGAGGATACTCGAACTTAAGTAACAGTTCGATAACTGCATAATGTCCATTGATAGCAGCCGCGTGAACGGGTAACCATTTTTCTACAGTCAACAATTGTACTTGTTTAGGGAACTGCCTCAGCAACATCTCAACAATCTCGAATTTTCCATTGTAACAAGCTATGTACAGTGGACAGTACTTAGTAACCGGATGAATAGTACAGTCAGCCCCATGATCTAGTAACAATTTTACAACGTCTTTCTGACCCGTTTCGCTTGCGATGAACAACAATGTATTAGAACCATTTGGCGCCATGTTCAATATATATTCTAGGTCTTCCATCGTTCGACCTTGGATAATAGCTCGGGCTGCTGCGCAATCTGCCTGCATGCAGGCTACTCTCAGAGCTGCGTGGGTGTCTAAACGTGCCTTTTCAAATCTGATAGTGTAAATTGATACGTATAAAAAGTGTATTCGTGAGTGAAAATATTATTCTAAACGAATAATTATTACCTGTCAATAGCATGTCTGAGTATTTCGCAGCATCTTATATTATTATTTTTCTCGCAAAGCTGTAACGCCGTCATCCCATTACTATCCATAACCATCAGATTACAACTGTACTTCAACAATGTCTCGATGTTACTTGAATGCCCATGTTCGGCACACACGTGCAGAGGTATTCTGTACTGTCCTCGAGGACCACATGGTAAATTAGCATTGGCTCCAGCTCGAAGTAATACTTCGAGGCAACGCGAATTTTCGGTAATTGCAGCGGCGTGTAATGCTGTTCGACCCCACGAATCCTGACTATTGATGTATTGCAAGTGCTCGCCACGAAGTAGATCTTCTAATAGTTCCGCATTGTCCCATAGTGCTGCCTGATGGAGCAAACGTCCTGGAAAGTCTTCATCTACTGGTGTGTAGTCCTCCATAGTCTATGATTAGAAAATGCTGTAATTATAGTTGCATACGAGGTATGCACGATTGTGAAAGTAAGCCGGTGAAAACTCGTAACTTAATTGTCAAGCATGCAGATTGTGTGAATCTTAGAATTAATAAATCGTGATAAGTTATAAAATTATTCTAAGTTCATTATAAAAAATAATTTTTATGAATCTTTCACGTTTAAAATCCATACTTAAAATTTATGTTAAAAAGCGTTAATGTTAGAAAGTCTGTTTTTCTATGTGCAGCTACATAAATTAATAGTAATTAACTTTCTATTGTGCTTGATATAAGATTGTGAGCTAATTTTTTAGTTAATATACAAAATATTTAGGTAACATACTTTCTACCAATTAAATTTTTTGAACAATTAGTACCCAAGTCTTTAAGTTTAGTTCAATGAAAATTAAATAGAAATATACTTACTCATGGATGAAATTCTCTAATGCTACTAACTATTCATTTCAAAAAACAATAATTGTTTTCCAACTTCTCATTACTATAATTTAATGTTTCCACGACTAGCATCAGTTTATACTTTTCCTAGAAAAAGAAATTAAATATTTCATTAATGAGAAATAAAATTAATACTGCAAAATCATTCAAGCAATAACAAAATTAATGCAGGTTGAATTTCATAAGATTATCCACTATGATGGTTATTTGAAATGACAGCCATTACACAATAAAGCTTGAGTTCTTAAGTATTAGGAGTTACATAAAAGTAATTTCATTACTAAATATGAAGCCAAAATTTATGTATGAAAACTGTTATTTAACATTCACAGACTTGATAATTCAAATGATAATCATTACATCAGATATTTTTGTTGTTTTATTGAAACTTATGTTATATGTAATTTTTCAGATATGATTATTGTCAATAAATTATATTGACATTAACATTTATTATTCTAAAAAATATTGTTTTTATAATTTGATTTAAATAATTGTCAAAATTTAAACACATTAATAGTATTATATTTTTTTTGCAAACAAGAGCAACAAACACTGTTATAAATTATAATGGTTAAATCTAAAAACTAAATAATTAATTATGAATGAAACTTTCATGAAGAATAACACGCAATAACAGTAAAGGTACTTATAAAAATATTGTATACCCGTACGTATAGTGAGTTCCAGTTTAAAAATACATCCCGTAAAAAATAAAATCAATAATTATTCGTTCTGCTTCACGCCAGTATTATTATATAAAAAAATTGAGGTTATTTTTTCGTGCTATGTAACATTTGTTATCACAAACATACACTAACTTAAAAATCTTGTTACTTAAGTTAACAATAACAATTGAAAAAATAAGCTTTTCCGTAAGTTGTTCCGTGCTAAAATCAAATATTCAAACGCAGTATGCAAACAAACAACACTCCACTAACACTGTCAATCTCTCTGATGGAAACCTTGGAGCAGCAAACAAAATAATTAATTGCCAATGTCGTCTTCGATCGAGTGTTAAAGTTAATTTTCACCAGCCTCTTGAGGCTTTTATCGTGTCGATTCATTCCGGAGGAGTGTGTAAAGTTGTACATGCAACTTTTCTAGCACAACACAACCACTTCTTCCTCGCCATTTTTCCCACCCTGATAGTGAGCAGCTGTTCAGGCGTACACGCACGTGATTATATATTGTCACATTTGTATTAGTAAGTCGCGCCGTGTGATTGACGCTCAGTTTTTTTGCTATTTTATTGTTATTACGTTAATTAAGTAATTAAGTAATTGGCCGATTATTGTGATGTTAGAGTAATTGTAATATAAGGCTTTTCTTGAAGGACTTGGAGAACAACAGGAATATGTAAACTAATGCTGTCTTACGTTGTTTAGATATACTTATATTATACAGATATACAAGATAAAATTTTTAAAACACTTATTTTTTATTTGACACATTCTGCTGCTTCTAAAAAAAAATTTTTGATAGTAGATTTTATCAAACTTTCAAGATTTTTCATTTTCTTCGTTAATTTGTAAAATTTTATGATTTTTCACTTTCTTCGTGAATTTGTTAAAATTTCAAAATTTTTCACTTTTACTGTGATTTAATCAAAATATCAAAATTTTTCACTTTTTTGATAAATTTAACGTAATTTAATAATTATACTAATTTTTGGTCAATTTGATTATAACCCAATAACCCAGTGACCCAAATTATCCAAATATCAAAATTTTTTACATTTTCCGTGAATTTGTCGAAATTTCAAAATTTTTCACTTTTGCTGTGATTTTATTAAAATATCAAAATTTTACACTTTATTGACAAATTTGACGAAATTTAATAATTTTACACATTTGGGTCGCATAAAGATGAGTGCACGCCCGTTCGAAGTAATCCCTCGAAAATTGCCTCTCCATAACTCTTGATCACGTCGGGGTCACCAATGTAGCGTCCGCTTCTAGAGGATAAATATGTACTCGTAGCGAAGAGTTAAGAAGAAAACGTCTATTGAGTGGAGATACAGTAGGTGTGCACAAGGAGCATTTCTATCGGCGAATACGGAACTAGCCGTAGTCTTTTACTGAGACGACCCTGGTAACTGTGGCGCTAGTAGTAATTCATTTTCCGGTACGGTAGATCTCTACAAGGTTCCTACACGTCGCTGATGGCAGCACCCGCTAGATAGGACTCGATTGTCGAACGTCACAAATGCCTCTGTCGGTAGTAGCGCAAGCTACTGGCTACAATAGATAGTAGCATAGTAGGCAGTTTGCTTCGCCGTAAATGATTTTGCATTAAATATACGTAAGTTTTGTTGTCACGATATTTAATTGTATCACGATACTAATTACAAGTCGAAATTATATGTCAACAGTAAATATCATTTTAATTATTGTTTGGTAGAACTTTTGCGTGTGAAATTGTTTTAGCTTATGTAAAACGGCTTATTAAGATTGTCACTCAACAATATAAAAAATTATAAAAAATTAATTTTAAGAAAGTGTCATCCGTAATAGTTGTAAATATTGATGATATTGTTGGCTAAGTAAGTATTTAAGAATATCGTTAATCTATAATCATTAAGCAATTTATTGTGCATGTCAAGTATATTTTTAACTTCGCAAAATTATATAAATTTTACAAAATAAACAATTTAATTTTTAATTTTTTAAATTAAAATGATTTTTGATATTGTTTACGTACGAATTGTAACCAGTAGTTTGATATAAAAGTTGTACAAAATAATAAATATCGAAGCGATTGTTTTGGTGCATGTATAGAATTTTGATTTATAATTATGTTATATGTTATAATTAAATGTAACACTGATGTAAAATTTACATCTATTTAATTAATGTAATGTAAATTACAGACTAATACAGGTCACTTATGCGAACTTTTCTAATCCCAATAAATTAATCATGGAATTTATGGATCATGGAGTATTGACGCATCATAGCAAGTACCTATAACCTATACATAACTACGTTTAGCTTTGTTTATTACTACCGATACGACGCTGCGAATTTCAAGAGGTAAGCAGCAGATTGTTGTCATATTGTTTAAATTATTAGAGAACAATCATTACAATTGAATTGAATTAATTTAAAAATACTATTCTGGTTTTGTTTTTCTTGGAATGATTCTAGTCATTACATTTGCATTCGTAAATTACTAGTCTTAATTTTGATCACGGGTTGTTCCATTTTATTTTATATGTTTATTATAAGAGAAAAGTACATATTTTAGAATATTATTTAAACTTCATTCTAGTTAATTTTGAAAATGAATATATGCATGGAAATTATTAATTTAGTAATGTGCCATCTTTTGTTTCATATTTGTCATGGTTATTGATAATGAAAATATAATTATATACAAAGCATTAATCTGTTTTCGTATCAAGCATTTTGTATAAGTACACATGTGTACACTAACATTGGTAATATCAAAATACACATTTAATAACATTATTTTACAGAGACTTAGATTTTCAATCAGAGTGGAATACAAATCAAGTATTGAGGCACAATGAGGCAAAGATTAGACCCAATCAGTGAAGATTCATCAACCGATAGCTCAGACTTTTGGACCACCTCAACTGAAAGTAGCAGTTCTGATTCTGATGTAAAAAATAAATTTTTATTGTAAAGATAAATTATCGTTTATCATGACTGTAAATAAAATTATCTATCTGATTACAGGATTTTTCAGATTATCATTATGAACCAATGCCAAAAAAGGCAAAGGTAGGCGATCATAAGAATTTGTTGGAAACCGAATCAAATTTCGAACATATATTAAAAGCTGATTTTAAATGGAATATAAAGAACTTCAATGAAATTTGTAGCAAAGCTCACATTGGAGATGTAGTAGAATCTCCCATATTCATTACAGGTTCAAATGAAGAATTAGTATGGCGCTTGGAACTGTATCCCAAAGGTATCAATGAACAAAATAGAAATTATTTATCACTATTTCTCAAAATGATGTATAGCAAGGAGCCAAGATTGAAAGTACAGTATACATTTAAATTAATTATTAAAAAAGGTGATGATAGTTATATGAGTGAAGATTATTTTATTGGTGGTCAGCGCTTTGGTGTTAAAAGGTTCAGAAAAACTGATCTTGTTTTAAAAGCTGTAAAGAATATAGAAGATAGTGTTTTAACTATTACTTGTGAAGTCAATACTCAGTTGGGCAGAACACCTATCCATAGAATGAAAGTTTTGAATGATCTGGAAGGTCTCTTGGACAATGGTCGTTTTAGTGATGTCACATTAAATGTGAAAAACACGAAGTTCAAGGTACATAAATATATTCTAGCTGTAAGAAGTCCAGTATTTTCTGCAATGTTTGAACATGACATGATAGAGAAAAATCAGAATATTGTACAGATAACTGATATTGAACCAGAAATTATGAAGGAATTATTACGATTTACTTATATAGGAGAAGTTAAAGATCTTAATTCAAAAGCCAAAGATTTATTAGCAGCAGCTGACAAATATGCTTTTGATGATTTGAAAAGTATGTGTGAACTTTCATTGTCCAAGAATTTGAATGCTGAAAATGTCATTGAAACTCTCAATTTTGCCGATCTTCACTCTACTCCAAAATTAAAAGAACAGGCTTTGAAATATTTAGTTTCTCATATCAAAGATGTCATTACTACATCTTCTTTCAAATCATTTGGCAATCAACAGTCGCCTTTATTGACACAAGTAATATGTGCTATGGCTTCTAAAGATGATTAAGACATAAAATCTATCTAAGTTTTGATTATTTTTTAAGATACATGCAGCTAAACGCTAGAAAAACAAGGATCATGGTAGCAACCGGAAGCAGGAATACCAGAGGCGTAACTTGCGCGATACTATAAAGAATGACTTTCTGTGTTATTAAAATTTTTAAATTTTAAGATTTGAAAATTAATTATATTTTATAAATGTATATAATTCTAGTTAAATGGTTCTTATCTAGTTTACTTTAATGTTTTTATTAATAAAATTTAGAAACAAAGGTCCATTTTTTAAATTTAAATTTACTTCATTTTAATAGCGAACTTCTAAAATGACCGAAAATATATTTTCTTTCGCAATTTTCTATAAGTGAAAGCTTCTGATTTTTATCTAGGGAGATTATCTTGGGAGATAAAAAGATACAGATATATAGAGAGAGGTAAGATAAAGATTGATAGATAGATAGAAAGAGAGAAAGATTGATATTATAAAGATATTATCCAGCATTGTGACTAAGAAAGAGTGATAAAATTTGAGTATATCTAGGAGTGTGAAGTTTATATTTTAGTAGTAAGTTCAATTTATGAATTATTAGTATAGATAATAATCTGCAAAAATTGAAATATGCTGTTAATAAATTGTTTTAATAAAATAAGACGTTATCTTTTCGACTTATGGTGGCATATTCAGTACCAATTGATAATTTAATTATCATTTTGAAATTAATAGTGTCATTTTCAAATGTGATTGAAAGAGATAAAAAAGCTGCAGAAAACCGCTGCTATTGAGTAAAGTTATGATTGTATGATACAAATAATGAAATTAATAAAAGAAAAACAAAAAAAGAGCGAGAAATGCGCTGAATAACGCTAGTAAGGTAAAAGCTTACTAGTTATATCCTTGCCCTAATAAGTTTAAAGGTTTATGATGATAGGTTTTAGATTTCATGAAAGAACGATATAAAAAGTGATAGAGTGAGAGAGAGAGAGAGAGATATGTTTGATATCGTGTTTCTAATATTTAATAATTTGTAATAATTTGTAATTATTAAATATGTGTCAGGCATCTAAACCTAATTTATAGCATCTGTGCCATTATTATATAAATTCCACTATTGTCAAACGTTTAGCAACAACAATTGAGAGAATAATCAATTGAGATTGACAGTGACTTTTAAAAAGTGATATTGAAATATAAATATAAATTTGTTTGATTATTAAAACACAAATAATTGCCTTTAACAATTGAAAAGGTAAAATTTTATAGACAAATTTTAAGAAAACAGCATTCATGCAATATTTTAAATTATTAAAAAATTTTTTTTAGGGATACTTCTTTTCATTATTGTTTAAATATGCTCAATTGTAAAAAATATATTGTCCCCAATTTTTACTCCGACAATGTGCAAAATCGTCGGATATACTTTTTATAAATGTATGCACTTAAAATCTATTAATTTAAAAATTTCTTTTTATACTAATATAGTTTCTATTAAATGATTTTCTTTCTTTCAACTCTGAGTTGTTGTTTAATGTGTTCTATTTAATTTGAATTAATTTATTTGTGTAAGTTTTTGCAAATATAGTGGACACTGCAATAAGAAAAATAAGTCATTAATTTATTATATTTATAGCTGCATTTAACATTTTTCTCTTGCAAATGATATGATGCAGTTTAAGAATTGTAAGTTAAGAAGTTTGTACCACATACGAGTGGAAACTTATATGTAGAGTTTATAATAAAATATTTTCTATATAGTCTTTTAATTAATTTATAATTAAGCTTTTGGTTCCCATGAAATACTCTCATAGTATAGTAACATAAGTAATTTACAATGTGTCGATGTAAAATTATTAAAAATTTTAAATAATACTGTATGTGTAAAGCTCGGTCTTAAGTAACAATTTACAAAAGATTTTAGATAAAGTTATACTTTTTTATATCCTATTATGTTTCCAAATATCTTGTAAGATAGTTACCTATTTTATCCACTCTATTATTCAACGATATTTGGCTACATGCGCGTCGTTCGCGCATGCGTAAATTGATACGAGGAGCTCGAAAAAAGGTTTGGTCGCAGTGTGAGCTAGCCAGGCTCGCACTCGAGGCGGTCGGTAAAGAAGGAAGCGTTTCGTTCCGATGTTACCGACTGGACTCGTCAGTGAGGCTCGACGGTCGGTAACATCTGCCTCATACGCTCGAAGTGCGCAAGTCGCTATGCGGACTTATATATTTAGGGAGCGTATTTCTTGCCGCTCGTGGCTGGCCGATGCCATCTCGATGTGGATGAGCGAATCATGAGACCGCCACAGATATATTGACCATTTTATATGTCAATTGGAAACGAATACGAATTTTAAAATAATTTCTTGTAAAGTCGAATAAAATTTTCACCTTAATTAAAGGAGTCTATCGAATGTGTAGTTAGAAAAAAAATACGAATAAATTACCAATTTTCTTAATAAATTGATGTTAATGGAATCCCCGAAGTAAATGTTACAGTTTAGACGTTACCAATTTTTGACTCGATTGCGTTATACAGTCTGGATAGAATTAAAGATGTTTTCCAAGAAAATTCAAACAAAGAAATTATTTAAGTTGAAACTTTGTGGGGACATTTATTATGCATAACCAAGACGTTCATTAAATTATAAACGCGTTTGATGTTCATAAGCGTTCACAGTTAACATTGTACGGTTAGTATGCTGATGCCTATAACATATGTAAACATATATTTGATAATATTGTGTAGTTAGTTTATTATACAGGAAGCTTTTTTATTTTACGAGAGCAACGTAATAATTTACTGAATAAAGATCACTGCTCTCAACGTGAATCAGTTTTTTTGTTATTTTTGGTATATTTAATATGTAAAATTAACATATATTTTTTCACAATTTTACATGTATACTTTTACTCGTAACTATGTTACAATACAACCAAATTGATATATTAAAGAAGTATATTTAAAAAATTTTATTAATAATCTTATACATGAGAATTAGGACTAAAGATTAAGGAGAAAGGAATTTATACATTTTTTCCGTATAATTAAACTATATATCAATATTATAAAGTTACGAGGAGAGTTATTTTGACCGGTTTTTGGCCCCCTACATTTTTAACCATAGAAAATTTTTTATTATGATTATCTATATTTGATGACTAATAGATTCCAAAATGAATGAAACCTCCCTCCTCTTTCCCTAGTAAGAATAAAAGTCAATTTAATGTCAAATGTAAAATTTAGTTTACTTCATTGTAATAACCAATAATAAGTAGCTGGATTTGACTTCTCATTCTTTACTATATTTGACATTGAAATAACCTTGAAATGACATTCAGGTGACCTAACATAGTCAAGATGACCTCGTATTCCGACTCAGCGATCTTAAATACATATAGATATATTACAGTTAAGCCCAACAACCAAAATACTTACTCCGAAATCTTGTGATTTTTCTCACGGCTTTTTCTGCATTTGATATTGAATTGACCTTGATTCTTACTAGGAGAGAGAGGAGAAGGTTACGTTTGTTGTAGAATCGATTAGTTATCAAATATAGATAATAATGATAAAAAAATGTCTACGGTTCAAAATGTAGGGATCCCCAAAACGACCAAAGTGATCTTCCTCCTTTATCTGACTTATATAATTAAATAATATATTAATATGAATTACCGCTGCTGGTAAGATTTTATATGTATCTATGTTCGACTCTGATAATTGAATTCTATACTTTCAAAAACTATAAAACATTTCAGAAATTTATTAATATTAAACTGAATTACCGAAATTACTAAAACAAACGCGAGGACTTAATAAAAATTTATCAAGGGTTTAGTAATGAAGAGTACAGCACATAGAGAATACGAGGGGGATAGAAAAATCATGGGAGGGGCACTTACAACATTTGAAAAGGAAACTAATCGAAGTATATTGGTCACTTGTTGGTCATAGTTGTAACGATTCCTACTTATATTTTGTGTATCTAAAATACTCTAAAAAATAAGTCTCACTCCGTTAAAAGTAACAGCACTAGATCCATCTAAAAATACGGTGGTAAGAAACGTATGTGACTATTAGTGGCATTTTGTTCTTTCGCGCGGCAATAAAGCATATAGACAACGCGAAACCTCCATCTCTTTATCTACAACTGGTATCCGACTCAACTACTAATTCTAATGATAATTCAAGTTGGGCCTTTAAGTTGACGGTATTGTTGTTGGTTATTAATTGTCATGGTAAAGAGGTCAATCACTTAAACACTTGGATGCAATATTGTTTTAGTAAAGACAAGTTTACCTTCTGTTTTATTGATATTGGTTTTGTGCTTGGTGGCTACAAAATTAGAATTTTTTTTCCAGAAATTTGCTGCCATTTTAGTTTTTTTCAGATTGAAAACTTTTTTCTTAATTAAAAAAGAAACATTGTCATAGGTAGGTAATAATTTTAAGCCCTTTTATCGTAGCGACTTTAGAAGTCGGAATTTAATCATTTTTAAATTCGGATAAAATTGAATTTAAATCGTTTACAAGAACTATGATATACGGATTTGACAAATTATATTCAATCAATATTCAATTTACTGTCTAGTATTTAAAATTTATGTAGTTTAGCATAATATTGGATAATTTTATTGATATATTTTTTGTTTAATTATCTGCCATAATTGTGCTGAAGGTTGTGTATTTATTTTATAGAAAGAATACTGTTGGTTTTCGTGGGTTTTGGCAGACTTATCTTCCACGAAAAGTTGCTTTCTTTGGCGAGCAATTACGGAAAATCTGAATGTTCTTCATTTAATGTTATCTTGTAATCTCAATGATTGCGAGTCGACGACTGAAATGCTAGCCAAATATAATCTCACGCAGATATACGGCTTGGAGATCATTCGAAAAATCTCGAATGATTTTGAAGTTTTACTTCGTAATGGTGATATGAGCGACCGGACAATTGTATCTGTAAGTCGGAATTTCTCCGCATACAAAATCCTTTTCTTAGCAAAAAGTCCAGTATTCGCTGCGACATTCGTACAGGAGATGCGTGAAAAGTGGGATAACACACTTTTCGTTTTAGATGTGAGAGCGGAGATTACAGCGGAATTGCTGCAATTTATCTATGCGGAAAAAGTGATGGATTTACGGGGTAATATGATAGAATTACTCGTTGTCAGCGATAAATACGCTTTGGGTTATTTCAAAAACGCGTGCGAAAATGTTTTGTTAAACTCTTTGACGATTGGCAATGCTGTCAATATATTTATATTTGCTGACATGCATAATGCGAAGAAATTGAAAGCTAGGATTACTGACTTCGTCATTACAAATGTTAAAAATATTGTTGAATCTGAAAATTTCAATACAGCCATGGATCCGCATTCAATCGCTGAAATTTACCAGAAAATAGCTGTGCTAAAATGAATTAAAATGATGTTTTTACGATGAATTATATTCATCTTTTTGTTTATCCATAAATTATATCATGCATATGCATGTGGAGCATATTTTTGGTAATATATGTAATTATTTGATAAACTTCTGATATTGAGTGACGAGTGATTACTTTAAATTTGTGAGTGTGTGATAGTATATGTTTCGTGAAAAATATAGCATAATAAAGCCTTGATTCTTTTAAACAAATCGTTATCACTGGTCAAATTCACAAAGAAAATAAATTCTGTAAAGAAATATCATAATTGTATAAATTATAGGCATTCGGTTTATTACCTCGTAAGTGTCAAACGTTAATTTTATACTAAAAAAATTAGCAAGTGACGTATGTTAATGATACAAGCAACGGCCAATACCAGAGCTTGAAGACGACTCTGTTTCACGGGATTGTGGCTTTATAGAGGTTGTAACGCGCGATAATGGTGAATTGAGTGTAGCTTCAATTGTCGTGAGGTAATTACAATGCGAGTGCGCTTCTGGCTTCGTCGGGCGTTTACGAGATGGCGACATGGGTCCTCAAATGCCATTCAAACTGGAACGCACATGTAAATTTTATGAGCTTCTGGTTTTACATGTGTTTATGCGTAGGAATAATACTAGCAGAAATAACTCATGGTTTATCCAGTAAAATTGTATAGCAAAATAATTTATTCACTTTCTGATTTACATTGTTGCACTTTGATTTTATTGTACAACTCTTAAGTTTTTAATTAGTATTTACTAACGACCTTTTTCTTATTAATAATAAATGTTTCAAATCACAATATATTATTTTGTTCATGCCGTAAACAGATTCCGCATCTTCTTTGAAATTGATATAAAGTTATGGAGCACTTAATATTAACGGAACATCTATAAAAAGCTAATAATATTTCTATAGAAGTTTTTAAAAAAGTTTTATTATTTAGCCATTTATGCCATATTATTCTTTCTCTGTCTGACTGTACGATGACTCTTACTACTTTCAATCAGTTCGTTTTAATCCTGTTTGAAGACTATCGAAATCATATAAGGGCATGTAGTGGTGTTTTATGATTAATTTGTAAATACTGTCAGATAGCACGTTTTTACTTTTCAACCCGTACGTCGTTAATAACAGGAAAAAATGAGATTGCTGAATTTTGAACATATAATAACGAATACATTACTATTCCTGGGTTATAGTAGTATTACTTGACCAGATTTGAAACTTTAAGGACAATAAAATCTCTGAATTTTATACCGTGTTCTTTATTCAGAGAGCATTTATTG